AGGTTATATATAAATTAATCCCACATTAGAAAATGACATAACCTTATTATCATTAAACAATACACATGAGCTAATTAATTCATTCATTAATTTATTTATTTTTGATCAAATTTTATTCATTACATACCAACAAATTTTTATAAATTAAAATGAAATCTCATAAGCGTGAAATTATGCTATGAGTTATGCTGATTAGGATCTTGGCCCAAGATAAAACAACAATTACTAAAGATCACATATGATACTATACATATAAGTTTATATATGCTTGATAGTGAAATCAAATAGATTCATCCTATTGAGAAGTGTGACAATGCATCATACCAAAAAATGATATTGCTGGTTTTGGTAATGAGAAGCTTTCTAGAAACGTGGGGAAGAGTGTAGATAAGAGTAAATAATTTTAAGGATGGAATGTTTCGATGACTCCATGAACAAAATCCTTGCTTTCTTGCCAGGGTAATTAGTGCCCTTTTGTTATTATGGTTGACAATAATAAAGGATAAATAATACAGAATATGTTGCAAAAAGAAATGGAATATAATACGAAGAAGAAAGGTAGAGAAAACTTTTGTTAGAAACCAAAGAAGGTGGGGAACAAAATTAAGACCACAAAGTGAAAAATTTAGAGTTGTAAAGGTGTAGTGATGTACATCGTAATAGCTAGCTATAGGCACTGAGGCACATATATAGGGTAAAATAATGTTATAATTAAAAGGAAAAACTAGTTCACTAAATAAAGGGGAGGTTAATTAAGAATTTTAGTTAGACACATTCCATTGCATCCATAGAATTATGTAACGAGGAATTTGGTAAATGGGGGGAAAATGGAAAAGAATAACGAAAGAAAAAAGTTTTGACTTGGCATAGGAAGCCAAATTAAAGAAAAAAGCGGGGGCAAACAATTTCACTGAATCGTAATATATTCATCGCAAATGTATTGAAGAGGATATTTGTTGCTTATGATGGTTGTACAATCCAACGTAAATATATGTTGGTAATTAAATGGTAATCGATGACGATGATATTTGTTGCTTCTTCTTCGAAATATCAATGGCAAAAACACAACGCCGTTAAATTATGGACTAATAGTAAAGTTGAATACCATACTCATAAATGGGAAAAGCTTTAAGCTTTAAAGAGTTTGTCGTGGGCCAATGGAATGTTGGGAAGAGCTTTTGGGCTGTCTACTTAGTGCGATCAATTGGAGGAAGAAGACGATCGAAGAAGATGAAGATGATGATAAGAAGAAGGAACATTTTATTTTTTTCTTTCAAAAAGAATGTTTTCTAAATTGGGTTGTGAAGATAATATTCCCTTTTATTGTTGAATCGTGGTGTGTGTTGCAGTCATAGATTCTTAGTAATGAATGAATATACTATAGGTTTGGTGGTTATTGTGGATTTGTGTGTGCGTATGAGTGGGTATAAAAGATAAGGGTCTTTTCTAGGTGTCCCGTGTCCCCATGAAGAGATTTGTGTCTATGTAAGAACCACTTCATCATTTTGCACATTTACGTTTTAGATATGCATGTATGACTGTGTATACACATAACACATGTACCAAGTATATATAGGGTTATCATTGTGAATCAAAGTCCGTCCCAGACTAGGACGAAAATGAGTTAGAATTGATCTGCAATTTGGTTGATTTTATTAAGACTAGTATTTTCTTGATTCTAGGGTATAACAAAGAAATATATGAGGTGTTGAACCAAATTTTCAGAAAAATTGTAGTGCTAATGATGTGTCACACACAATATGGATTCGTTTAAATTAGTGAATAAAGTGTGGGTTTATGGCCCGACCCAGTTAGCCCAGACTAGAGCCCATCTCTCTTAAATACAATGTGTGTTAGAAGCCTTTTTCATTGTGGAAGAAGAGAAGACAAAACAAACACAACACTGAGCCGTTTGGCTGGAAATGACTATTGCGAGATTTTTTTTCCTTTTCCGTCTCAATGAATGATGTTGCACTATGATAAATCGCCAAAAATTCCAATATTACCAAATATAATAATATGCCAAAAAGATTAAAAAAAAAAAGTTGCCTGTCTAGTAGTTTTCCAATTGTCAAAAAACATGAAAAATATTGACACCAAATCAAAGGAAACAAACAAAACACAATATTAATATATCACAGACAAATAATTTAATAACTTATCGTTACAAGTTATACACTGTAAAGTTGGCATTTCGAGGAGAAGAAGAGAGAGTGATGGAATTGCAAGGAGAGGAAAGCAAAGCGACGACGTATTGCGTGACGGGTGCAAGTGGATACATAGGTTCTTGGTTGGTTAAGTCTCTTCTCGAAGGAGGCTACACAGTCCATGCCACTCTCAGAGATCTTGGTATTTTTTTTTTTTTTCAAACTTTGTTCGTGTCTTGTTTATATCGAATCTTGGGTAGTTTACACAATCTTTTAAAATACATATGAATTAATTGGTTATTTTGACTAAAACTTGGGCTGGTTTTTGTAAATTTGCTTTGAAGTCTTCATAGTTAAACAAACTAAAAAGCTTTTTATTCGTCTTGATGACAGGAAAATGTCAATACTTTCAATCAAAATGGAAGGAAAATGAACGGCTTAGATTATTCCGAGCGGATCTTCAAGATGACGGCAGCTTCGATGAGGCCTTTAAAGGTTGTGACGGCGTCTTCCATGTCGCCGCTTCCATGGAGTTTGATATCTCATCAGATCACGTCAATCTCGGTACGATCTTTTCATTGCACCGGTCATTTTATTCACAATGCCTAAACCACTCTCAACCGGATCAAACCGTTAGTATTGGAAGTTAACCGATAAAAACCGGGTTTTGCTTGATTGAATGAATGGGCAGAGAGTTATGTCCAAAGCAAAGTCATAGATCCGGCGATAAAAGGCGTACGGAATGTACTTGGTTCTTGTCTAAAGTCAAAGTCAGTCAAAAGAGTTGTTTTCACATCATCCATCAGCACTCTCACTGCCAAAGATGAGAATGAGCGGATGAGATCTTTCGTTGATGAGACTTGCAAGGCTCATGTTGATCATGTCCTTAGAACACAAGCAAGTGGATGGGTAAAATACTATTACAATAGTATAATTTCATTAATTACCTTACAATTCATTGTTCGGCGTCATTAACGAGTTTAGACTTCGTGTTGGCAACAGATTTATGTACTATCGAAGCTTGTATCAGAGGAAGAAGCATTTAGATATGCAAAAGAGAGAGGAATGGATCTTGTTTCAGTCATTACAACTACTGTTTCAGGTCCATTTCTTACTCCATTTGTCCCATCAAGCGTTCAAGTTCTCTTGTCACCAATTACAGGTGTGTTATATAAACATTTTCCATTGTCATATATAAGTTAAAAATGTTGGGCTTGATTAACCAGTTTGATACTTACATTATGACAAAACAGGTGACTCAAAGTTGTTTGCGATATTATCAGCTGTGAACAAAAGAATGGGTTCGATTGCTTTAGTACATATTGAAGATATTTGCAGAGCCCATGTGTATTTGATGGAAGAACCAAAGGCTAAAGGTCAATATATATGTTGTGTTGACAATATTGATATGCATGAATTGATGCTTCATCACTTTTCTAAGAAGTATCTTTGTAAAGTTCTAAAGTAAGTTCTACAATCTTTAGTATTTTTATCAATTCTTTCTTTGATTTATTCAGACTATATATATTTTTTAAATTATTATTCTTGGTTTATAGGGTAAATGAAGACGAGGAAGAGAGACAATGTATGAAGCCTATAATTTCTTCGAAAAAGTTAAGAGAATTGGGTTTTGAGTACAAATATGGTATTGAAGAAATTGTTGATCAAACAATTGATGCTTCTATCAAGTTTAAGTTCTCTACCTTGAATCACAAACTAAAGCAGTAAGATCAACAACAATTACCTTCTTTGTTTTACTGGATTGGACTATTATGATTCTTAGAATCTATTAATAAAGTGTTTTCAATTCAATCCCATTTTTTTTTTAATGGTCACTGTATTCACTTTGTAATCTTATTATCGTTTGAACATTTTAAAATGATGGATCCTACTAGCTCCGAGTCTAAGTTCTAATAGAGTTCTAAGTACTTTTAGTTTTGTCGTCACTTTTTTTTTATGCAAGCTTTGTCTCAATGCATTTGCAAATGCCAAATGGTATGGACCACCTTTTTTTTTTATTGTTATGGACCATTTTGCTTTTCAAATAATATGCTAGCTACGATTTATGTTCCTCTTGTTCTCTTGTTCGCTCATCGTTTCAATAAGAAACAAAAGCATGACCAGACATGTTTGACGTAAGCAGAATTTTCAATTGTAAACTTTTTTTTTTTATGATTCAAATTTGATATTTTAGTTTAGCTCAAGCCGCTAATTAATTGTGGGAAACAAAAGTTCACCAATTCCATATTCATTTTCTAGAGTTCATTACCTGCACAAAGTTTCTTACACGATGAAGGCAATTAATACAGCAAAAAGGGCATAAAAATGATCAGTTTATCTCTTCTTTGAGACTCATTTGTTTACCACTTATTGTCTGGCGTTTGGCATTTACCAATATTCTCCACCCGTGAAACAAAGCCTCTATCTGACGCTCTTCAACCTCCGTTTCTTTATTTCGTGCAACAACCCCATTCCCTACTTGGCTACTTCACATGAACCCATAATATCAATTATTACACCACGAACAAAAACCTTTCGTCTTTTTTCAACTTAGAGGATCAGTCTCAACACAATATGAAAAAAACCTTTACTTTTTGAGCTTGAGGTTACAAGTAGATTAATGCTTTGCTAAAAATCTAGAAACTTTTCACATCACGTGGTTTCAAGAAGAAATGCACAATTTACAAAACCAAAAGTTATTCAAATCTATTTATGTATGCAAATAGAAACTTGAACTCAAGTAACAAGAAAACCTGAAAATGATGCAAGCCAAAAATATAGCTTCTTTATTTAAAACGTTGTTCAAAAGAGCGTCAATGATAGCACAAAGCTTTAAATCATTTTGTTAGAAGTTTTGCTTTAACACATTTATTTCTGAAAGCTAAGATTTTTACGACTGAGATCAAAACACCAAATTGGCGTTTCGAAGTGACACAACTTATCAACCAAAACTTCCCATTTCTTTCATCGAAAGTTTGGTTCAATGTTTGCAAATCAGCACAAAACAAGGAAGCAAAGCTCGAGAGTTGAGCAAATAAAGCTCCTCAACATTTGTGTACAACCCAACTTTACCGGCTAAAGAATCAAACCCATTCAATAACCCACTCATCTCCTCTAAATTCTCCACCGGCCGATGAACCCTCCCGGCGATTACCCGACACACAATCAACGCCTTCCGATCACTACCACCACCACCGTCGTCAATCACAATTGACTCAAACGCCCTCTCACTCGTCGACGCAGTAAAAACCCCAATTCCGTTATTCATCTCCCGTTTCGCCGAGAACCCGTTTCGTATAATCCGGCAAACGCAGCATTTTTCCGACGAACACAAACTCGTCGACCCGTTTATCCCTAAAGCGCAAGCGACGGTGGTGCCGTGAAACCTGAGCAGCTCGTTTCCGTCGGCGATACATCTCGGGTGTTTCTTTTGTAGCTTGCTTGCTCTGATCTTCACTGTGTCTCTGTATTCTTCAAATCTTGCTAAGGTTTTTTGCATGTTGTGCACTTTCAAGATCCGGTCGATTCTCCCTCCTTGATTCTCTGTCTTTAACCAACTTGTTCTGCAGATTATCTCCACAATCTTCCTCGACGAGTCTCCTTCCATGAGCTCAGTCACTGAAATCAATTTGGGTTAAAATGAATCTCTGTAACCTAATTGTGAAATTCGAAGATGAAATTTACCAACTTTGGGAACAACTTTGCTCAAAAAGTAAGAGATTTTGAAATTCGAATATAAAAGTTACGAACTTTGCTAAAAAAGTGAGAAACTTTGAAATTCAAAGATGAAAGTTACAAACTTTTCTAAAAAGGAAGAAACTTTGAAATGTGATTGATTATTACCGGCGTGTTTAGTGAGATGGTGAGCTTCTGCAGCTTCGAGTTTGCTAAATTTCTCGCCGCATTTATGGCAAGAAACAGAGGAATTGTCTCCATTAATGGCGGAATCTCTATCTCTCTCTCTTCTGCTCTGGTGAAACCCTAATCCTTCTCTGTCTAAAGAAGAAGCCTTTCTCGAAGCTTGGCTCCGGCGTGAAGAAGAGTAATTCACCGGCGTCCCTGGCGTCAGAGTCCCCACGAATTCAGTAGCTCCGGCGGCGGTGATCTTGAGCTCGCAGGTGGAGTTGCTAAAGATTACGTCGTGAGTAATGGGATTGAGAAACTCGCTGCTTCCGATAGAACGAGGGCTAGAGCAAAGCGGCTTCTCCAAATGCCGTTGGTTTCCATGGATTACGTCTTTAAGATTGGCTATGGATCTGGAACAACCGGACCGGCCACCGACGCCGCCGGAGGAGGTTGTTGTTCTCTTAGTGGATATGGGAGTGAGCTCTTTTCTGGATCTCGGAATGTGTACATCGGAGACATCAGATTTGCAGGGGAGAGATTTCTTCAGTGAAAACCAAACACTGGGTAGCTTTTTGTTCTTCTGGATATCGGTGTTTTCTCTCTCAATCGTCTTCTTCTTCTTTTTCTCGCTTCTTGTGCTTGAAGCTTCCATTTTTTCTCTTCTCTGTTTTGTCTTCTAAAGACAATGAGAACGAAAGAAGCAAAAGAAAATGACCTAATCAAAAAGCAAAAATTGAAATGAATGGTAGAGAACCTTCTTCTTCTGGCAATTTTCTAGGGAGAGATAGTAAAATTATTATTGAGTTTTTGTCATCAGAACTCTGAAGCTAAGAGCATACACAATGGCACATGTGTGAGTGTCGGTGTGAATAATTTTTTATTATTATAATTAAAGAGAGAGAGAAAAGAGAGATAGAGAGAGATAGAGAGAGTGCAATATTTCTCTTTATTTTAATACTCACACCCAAATGTAAACTTACACCCAACATACAACTTCTACACAACTTTTCTATTTTTTCTCCTTTTTATATTACTCACACCCAACCAAAGATTGTACCATTGTGTATGGTCTAAGAAGATACATAAAATTTAAAATTATGACAGGAAAATACTCCCAAAAATGTATTTTAGACTCCCAATAATGTTTGTTTTTTATGAATTGTTGAATTCATATGTATTGGATTACATGGGTTGATGGTAATATTAAAAATCTTGAATATGGACAGCACAACGCAAAGTACAAACAAAGCGGAATAAGGTCGGAATAAATGTGGTTTAACGTAAAATGGATGGAACAAATAGTGTGAAACCGATATAAAGAAATTTGAATGGTGTTCGTATTTACTTCTAATAAATTTTCTTTTATGTTGTTTGATACGTCAAGACAACAGTTATCGTACTTAGGTAACTTAGCTATCTATGGTACTATTTGACTCACGAGGCCACAGTAGATTTGGTTGTCTTCAGACTAAAAATACAAGTATGTACAATCTCACATTTCCCAAATCTAATGCTTCCAATATGTTTGCATAGTTTTGCTGTTTGAATTGTATTTAAACTTTTTGTATTTAAATAGTTTAAATACAAAAAAGAAGTATTTAAACCATTTAAATTTTCATATACTGTTGGACAACGATACTTCCACAATATGTGTTTGTCCTTCGAACAACCATTCGAGTCAGGAAACAAAAAAAGATTGGAAGTATTGATTTGTCAAGACCAACGAATACAAAAATGAAATTTAACTTTTGGAGTTGCAGAACGTATTATTGACATTTTTCATATTTTTTTTCCATATTTTCTATAAAAAGATCTCATTTCCACAATAATCTAAAAAGCTGTCTGTTTTCATAAATTTCCAATTACTTTTTCATTTTCTTTCGTAACACGAATAATGACTATGTTGTAAGTTTCAAGCATTAAAGACATTTCGACATCCTACACTAAAGAACAATTCAAGTGTTGTGATCCACCGATCTTTTGTATGAAAGGTTGGTAACATCATAACCATCCCACCATGTCCATGACACGCACTTTTCAAATGTCTCTAGTGGGTTTTACTTTCTTTGTTATCCATCTTCGGAAAAATTAGCTTGATTTTAAAACTTTATTGACATTGTAGTTCTTTTGTCGTATACTCGTTGTATAAATTTAATCATACTGTTAGAATTGGATAATTATTTAAGTGATTATCCATCACTTTGATTTTATCTCTTTATCCTATCTAATTACTTTGTCCCCAAGTGACTTGCTCCCAAAGTAAGTCTTAGTGTAGTCTATCCTATTTCTATCTTATCCTATCATGTAACCCACTATATATACGTGAGTCCCCAATGTTATAATGTGGTGTAAGAGAGAGTAATAAAGAGAAGCATTATGTTCTCTCGTAGAACTTCCTCTCTCTCTCTATCTATTACTTACTTCTTTATAAGATCATAAACATATAGTATAATAATAATATTTATTTTACGTTATGATTTATAACACGTTATCAGCACGATGTCTTTACCGCTTGAGCGTTTACGAGGTAAGTAAAATCTATATTATTTAAATTTATTTATGTTTATAGAACATAATTATTTTAGACATCGTGAGACTATGACTTTTTCCGGTTTGATCGTTATAAATGGTAGGCTCTGCCTTCTTTACGATCAAATAAAAAGCTATGTCTTTTCCGGATAGATCGTAATATATAGTAGGCTATGCCCCTTTACGATCAAATAAATGGCTATGTTTTTTCCGGATCGATCGTCATATGGTAGGTTTTACCTTCCTAACGATCAAATAAAAATTTATATTTTTTTCGGATTGATCGATATATATAGTAGGCTCTGCCTCCTTCTCTATGATCAAACAAAAGCTATGCCTATTGAATTCTTAATGGAAGGCGATGCCTCCTGAATTCTTGTATGAAAAGGCTATAATCCATAAATTATTAGTTTTGTGAATTTTTATGTTTAATTATTTTTATTTATTTTATTCGTAAAGAATAAATATATGTGTTATATGAGATTTAAAGACATTGAAATATGTCTTTAAAATCAAAAATATATTTCTCTTATGAGAATATATGAAGCACGTGTCAATATATTTTTAGACAGTGCAAAATAATTGGAAGGTCTAGATGAGCTAGTCTCTCGACTCCCAAATGCATCAGATTCATAATAATCGATGCTTTGTGTACTCCAAAGTCTCAAAGAAACTCGTGTAGTTTCTAAAATATTTTTCTTTATACTTATTATACTGAGACTATGAATAAATGTGGTATTGAATGTCCGACCACAATGGAGACACGCAAATGTATGATTATATCATGCAGAAAAAAAATGGCAAAATATTTATGATAGTAAACAGAGGTTTGCTAATTGTTATAGCCTAGTATAACCGGTCAAGCCATCCCGGTATAATAATGAAATATACATAAAAATCCTAGAAGGATTTAAAGTTCCAGAGACATTAGACTCAAAGTCTAATGAAATATGTGCGGTCAAATTACAGCGATCACTTTACGGATTAAAATAATCCGGACGCATATGATATATTGCTTAAGCGATTATTTGTTAAAGAAAGGGTATATCTATTAATAACGATATATGCCCCTTGCGTCTTTATTTAGAAATCTCTTTCGAGATTTGTGATCATTGCTGTATATGTTGATGACCTAAATTGGAACTCAAAAAAAGTGATTAAATATCACTAAAATTTTATATAAAGAAAGAGAAGCCTTTTCGAGCACTGCATGTTTCCATCCACATTTCAGAGGTAACATTTAATTTTTATTAAATTTATTTAAAATTATTTAAATTTTATATTATATATGGATTCGAAGGTTGTATACCTTCTCTTTAATTCTGTAGTAGGCTATGCCCCAGAATCATATGGTTTTTGGACAAATCACCATTTTTTATTTAATAAGCTCATCGTATATGCTGGTTGATTTCATAATCCCCAAATTAAACCCCGAATATAACCGATCTAAAAATAAGATTCGGTCCAAGATAAATAGGCTTAAAAAGCCATCATCTTGAGAAGGGGTATTACAAGTCCCACATTTTTATAAGGATCTAAGATTAAATACATGATCCGTATCGGATATGTTATTGATCCTAAAGTGGGATTCAGTTCGAGATGAATGAACTCGAAGAGTTATCATCTCGAGGGGGAGAATTAAAGGAATCCCATATCGACAATAAGTCGATAAATTTTGGTGAGTTTGACACCCCAGAGCGAAATAACTTTGGTGAAGTCATATCCTAAAATTTATCACTTTTTGATAAAGTGGAACATCTAAAAATGATATTCACTCTCAAAATGAGCTTTAAGCGAATCGTTCATAACGCAAATCCAAGAGATTGCAAAACGATTCATGGTGATTTAATCTCCATATTTTTACATGGAACATGTAGTTTTACATGTATTAATGATTATATACAAGGCCAACTATTTATAAGAAATATTCTCCCATGTTTTATATACATGATTGGAGATCAAATATTTCTCATTTTAAATTTTATGGGTGTGAGATATATGTTATAAATGCTCCTCTGCACCGCATAAAAATATCATCCAAAAAGGATGAAATATATAGATGCAGGAGATGAGTCTCTGCTCTACAAATACTGAGCCATCTTATGAGAGATGTGCCTATTGCAAGATTTGCAAATCATCATGTTGATGATAAAGTCTCCCATTTTTATGGGAGAATCATTGAATAGTCTCGATCTTTGAACAAATGACTACAATAAATATGAACTTAAGAGTTGAAAAGTTCAAATAGATCACTATTCATAATTAATTGCAAATCAAATGCAAAAAGCTGATGGATGAGATTTCATGAAATTACTGATCCTCGTATAAATGCATATGAACTTAAAGTTCAGATGAAATGTTTTTTTCCAGCTAAAAATGCTCTACAAAAATATGTCTCTGGCGGATGACATATTGTTGTCTATAATACGTAAAAGAACGTGATAGACAACTTTGGTTCCAAATATAAAGAAAATCCTCGAAAATAAAAAAAGGAGCATATTACTACTAAAAAGAGGATTAAAACTCTTAAAAGAGGAGCATATAGACTTCTAAAAAGGAGTATAGAGACTCTTCAAGAGGAGCAAAGAGACTCCTAAAGAAGAGTAAAAAGACCGATTGCCATGGTTAATAACGAAATCAGGTACCTGAATAAAATCATTTATAATGATAAAGAGATTTCGATTAACCATGTCATTACGGAAAACATGGAACCAAAGACAACATAATGTCGACAGTAGAAATGATCTAGCGCGCAAATGTGATTAATGAGGATCATAAATCTCCGCTCTGTGAGCGTAAAGAGATAAATATTGGCCAATAAACAAAGACGCAGCCAAGTCTATATTAATCTTGTATAAGAAACGAGTAATTCCTGGACACATAGTCCAAGCATCAAAAGAGTATTATGATACTCAAGACAAAACGGTGTGTCGCGCCGGGTTTTTTCAAAATCACTCGATATTGAGTTGATGAATAAATGACTTGAATTGCGCCTCATGGGATGTCTGTAGGACTAATCCCTGAAAAATATATGATATCATAATTATATTCTCGAGAACTTATAAGCATGATGTTTTTGAACATCATCAAAACTCTTTAAGAGTTATTTGGAATAAAAGATCTTGGAAAGACAAAAGTGTCTCCAGATATTCCAACTAAACATCTAAAGAAAGAGATGTTATATTAGTCACTTCTAAAAGAAGTCGATTTTATATAGTTTGATCATGAAGCACTATATATAAATGCTGACGAGTATTTATATATTTTGTGAATTGTAGCTAGCATATATATATGCTGACGAGCATTTATATATCTAGTGAATATATTGTACCTAGCATTTGCTACTGATCTACTTGCAGGATTAATTGATCTCCTCCGACTAGATCTTGAATGAGTTTAGATGTGTCTTCCATCATCTGCAAGCGTTTCCAACAACAAATTTTGGTCGTCGCTTGTTCAAGTCATGCCAAAATTATTGCGCTTCATGAAGCATGTCGAGAATTTGTATGGCTCAGATTGATACACTCAATATATACAAGAAGCAAGCAATATAGGCACCAATGAAGAGCCAACAACAAGACACCGCTGCATATGTTTCCCAACTCAAAGGAAGCTATGTCAAGAGCGAGATGACAAGACATATTTCTCCAAAATTCTTCTTTTGCACTCAAGAATCTGAGAAGAAGCAAGAAGTTGATGTCCAATACATCCGGCCAAGTAACAATGTAGCAGTTTAGTTCAAAGGTGCTGCCTACTACGCCATTCAAAATTCATCTTTTGAAGATGATGTTTCCAGGGGGAGACATATGTTGATGTGCGTGGCTGCACTCTTTTTCCCTTATCATGGTTTTTATCCCTCTGGTTTTTTCCATGACAAGGTTTTTAACGAGGCAGCAAATAACACGCAAAAGATAGACAACAAAGTGAAGGTCTATCTCTCTTCAAAAATCTTTGTTATACATTGACGAGATCAGAAGAAGCAAAGAGGATGATCGAGATGCATCATCTACGAAAGCTATAAAGAGAACAAGATTCGTCTGTTCGAGGGGGAGATTGCGTCACTGCACTCTTTTTTCCTTATCATGGTTTTTATCCCACTGGGTTTTTCCATGACTAGGTTTTTAACGAGGCAGTACGCAATATATTAATGATGATGGATAATCAAGGGGGAGTGTTAGAATTGGATAATTATTTAAGTGATTATCCATCACTTTGATTTTATCTCTTTATCCTATCTAATTACTTTGTCCCCAAGTGACTTGCTCCCAAAGTAAGTCTTAGTGTAGTCTATCCTATTTCTATCTTATCCTATCATGTAACCCACTATATATACGTGAGTCCCCAATGTTATAATGTGGTGTAAGAGAGAGTAATAAAGAGAAGCATTATGTTCTCTCGTAGAACTTCCTCTCTCTCTCTATCTATTACTTACTTCTTTATAAGATCATAAACATATAGTATAATAATAATATTTATTTTACGTTATGATTTATAACACATACAACTTTTTTTCTCCCAAAGCTTGATTTCTTACTAAATGAGAAGCTTTGTGGGCTTTTCAGCCACCACAATATGGGTCTATTTAACAAACCCAATATAGCCCATATATCAATCCATTGAAGTAGCCGGAGAACCAAAAAAATGACAAAGCGGTGGGAGCACGAGACTGAAATCATGTTCGTTAAACGTAAAACAATCTAACGGTCCAGATTATCGATCCATGCAGTGTCATATCATTGGTCAGAAATACTTTCTTCCCCACTATATTAATCATCATGGCGGGTTTTGCTGAAATTCATTATTGCTTTTTTTTTTTGTGACAGATAGAAAATTCTCAGCTACGCTTCTTCGTCCATACTTTTTTTGTTTCTCTAGAGATTTTTTTTCTTGGGTAGTAGAAATGGCGGGTCGGGGAAAACAACTTGGATCTGGCGCAGCGAAGAAGTCTACTTCTCGTAGTAGCAAGGCTGGGCTTCAATTCCCTGTGGGTCGTATCGCTCGATTTTTGAAAGCCGGTAAGTACGCCGAGCGTGTTGGTGCCGGAGCTCCGGTCTATCTCGCCGCCGTTCTTGAATACCTCGCCGCCGAGGTAACCAATTCTCATTTATTAATCGTCCGTTAATTTGCTTCATTTTGACGAAAGGGATGTTTTGGCTAGCACTTCTAGCATCTAGGGTTCTGGATTTTAGATTTTCTAAGCCCTTTCGTTAAACTTGTGCAAAATTGGGAATATTTTAGATCGAATTAAGGCTGAATTTCTTGCTTTACCAATTTTGATAATTCTGGCTTAGTTCCTGTTGGTCACTTAAATTCTGTTTATAATTTGCAAACTTTGGTTCTTAGATAGTAATCTTTGTGTGCTTATAATTGTCTAGGTACTTGAACTCGCTGGGAACGCAGCAAGAGATAACAAGAAGACCCGTATAGTTCCACGACACATTCAGCTTGCTGTGAGGAATGATGAGGAACTAAGCAAGTTGCTTGGAGATGTGACTATTGCTAATGGAGGAGTGATGCCTAACATCCATAATCTCCTTCTCCCCAAGAAGTCTGGTCCCTCTAAGCCTACTGAGGAAGATTAGGGAAAGCTGGAAAATGGTTGATATAAGATAATGCTTAGGATTGTTTTTGTTTTCTTCATCTGCTTTTCCTCTGCAGCAATGGAAGCTGTGTGGTTGTACTAGTTGTTAAGGATAACTTTGTTTTACTTTGTGTGAATATATGAAGAATATTGTTCTTAGTGTCTTGACTTCATTGCTTAACTGTTCCATGGAATAGAATGGCCAATTCATGACAGATAAATCAAGTTTTACCGTAATGTTTTATGTCGACCAGCTCTTCTTTCCTAGGGCCAATGAGCAAATCTTTTAAATTTACTTGATAAAAGGAAATAACAAGTGCAATAAAAATGACTCTCACGTTTTCAAAGTATCAGTGGCTAAGAGGAATCACACAGCTCAAACTTTTTTACAATTTAAGGTCTCTGCTTGAACGTGAAACTTTCTGCAGGTTCATGATCTACATAGTCCCTCCAGAAGGTCCTCAGCCATGGGATCTTCTATATGAAACTGCAGAAACCTCTGTGCTCTCTCTATTGGATTTAAGCTGCAGCTCCAGTGACAGGAGATTGCTAGTCAGCCAACTATTATGCATTTAAGCTTCTGTAAGTCCATGATTACATTGTAGCTAGAAAAGCTCCTCAGCAATGTGATTATGATCTATTTGAAACTGGAGAAGCTTCTAATCTCTCTTAATTTTTGTAGGAGATCTGCTAACAAGAGACTCAAAGAGAGCCAGTTAGTATATTTCCATCAAGCTGGTACAAAACGAGGTTGAAGGGCTTCTCTCGTAGTGTTATCATCCCAAGATAAGTTGTTCCACCAGTGTCTTCCTCCTCTTACTTCTTTGACTCTATGAGCGTTACTTGAGCTAATGGGTAGATTCTTGAGAAGATTGCATCTTATCACTTCCACATGTTCTAAAGATCCCCATGACCCTTTTTGGCTACATAATCTGTTTAACCGCGGGAGATTCGTCAGCTTTATGATACGCAGAGCAGGCACCAAGGGTTCAGTGGAGGCTGAAAATTCTCCTGGAGAATAGTCGAACAGCTCCTGAAGCTTTTCACAAAAGCTAACGTGTATCTCTTGTAGGTTCGGCAGGAAACAGATTAAGTTCCCTAACGAGAGAAGGCATTTAAGCCGGCTACATCTGCTGACTTCTAGATGTTTCAGTGTCTGAAATCTTAACCCCAGATGACCCACGAGCTCACTAATGGTTTCCAGATTTACACGACGCAGATGAAGTTCTTCGAGGTTAGGTAGAAGATCCAGATGCGCGACACATCCACCAGCAGGCCTTATACTTCCACCAAAACTATCTACCGTTAGAGACCTCAAAACGTTGAAGCTACTTGTGCTATCAATTACCAAGTTTTCCAGCATTTCGTTGAGACCCCAGCAATGGTTCATTACTAGGGAGGTTGTATTCACTAGCAACCACCCAATGAAGGCCTCTGAAACATTGAGACTACTTATTGTCACTCTCCTTTTGTCATGTCTACTAGGTAAGGAGTTTGCAGTTGGGCCAATAAACAACTGGAATTTCTTCAACTTTTCTATCCAAGAACTGTATTCAGGGGAAAGAGGTGGAACACATACGACCCTGATGGAGAGAACCGATAAACGATGGAGACACGCAATGTCTTCAAGTGTTGCTTGCCCTTCTTGAGTTTTTCCTTGGACGCCCCAGTGGAAATGACTAAGCGTCATGTCTAGAACCTCTAAACTCGATAAATGTTGGATGATTCCAGCTGGAATGCTTTCGAGGTGATGTGTTCGGGAGAGGTCAAGTAGTCTCAAGCTGTTCAAAGTTTTCAACCCTATTGGCAATTCCCTAATACGAGTGGCACAGAGATCCAGAACTTGAATTTTTGTAAGGCCTTCAAGGGAAGGAACTTCTTCAAGGTAGTAGCAGTCTCTCAAGATGAGAGATCGGAGCTCATGAAGCTCTCTGAGGGATAGAGGCAATGAAATTATGCGTGTCCCACTTAGATTCAGAATCCGAAGTGCTGGAAAAGATAGCAAGAACCTTGCAGGTAATGCCTCAAGGTGAAAATTTCCTTGTAGCAGTAAAGCCGAGAGTTCAACACACTCTACCACCTGATCAGGGAGCTTTTTAAGCTTATTGTTCATCAAAGAAACTCTTCGGATAGAAGGCAAAAACTTCTCCAGTGGAAACTCGTGCAAGCCTATGCCAGACATGACAAGAGAGTGACTATCATCTTGCGAGGAAGACATGACCCATATGGCAAAATCGCGAACCACATCATGCATTTTAACTGTGTCATCACGAGCACCCTCTTCTAGCAAGCAAGAGTCTTTCAGATTCTCTACTAAGGTAATTCCTTGATTCATTAGGTACCCATGGTTTTGTGTTTCATCTATGAATCCTTCAGCAATCCAGTACCTTACAAGCTCAGCTATTGCAATTGAGTAATCCTCTGGAAATAAGGCACAAAAGAGAAGGCAGGATTTCATCTTTGGCTCAAGCAAGTCGTAGCTCAATTTCAGAGGCTGGTAGATCTTTTCTTCAATACTCTTGACATATGGAACCGAACTCCTGAGTTCCTTAAGGGCATGTTTCCACAGCTTGACCATCTTCTTCCCACGCATAGCCATTCCAACCGTGATGATAGCCAAAGGCAATCCACCACACTCCCGAGAAACTTTTTTTGCAATGGGTCTAACACGATCTGATCTGGTAACTTCTCCAGCGTTTTGACAAAACAATTCCCAAGCTTCTTCTTCGCATAAGCAATCCACTCTGAAGTCAATATCCGTTTTTATGCTCTGGCAAACCTCTAAAAATCTAGAAGTCAAGACAATCTTTGAACAGTTGTGTCCATCTGTTTGTGGAATCCCTAACTGGTCTAAATCAATGGGTTTCCATACATCATCAAGAATGAGAAGAAAGCTACTTACTTTCTCAAGCTTTCCATGAATCCGTCTCGCCAGTTTCTCCTCGTCTTCGCCTAGTTTGATTTCCATTTCCAACCTCTCGGCGATTTGCTTCTGGACCCTTCCCACTTCAAACTCTTTCGAAACTGTAGCCCATATCACCATACCAAAAGGCTGCGTAGCAGCTTCTTTCCAAAGCTTATTGTTCAGTTCTCTGACTAGTGTTGTTTTCCCGACTCCACCCATACCCCAAACACCGATCTTTTGAACCTTATCGCTCTTTAAACAGCTTAGAACTTTGGCTAACATCTCTGACACTGTTGTTTGATCAGGAATTGAGGGTCCAAGGATTTTTTCAACTAGTTCAGATTTACCTTCCACAGAGACTATGTCGAGAAGCTCTACACCTTGCTTCTCAAGCCTCTTGACTTTCTCAAGAATGACCACAAGTTTTTTGCTCAGCCTGCATTTCAAGGACAGAGCATACGAAACACGCCTTTCCTGCATTGAATGTGCTTCAGAGACAATCTCCTCCACATCTCTTAGCCATCTCCTCAGTTGCACAGACAAGGATTTCCCTTTGATTTCCAAGATTTTGAGGTCTTTCTTCACTTTGTTATGAACTTCCATAAGGCCATTGAGCGCATCCTTCAAAGCATTGATGTTTGACTTGAACCGGATGGTATTAACAGCCCGAGAATAAGTTGATCTGCACATACCACGCCCTATCTCAGCCAAGAAAGTACCCAAGGCTTGGCCCAGACAATCCATGAGAGAGAGTTTCACAGTGAGATTGACAAAACAAGAAGGAAGGAAGTCAATTATTCAAGGAATGTCTGTCACAAATGAATGATCAAAACTATCCTCAAGAAAATGCACAATGAGGCAACAATGACTTCATATGGTCTCTATAATTAAATAACAAGACATTGATGTTGATAGCTTAAGATTCGTTCCGGCAATGATGAGTTGGCTTTTGAAGTTTCTTTGAAACTTGCCTTGAAGACTCTTTCTCCATTTTCAGCGAACTAGTAAGTCTTCTGTTATATTCCTTGAAACTTTCTACTTTAATATTTCAGAACTCTGTTAGGGTTGACTAATGGTTCCGGTTAGGACATATTTCAATTGTCTTCCTTCAAATTCCATTTTTGTAAGGAATCCCATGTAACATAATAACTAGACTGAAAGCAAATTTGATGGAATAAGAAAAACAAAGAACTAAGTACTTACAAGTGAGCATGGAGGCACTTCATGATAGGTATCAATGATGATATATATGCAGCCTTCTTCTATATTTTCCACATCATTGCTCAAGTAGAAAACTTTCTGAAGTCTGTTGTGGCCTCAGAAATTTCCACGGCCATGAAATCCTTTGTTTGGCATTAAAGAAGCATTAGATCTTCTTATTGCAAATGTCAATCAAACAAAATTTAGTACAGCTGAAATTTGGTTTTTAAGTAGATTGTTGATGAAAGTCATTGGCTATAGTAATTTAGGATATACGAAATAATTAATCTGGCACACAGATTTTTTGAATCTCCTTTATGATTTCTACTAATTAACTTAGCGGCGCTAGTTAACATACATCTTAGATCATCTATAGAGTCTCCATAAGTGCTGGCCATGTATAGTTTGTGATGCTAGTCATAGATTCTTTTTGCCATGGCGAAGCAGAAAATTTTCTTCTTCTTTTTCGGAACAGAGACAACCAGCAAAATTTCAGAAGGTACATCGTAGAGAAGAGAATGGCACCGTTGTGCGGGGGAAAACATGGCAAAATCTCGGAAAACATTTTTCATACATGCCATTAGAGTAGCCTAAGACTGCGACAGGGTTGCAGAAGATGTCTATTGTGGCCGATGTATCTTTTGGAGTGAATAATCAACAAATTTGTTAGACAATTATATAGATAGTCAAGAACTTGTTTCCATGAGACATGAGTACGAGACACGGTGATTAACTTGGATATTTTCAACGTTCACCCTCGAGTAAAGAAATTTTCTTAATGTTGTCAGGGTAACCTTTAAATTATTCAAATAACTCATTGTTCCCATGCAAGTGGGAAACGTTTTGATCAATATGTTTGAAAGAGTTTGATAAAAAAAGAAGACTTAACCATCCATACATAAATAAAATTCCAGTGGCAACTTAAAATACCAACGCACAAAGTCTAACCATCAAAGTGGAGCCTTTCTTTTTTTAGTTTACTAAATCAAACCTTCAAAAGTCGTGGTTGCATGATGTATGACAATGGAGTCCTTTATATTAGTGATCCTTTCACATTCCATTTCCGCTAGCAAAAGTGGATCGTTGGAGTTCAATGGATATTCTCCTTACGCCCTCTGGATCGCTCATGGAATCTTAATGGTAAGTTCAATACTAGACTGATTACATTTTTTTAAGTTTAATTTTGGAGATAAAATATTTGTTTTTTAAAAATTTCTGAATATGATTTAGATTGCCATAAGGAAAACAAAAGCTTTAACATATGTTACAGACATCACGGTGCGTTATTTCGCGATTGTGTCACTTTATAAAAACAGAGTTTTGTGTATTATTAAAAATACCCCAAAGTTTTTTCCATCCAAAAAAATAATCCAAAGTGATTTACTATAATATTTTTAACGCACTAAATAATAATATTAAATTTTAAGAGAATCGATCACACACTTCTATGATGGAAATGTAAATCTCTTGCTATTTCGTTTAGTCTTATTAACACGATCTTCCGAGCTCGATTCATATAGATAGGATTTTTTTTTTTCTTTTTTTTTTTTGAGTTTATCTCTTTGAACATTCTAAATAGATCGGAATCGGATTGTAGTAGGTGAGACAACATGTAGGTTTAGTGCCAACTTACAACTAAACGTCATCCTTTATTGCAGATCACAAAGGTCTTTTTGAAGTTGGTGTTGGCTCTGTGTTGCTGATTCAACTAAAACTCCACCATGGAGTGTTTAGCCCCTGTCATTGGTGAGACTTTGCGTTTGATGTACGTCTCAACGTTCTCAAGAGTCGCTAATGCAATAAAGTTCAAATCAAACGTCAAAGCTCTTAATGATTCACTCGAGAGATTGACAAAGCTTAAGGGTAACATGAGTGAAGATCATGAAACTTTGCTGACCAAAGATAAACCCTTGAGACTCAAGCTAATGCGTTGGCAAAGAGAGGCAGAAGAAGTTATCTCTAAAGCAAGGTTAAAACTTGAGGAACGGGTTTCATGTGGTATGTCCTTGAGATCCAGGATGAGTAGGAAACTTGTCAAGATTCTCGATGAAGTGAAAATGCTTGAGAAGGATGGAATAGAGTTTGTCGACATGCTTTCCGTGGAATCTACACCGGAAAGAGTTGAACATGTTCCAGGGGTCTCAGTTGTTCATCAAACAATGGCGTCAAATATGTTGGCCAAAATTAGAGATGGTTTGATAAGCGATAAAACCCAAAAGATTGGTGTTTGGGGCATGGGAGGAGTAGGAAAAACGACATTGGTCAGGACGTTGAACAATAAGCTTCGGGAAGAGGCTGCTACTCAACCATTTGGCTTGGTGATCTTTGTAATAGTTTCAAAAGAGTTTGATCCAAGAGGAGTCCAAAAGCAGATTGCGGAGAGACTGGATATTGATACCCAAATGGAAGAAAGTGAAGAGAAGTTGGCAAGAAGGATTTATGTTGGACTGATGAAAGAGAGAAACTTTCTTCTCATACTTGATGACGTTTGGAAACCCATTGATTTGGATCTTTTGGGCATTCCACGAAGGGAAGAGAATAAAGGTTCAAAAGTCATTCTGACTTCCAGGTTTTTAGAGGTTTGTCGCAGTATGAGGACAGATCTTGATGTTAGAGTGGATTGCTTACTTGAAGAAGACGCTTGGGAATTGTTTTGCAAAAATGCAGGGGATGTTGTGAGGTCAGATCATGTTAGGCCGATTGCAAAAGCCGTTTCACTTGAGTGTGGTGGATTGCCTCTGGCTATCATCACAGTCGGAACAGCTATGCGGGGAAAGAAAAATGTCAAGCTGTGGAATCATGTCTTGAGTAAGCTAAGTAAATCAGTGCCTTGGATCAAAAGCATTGAAGAGAAGATCTTTCAGCCATTGAAATTGAGCTACGATTTTTTGGAAGGCAAGGCAAAGTTTTGTTTTCTCCTTTGTGCTTTGTTTCCTGAAGACTACTCGATTGAAGTTACAGAGCTTGTAAGATATTGGATGGCTGAAGGATTCATGGAGGAACAAGGTTCCCAAGAGGAATCCATGAACGAGGGAATCGCAATTGTGGAGAGTTTAAAGGATTATTGTTTGTTAGAAGATGGTGCTCGTAGAAACACGGTTAAGATGCATGACGTTGTCCGCGATTTCGCCATATGGATCATGTCTTCTTCACAAGATGATTGTCATTCCCTTGTCATGTCTGGTACAGGTTTGCAAGAGATTAGGCAAGATAAGTTTGCTCCTTCTCTTTGGAGAGTTTCCTTGATGAACAATAAACTAGAAAGCCTTCCTGATCTCGCAGAAGAGTACTGCATAAAAGCCTCAGCCTTACTGCTACAAGGCAACTCTCTTCTAAAGGAAGTACCCATTGGATTTTTGCAAGCATTTCCAGCTCTTCGAATCTTGAATCTAAGTGGGACTCGCATTAAGTCATTTCCAAGTTGCTCTCTTTTGCGTCTTTTCAGTCTTCATTCTCTCTTCTTAAGAGAATGTTTTAACCTTGTAGAACTACCTTCACTTGAAACCTTTGCCAAACTTGAGCTACTTGATCTCTGTGGCACACATATCCACGAATTTCCAAGAGGGTTGGAAGAACTGAAGAGCTTCAGACACCTTGACCTTTCACGAACACTTCACCTTGAAAGCATTCCAGCGAGAGTTGTTTCGCGGTTATCAAGCTTGGAGACACTTGACATGACATCAAGTCATTACCGCTGGAGCGTGCAGGGAGAAACACAAAAGGGGGAAGCAACAGTTGAAGAGATAGGATGCCTCCAGCGTTTACGGGTTCTTTCTATCAGACTCCATTCTTCTCCATTTCTTTTAAATAAGAGAAACACTTGGATCAAAAGATTGAAGAAATTCCAACTTGTCGTTGGGTCTCGTTACATTTTGCGTACAAGATACGACAAGAGGAGGCTAACAATAAGTCACCTCAACGTATCACAAGTATCCATTGGGTGGCTGTTGGCTTATACAACCTCGTTAGCACTAAACCATTGTAAGGGGATCGAAGCAATGATGAAGAAATTGGTGATTGACAACGGGAGTTTCAAGAATTTGAAATCTCTGACGATTGAGAACGCTTTCATTAATACAAATTCTTGGGTTGAGATGGTAAGCACGAAAACTTCAAAACAATCCTCTGACATGCTAGACCTTCTTCCAAATTTGGAAGAACTTCATCTGCGTCGTGTTGACTTGGAAACCTTCTCAGAACTACAAACACATCTGGGGCTGAGACTGGAAACACTGAAGATAATCGAGATCACCATGTGTCGCAAGCTTCGAACACTACTCGGCAAAAGAAACTTCTTGACTATCCCAAAACTGGAGGAGATAGAGATTAGCTACTGCGACTCATTGCAGAATCTACACGAGGCTTTGTTAAACCATGAACCTTTCCTGCCAAATTTACGTGTCTTGAAACTGAGAAATCTTCCAAATCTTGTGAGTATATGCAACTGGGGAGAGGCTTGGGAATGCCTGGAACAGGTGGAAGTGATTCACTGTTATCAGCTGAATTGTTTACCCATAAGCTCTACATGTGGAAGAATCAAGAAAATAAAAGGAGAATTGAGTTGGTGGGAGCGTTTGGAATGGGATGATCCCTCTGCTTTAACCACTGTTCAACCTTTTTTCCATCCAGTGAGGGAAGTTCCTCTACTCATAGCGGATGCAGCAACTCAAATGCTATAATTAAGAGTCTCTCATATTCTAGACTCTCATTCTAAGAGTGTTACCCTCTATGTTTCTCTGTTTTGTTCTTTTCGTTAATTTTGTTTGAATCTATCAAGTGTGAATGTGCAAAACTAAACAACTATGTTATGGCAATGCATATATATTGTGAATTTGTGAGTCAAGCTCATGTTACATTCGTTAGTCACCATTCCCCAAGGACCAAGGTATAATAACCACCATGCATCTATTGAACCATTGGTTCTTTATATCTGTCACATATAGCTAGAAAAATCGTTGGATATATAGACAATGAGAGAACTACCTCAAGCTGAAAATAATAGCAGCAATGAAAATGCTTCGTCACATTGATCCAAATACAAGCAAAACAAATCCCCTTCCTCATAAACCTACAAATCTAACAGGAAACAAAAAAGCTATACCTAAATTGCAATCCGAAACCTAACTTATGTCTAGCCACATAAAGTCTAGTCCAAAGCAACAGATCTCCTAGCTTTATGCATTCCAAAACCTAAAAGGAACTTGAAGCAAATGCAGAAATAATTCAATACCATTTGAATCGAATGATATGATCATTGACCCTTCCCTGTAGCTGCTGCCATGAACTGTGTGTGTCAAAGACAGTCTCGTCTTTTCCGAGTTCCCTTCATTGTTATTGCTCAAAACACTGAAAGCAAAATCACCAAAAGAATTAACATGGAAACTGAATTTAGAGTAACAGAGTCCCCTCACTGAGTTACTGGGACCTTTACACTTTACAGAATCTGAAACGACTTTTTTCTTCTTAGATTTCACATGACACATTTGGTACTGTCAGACACCGAATCGATCAAAAGGAGAATTTGGTACTTAAAGACAATTTTGGCCCATACTTTTGGGCTTTGGGTGCATGAACGTGATTAGCCTGTGTAATTTTGAGCCAGTGAAAAGGGTGATTTAGGTAAAAGTAAAAAATCCACTTTTTTAGAAGAATCTATCGTCTGAAAATGCCAAGTTGCCGACGTTTACTGTTTTACCGACACATGCTGTTACCTTTTTTTTTTCTTTTCTTTTTTGCCTACTCGTTAAGTCTTTATTAGTTTATAAAAATAGCTCACATTTATGATTTAATCTTTGAAATTACCGGTATAACACCTAGTGTAACCACATATATGCTCATGAGTCATGAATAACAAAGTACACTTTTTGTTGTAGGTAGACAACATAACTTTTTCACTTTTGACAAAAAAAAATAACTTTTCAAATACTACGTAGAATAAAATCAGCTATAGTTATTTCCAACATACAATTAATGATAGAAGAATCGTTAAATTCTTTATCCAAACCAGTCGATATAGTAATAAGTAATGTAGACTATTATGTAGTTGTCGCCTACACAATTTGTGTATGAGTTAGTTAAGTTCAGTAATATTCACATCTGAAATTCAATATTTTCTTGGTTGCATCTGAATTTCAAGATATATGGAACTCTTTACTCTTTAGTATTGTTTCCTTTAGATTTAGATTTTTAAACTACCAATTTTCAAACTTAAATAAATGCTATAATACATGAGAATCAGAAAATACATAAATACAAATGTAAGGATCGTTTGACTTCATCCGAGTTATTCGAAGAAATGGTTTCACAAACAAATTCAATAACGTAAATGAAAATTAAATAAAGTAAAATAAAATTTGTATTGACATATGTACAAAGGGACATATTCAATTAATTTGCTGAAAAAAAGGAAATAAATAAAGCAACGGATGAGATCGCACTAGCTCGGCGAATTCAGATCTAATCAACGGCCCTACACTCATCTCTCTCTCTCTGAACAAAACCAAACAACAGAAATAGAACAAGTAGCGAGCGACGGGAGAGCAGAACGGAGACATATCGCCATTTCTAAGCTAAACAACCAGATAGATAATACAAAGGTCTTCTTCTTCTCTCACAAATTACTTCAAAATCTGGTCTTTGTTTTCTCTATGAAACAGCCACACCCAAAGTTTTAGTCTTTTATGTTTTTCTTTAGTGATAGTGTTTCACTATTTTGTTGTTTAGCTTAAATCATTGCTTAATTTTTTCTCTTTGTAACAACTTTGCTGTTTTCAAAATTGAAAAAAAAAGAAACCATTGATTCACGGGTTTCAATCCTTTTCAATTTAATCTTTATATATCCATTTAATTATTTCTAAAATAAAGATCTCTGAGAAGAAAATAAAAATCATTTTTTTTTGCAGGTTTGATGCTTATAATTGGCGTGAAAGAGACAAATCCAGAGTGTGTGTAATTAGGTACGAGAAGAATTTCAGCTAACTTTTTTAGAGAGAAACAACAATAATAGATGGTTGGGGAAATGACGAACAATGGAAGAATCCGGCCATCGTTTCCGGTGAAAGATCTGACTAGTAATGAAGGATCTGAATATGGTGGTCCTGTTGAGTTTACCAGAGAAGATGTTGAAACTCTTCTTCATGAGCGAATCAAGTACAAGAGCAAGTACAATTACAAGGTCTCTCTCTTTCTTTCTCTAATCTTTATGTTTGGTTTGGTGTCTGAAATCGAGATCTCTCACTTCATGCAATTGATTACATAAGCAAGTCTATCAAATGGGTTTTCTTATTTTGTAGTTTTAGTCTCGTGATTTTTGAAGTTCCAAGTCTGAATTGGATGCTGTTTTTGTTTTATTATTTTGCAGGAGAGATGTGAGAATACGATGGACTATGTAAAAAGGCTTAGGCTTTGCATTAGATGGTTTCAAGAACTTGAGTTAGATTATGCCTTTGAGCAAGAGAAGTTGAAGAACGCCATGGAGATGAACGAGAAGCATTGCGCCGACTTGGGTGAGTTTGTTACAAATTTGCTTCTTCTTATGAACATTTGGGATTTTGTAAGACTTATATTCTATGCATTTGTTTGCAGAGGTTAATTTGAAAGTAAAGGAAGAGGAGCTTAATATGGTAATCGATGAACTGAGGAAGAACTTTGCCTCTGTTCAGGTTCAACTTGCCAAAGAACAAACAGAGAAATTGGTAAGAAAACTGCTACTTCCAGTTAAAAGTAAGTTTCATTTTCTGCGGTTTTCTAAACTTGGTATTCTTTTGTGTAAGGCTGCAAATGAATCTCTTGGGAAAGAGAGAGAAGCAAGACTTGCTGTTGAAAGTTTGCAAGCTGCCCTCACAGAAGAGCTAGCAAAAACGCAAGGAGAGCTTCAAACAGCTAATCAGAGGGTGAGAAAGTCAGAAAGATCCTTAAGGGAAATAATTAGTTGATTGACGTTGAATGTTTTTCGGATTGTTTTGTTTCAGATTCAAGCTGTCAATGACATGTACAAACTCTTGCAAGAGTATAACTCGAGCTTGCAGTTGTACAATAGCAAGCTCCAAGGTGATCTCGACGAAGCTCATGAAAATATAAAGCGAGGAGAGAAAGAACGGACTGGCATTGTAGAAAGCATTGGCAACTTAAAGGGTCAGTTTAAAGCACTGCAGGATCAGCTTGCTGCCTCTAAGGTGATTTGATTCTGCGTTCTTGATCAATGAGAGTAAAATTTTGTTTAGATCAGGGTATGACGTGTGACTTGTTTTCATTAGGTGTCACAAGATGATGTCATGAAGCAAAAAGATGAATTGGTGAATGAAATTGTAAGTCTCAAGGTTGAGATTCAACAGGTCAAAGATGACCGTGACCGCCACATTACGGAAATTGAAACTCTGCAAGCCGAAGCAACCAAGCAAAATGACTTCAAAGACACCATAAATGAGCTTGAGGTTTATGTTCATTCTTGATGCATTCCTGTATTCTCTTCTTAAAAATCTATATGGAGATTATTGTTTCTTAAGATAGTGTAATCTTTGTCCAGAGTAAGTGTTCTGTTCAAAATAAGGAGATACAAGAGTTGCAGGATCAATTAGTAGCTTCTGAGAGGAAACTGCAGGTTTCATCGCATTCTTGAGTTTTACATATAGCAACGAAATGTACATGAAAATCTCTAAATTCTTGTTGCATATATTTTTATTATGAGTAGGTGGCTGATTTGTCTACTTTTGAGAAAATGAACGAGTTTGAAGAGCAAAAGGAAAGTATTATGGAGCTGAAGGGTCGCTTAGAAGAGGCAGAACTTAAACTCATCGAAGGAGAAAAACTACGGAAGAAGTTGCACAATACCATACAGGTTAAAAATTGTCATTTGGTGTCCATTTATTTCCCTTGTAAAATGTTGAGCAATGGCCGATTCTGAAAGATAGAAATGTTGCAGGAATTGAAAGGAAACATCCGCGTATTCTGTAGGGTTAGACCTCTATTATCGGGAGAGAATTCTAGTGAGGAGGCCAAGACTATATCCTACCCTACATCTCTAGAGGCACTTGGCCGGGGCATTGACTTGATGCAAAATGGTATGAACAAATCTTCTGAAAAAAGATCATTCTTTGCGAAAAAAGAAAGAGACTCATTTGTTGTTTGCTCTGGCCAGGGCAATCGCATTGTTTCACATTTGATAAGGTTTTTGTACCAAGTGCATCACAAGAAGATGTTTTTGTAGAGATTTCTCAACTTGTCCAGAGTGCTCTTGATGGTTACAAGGTACTATCTGCTTTAGCTTAGTTTAACTCACTGTTTGCTTATGTCTTCATTAATCAATTCCTCGAATTCACACTGTATATTTTGGTAATACTGTCTAACCGCTCAATAAAAGCACGGGAATGATGAATAATGTTATGTTTCACTGCATCTTCTTGGACTAAAGGTGCTATTACTCAATTTTCAGGTTTGCATTTTCGCATATGGACAAACGGGATCTGGAAAAACTTATACAATGATGGGTAGGCCAGGAAACCCGGATGAAAAAGGACTGATTCCTCGATGTTTGGAGCAAATATTTCAAACGAGGCAGTCTCTTCGATCACAAGGTTGGAAGTATGAGTTGCAGGTAACAAATCTCCTAGAGACTTATAAATGTATGATGTAACATTCATAGTATTATTGATTGGTCTATATATATTATAGGTGTCTATGTTGGAAATATACAACGAAACGATTCGGGATCTCTTGTCAACAAACAAGGAAGCTGTGAGAGCAGACAATGGCGTTTCTCCTCAGAAATATGCAATCAAACATGATGCTAGTGGGAACACACATGTTGTGGAACTTACTGTTGTAGATGTTCGAAGCTCGAAACAGGTTTCGTTCCTCTTAGACCACGCAGCTCGAAACAGGCAAGTATCTGTTTTGAAGATTGGCAATGGTTCCTTTATTAGAGAAACCGAAAGCTGCTAATGAATCAAACTGTCTTTATTTTTCTTTCAGGTCAGTTGGGAAGACCGCGATGAACGAGCAATCATCTAGAAGCCATTTCGTTTTCACATTAAAGATCTCTGGATTCAACGAGGTACTAATCGGGTTTCTTACTGCAACAACAACATTTGTTAGTCCGGTGTTTGTTTCTGCTAACCCAACACTGGGGTTTATCTTATTTTTTTATTTACAGAGCACAGAGCAACAAGTACAAGGTGTCTTGAACCTGATTGATCTTGCGGGTAGTGAGCGTTTATCAAAGAGCGGATCAACTGGCGATAGACTGAAAGAAACTCAAGTAATGTCTGCGAAATTGAATAAACACATTTTTAGAGACACAAAGAAAGATTTAATTTTAGGCTTAATGATTATTTTCTTTTTACTGAAAGGCAATCAACAAAAGCTTATCGTCTCTAGGCGATGTCATATTCGCCTTAGCGAAGAAAGAAGACCACGTTCCTTTCAGAAACTCAAAGCTCACTTATCTTCTTCAGGTAAGCATTCAAAATCATCATTTGAAGAGAACCTAAAAGATTCTGTGTTGTGATGAAACTTTTTGAAATTCTATGAACAGCCCTGTTTAGGTGGCGACTCCAAGACGCTAATGTTTGTGAACATCACACCAGAACCTTCCTCAACCGGTGAGTCTCTGTGCTCCCTCAGATTTGCAGCAAGAGTGAATGCTTGTGAGATCGGAACCGCACACCGTCATGTTAACGCCAGGCCATTAGATTATCGCTTGAGCCTTGGATGAGAATTCTCCTCCGAAGCCAGACAAATAAAGTTATGTTTATACCCAGATGTTGGTGCTAAATCTGTATATAGCTTGTATTAGCCTCAAGGGTCTGTTATCTTTTACTCTTGTCTTGGATCAGAAGGATTTGTGTGTTGAAAAAATCATAATGTTCTGAGACCATTAACCGCATCATTTCATTTATCGTTATCACGGCTAATTGAGCATTACCGCGGCTGCAGCTATCAGCACAACAACATGTATTAGTGTATCAGATTGGTTTACTATCAACTGAGAACCGAGTGTGGTTATCTCAGTTAACCGGAACTCTCCACTATAAATAGAGGGTTCTATTGTAACAAACTTTTCTTAAGAGAGTATAACAGAATTTCATTATCTTCTTCGTTTCTCTCTCGAATCCTTCTACAACTATCATGGTATCAGAGCGTTGAGTCAGAAAACTCAACAATTTCGATCAAAATTCTATGGATCTTCGAGGTTTTTCTTCGCAAATCTCATCGATTCTCTCGTTTTCACTTTCTTCTCCGATCAATTCTTCATAAATTCAGCTGAAAGATCTTGCGATGGTTTCCGTTGAGAAATTGCGGCGTCGTACTAGAAGATCTACTAAAAATCCAGCTGAGAAGACTCCAGATCGTGTTCATTCTTCACCGATTCCACCGATTTCACCTCTGATTCAACCAAATTTCGTATCAAGACCTCCGATTCATCCTTTACCACAGTTTGACTTCACGGATGCTCATTATTCGCCATTTGCTCTGTCAAACAGTGATAGTCCTGGTAATACTCTAGTCTCTGAGGTACTTGATGGATCTAATTTCTCGTCTTGGAAGATTGCGATGTTTGTTGCTTTGGATGCTAAAAACAAGATTGCGTTTGTTGATGGTACTTTACCAAGACCTCCTGAATTCGATCCTAGCTTTCGTGTATGGTCTCGATGTAACAGTATGGTTAAATCTTGGATATTGAATTCTGTCACCAAACAAATTTACAAGAGTATACTGCGTTTTAATGATGCTGCAGAAATTTGGAAAGATTTGATTACAAGGTTTCATATTACGAATCTGCCTAGATCTTATCATTTGACTCAGCAGATTTGGGGATTACAACAAGGTTCTATGAGTCTTTCTGAATACTATACATCATTGAAAACATTGTGGGATGATTTGGATGGTGCTAGTTGTGCGGATACTTGCCAGACTGCAAATGTTGTGTAGCTACTGCGTCTAAGGCTGATCATGCCAAGATTGTGAAGTTTCTTGCAGGGTTGAATGAATCTTATGCGACTATACGTAGTCAAATTATCATGAAGAAAACAATTCCTGATTTAGCAGAAATTTACAACCTCTTGGATCAAGATCATAGCCAAAGGAGTATGGTTACTGTTACTAATGCATCTGCATTTCAAGTTGCAGCTTCTTCTAATGAACAGTTTGCTGTGAATGTTACCCGTTCTTACCCTCCTAAAGCACCTAAAGTGACGTGTTCTCACTGTGGTTACACTGGACATACGACAGATACTTGCTACAAAATTCATGGTTATCCATTGGGATTTAAACACAAGCAGAAGAATGTTGTACCACCAGAGAAATCAAAGCCTGTTGTTGCTAATCTCGCTTTGACTGATGGGAAAACAATGAATACTAAAGGGATTGGACCAGATGGTATTGCTGAATTGGTAGGAAACATGTCAAAGACTCAAATACAAGATGTGATTGCCTATTTCAGTACTCAGCTACATAATCCTGCACAACCAATTACTATTGCCTCTGTTGCAAGCACTAGTGATAATGATGGTTCTGCTTTTAATGGTATTTCTTTTTCTCCCTCTACTCTGTGGTTGCTATGTGTTTTGACAACCTCTAGGAAAATGTTAACTGTTAATACTTGGATCATAGATAGTGGTGCTACTCATCATGTTTCTTTTGACAGAAATTTGTTTGAAAGCCTATCTGATGATTTGAGTAGTGAAGTAACACTACCTACTGGTTCTAATGTCAAGATAGCAGGAGTAGGGATTATTAAGTTGAATGAATATATCACATTATACAATGTGTTGTATATTCCTCAATTTCGACTTAATCTTCTCAGTGTAAGTCAATTGACTAAAGATTTGAAATCAAAAGTATATTTTGATGAGGGTTGCTGTGTAATTCAGGATCCTATCAAGGAGCAGAAGATTGGTGAAGGGAAACAGATTGGAGGCTTATATGTCTTGAGTACTAGTCCTGCTGAATGTTCTAGTTTAGATAACAACTCCTCTGTTTCAGTAAATGCTCATTGCAATGCTATTGTTGATAATGCCCTTTGGCATAGTAGATTAGGACATCCCTCATTTGAGAAGATTGATGTTCTACACAATGTACTTGGTTTGAGAAAAGGAAATAAAAATGAGATTGTTCATTGTGCAGTTTGTCAACAAGCAAAGCAAAAGCGTCTTACTTTTCCTTCTAAGAATAACATGGCTGAACATGCTTTTGATTTGGTCCATATAGACACTTGGGGACCGTTTGCAACACCAACTGTTGAAGGTTTCAGATACTTCTTGACTATTGTGGATGATTATAGTCGGGCAACATGGGTGTACTTGATGAAGGCTAAGAATGAAGTTTTAACTTTGTTTCCTGGTTTTCTTGCAATGGTGGAGACTCAGTATCAGACTCCTGTGAAAGCAGTAAGATCAGACAATGCTCCTGAGTTGAAATTTGAATCATTGTACAGAGAAAAGGGGATTGTTTCATATCATTCATGTCCTGAGACACCTCAACAGAATTCGGTTGTGGAGAGAAAACACCAACACATACTTAATGTTGCAAGAGCTTTGATGTTTCAGTCTTGCATACCATTGGAGTTTTGGGGAGATTGCATTCTGTCTGCAGTTTTTCTGATAAATCGTTTGCCAAGTGTTCTTCTCTTGAACAAATCTCCTTTTGAGCTCCTCCACAACAAGGTACCTGACTACTCTCTACTTAAAGTCTTTGGCTGCTTGTGCTACCAATCAACAAGTACTCATCAGAGACACAAATTTGAGTCTAGAGCCAGGGCTTGTGTATTTCTTGGTTACCCTGCAGGGTATAAAGGCTATAAGTTGCTTGATTTGGAAACTAATAGTATTCACGTTTCAAGGCATGTTGTTTTCTTTGAGGCTATATATCCTTTCGCTGATAAGAAGCACATTCCACAAGATATTTTTGAAGAATCAGTGTCTACTACCGTATCTGAATCAATACCTCATGCCATTTCAGAAGAATCCTTGTCTGTTGAAAATAAGACAGTGGACTCTGTACCTTCCTCTACTGAAACTGTAAAAGGGTCTAAAAGGAAAACAAGACCACCTGGTCACCTACAAGACTACTATTGTAATGCAGTCCCGGATGTACAGAAAGATGTCAGGTATCCTATTTCAGCCTATATTAACTATGCTCAGCTCTCTGAAGAATTCACTGCTTATATATGTGCAGTAAATAAGTATCCAGAACCATGTACTTATGCACAAGCTAAGAAAATCAAAGAGTGGCTTGATGCTATGGAAATAGAGATAGAAGCATTGGAATCAACAAATACCTGGTCAGTTTGTTCTCTCCCTGATGGTAAGAAACCAATTGGCTGTAAATGGGTTTTCAAAGTGAAACTTAATGCTGATGGAAGTCTAGAGAGGTTCAAAGCACGCTTAGTGGCTAAAGGGTATACACAAAAGGAAGGTGAAGACTATGGTGATACTTTCTCTCCAGTGGCCAAAATGACAACAGTGAAAACATTGCTTTCTGTTGCAGCCGCAAAGGAGTGGAGTCTCCATCAGTTAGACATATCAAACGCCTTTCTCAATGGTGATTTAAACGAGGAGATTTATATGAGTTTGCCTCCAGGATATTCTATGAAACAGGGAGGAATCTTACCTCAGAATGCAGTGTTGAAATTACAAAAATCCTTGTACGGATTAAAGCAAGCATCAAGACAATGGTACTTGAAGTTCAGCTCAACATTGATGAATCTTGGCTTCAAGAAATCACATGCAGATCACACTCTATTCACTCGTATTTCTGGTAATATCTACACTGCTTTACTAGTATACGTTGACGACATTGTTATTGCTGGGAATAATGATGTTGCTATAGAGGAATTAAAGACTGATTTAGCAAAGGCCTTTAAGCTTAGAGACTTAGGTCCTCTTAAGTATTTCTTAGGCCTGGAAATTGCTAGATCGAAGAAAGGAATCTCAGTTTGCCAGAGAAAATACACACTGGAATTATTAGAAGAAACTGGTTTATTGGGTTGCAGACCTTCTACTATTCCTATGGAACCAAGTGTGAAACTAGTTCTTCACAGTGATGAACCAGAGTTACAGAATCCTGAAGTTTATAGAAGATTGATTGGGAAGCTCATGTATTTGACGATTACAAGACCTGACATTACATATGCGGTCAATAGATTGTGTCAATTCTCATCAGCCCCTAAAAACTCACATCTAAAGGCAGCCTACAAAGTGATTCATTATCTTAAAGGAACCATTGGACTGGGATTATTTTACTCTGCTACTTCAGACTTGTGTCTCAAGGCATATACTGATGCTGATTGGAATTCATGTAAAGACTCCAGAAGATCTACATCAGGTTATTGTATGTTCCTTGGAAATTCTTTGATTTCTTGGAAATCTCGGAAACAAGATGTATGCTCTGCTTCTTCTGCTGAATCCGAGTATAGAGCAATGGCCATGGGAAGCAAGGAGATAGCTTGGCTTGTGAAGTTACTCAATGAGTTTCAGGTACCTCAAAATAAACATGTTCCTCTATTCTGTGACTCTACTGCAGCAATTCATATCGCCAATAACTCCGTTTTCCACGAGCGTACGAAACATGTTGAGAATGATTGCCACATTACTCGTGATCGGATAGACCAAGGCTTGCTGAAGACTTTGCATGTGCAAACTACAAATCAGCTTGCTGACGCTCTTACGAAACCACTGTATCCTGCTCTTTTCCAATCTCTTATAGGCAAGATGAGTCTTCTCTCCTTATACGTCTCATCTTGAGGGAGGATATTAGTGTATCAGATTGGTTTACTATCAACTGAGAACCGAGTGTGGTTATCTCAGTTAACCGGAACTCTCCACTATAAATAGAGGGTTCTATTGTAACAAACTTTTCTTAAGAGAGTATAACAGAATTTCATTATCTTCTTCGTTTCTCTCTCGAATCCTTCTACAACTATCAACATGCATCAACAAATATCAGTATATCACCATTATTGTTCATTTTAAGCATACATTATCATTCATTTTGTTCTGACTGAATATTAATTCTACTAACCATAATGAATTTAGGTCTAATAAGAAAGGAAACTTCAGTAAGTAGCATATAAGGAAAAAAATAAGTAAGTGGTTGCCGGAATCTAGTAGTTACATGAGATCGACAGATATATAGGTGGCCCGTAGTCATCAAAAGATATATATTCGTTGGGCAAATGGATGGTTTTTAAAAGCAAAAAAAAAAAACAAAATTGGATGATTTTAAAATTTTAATATTGAGCTTGAAGTCTTAATTACTCATGCATCATATTTCTCGTTCGTTTAATTTGACTAATGTTTTTTTAGCGCATTAAGAAAAAAGTCATCATTTTTTTTATTGACTAATTGTTTTTATTTTATCCTACATTTCGAATCGATTAATTTTTATTTAATTTTGTTAATCTAGCCGGCATTACTTTTTAGGGAACGCTAGCTAGAACAGCAAAAGAAACGAATACAGAACATAAACAAACTTAACCTCTTATTTATTACTGCTAATTACATTAGCCTCAAACATCCTAAGCTTACAGTTTTATAAAACACACACGATGACTGTGTATAGTATTAACATACATCAATGGCCACACTCATGATCATCGTGCTAGGGCTTGGAATCTAGTAGTAAGGAGGGAAGAAAGGGATGGTGCTCTGGAAGGGGCATTCACCAACTTGCTGGATTTTGCAAACGTTAGGCAAGTGCTTAGCTGTCTGGTAAATTTTCCTGGATTCGAATGGTCCGTGCTGTCCCTGGAGTCTAACAGCTCTAGCCGCCTGTTTCAAGGTGGGGCAAACGCAAACTGGCTCTTCCTGGCGAAGCTCGTTGCAGCACTTCTGGAGTAGCTGGTATCCCTGCTGGGGGCCCTGTGGGTTCTCCATGTCGTCTTCGAAATCGAACTCATCGCCACGTCCTTGCCTTGTTTGCTTCTGCATCCATCTCTGGCAAGCTCTTAGGTGCTGTGATTGCTGGAACTCCTTCTGGCATCTCTGTCTTGGGCCCATGGGGTTGGTGGCGTCATCTTCCTCGAACTCGACGACTGTGCGGTAGATGGAAGCGTTGGTGAGGAGGAAGCAGAGGGCGAGAGTTGCGCCGACGAGGAAGAGCTTGTTTGCCATTTTCTGCTATTTGTGTATGTTTTCCTTGTTTTAGTTTGAGTGAAGAGTGTAGTGAAGGATTGGTTTGTATAAATTGTATTTATAGGTGACAAAGGAGATTTGCATGGCAATCACGTGTATGAATGCATGAGTGTGTGTGGAGTCATGGAGAGAGAGATTCTCTTTCGTTGTTGTCGGGATTATGTGTTGGAAAAGAGTGACAAGTGACGAACAATACCACTCCTAGGCTCCTAGCTCCGCTTCTGCATGCTATGTGTGATTTGTAGCTCATTTTCTGACATGACATTATGAACGATTATATTTTTTAGAAAGAAGGTAAAACTTTTTATTAAAACACACACTTTTAATTTGGTTTTGATCGAATGAGATGCGAATTCAATCATAATTATTTAACCCTCTAAATCACTCGTACAAAAAAGACAAACAATAAGTAATTTATCTCTTACATAAAATCAGTGGTAATAAATTAAAGTTAAGAAATAAAACCGAAATATGTGAGACACACATAATTAGAGGTGTCAAAAACTCAAAATGCGTCAAAACTTATAGATTTACCAAAACATTACCAAACCGTGAACTACAAGTCAAAGAAAGTACCAGGAACCATGTTTTGACTGAAAATTTAAAACAGAGAGATGAAGAGAATGAGAAGAAGTTATACAAAATATTTTACGAATTCTGAATCGAGAGTTAGTACATCGACTAGTTCAATCTAGCAATTACTATGTTTTTCATTTCAAAGAGTTAGAATGACTCAAAGATATGAATGATACAAAATCCGATCCATAAGACCCATTATATTCTCTAACTTTCCAACCACGTTTAGCTTAAACCAAAGTAAACCCTTTCAAAAACAGACTAATGGCTCTTTCAGAAATCTGCATGCAGCTCTTAACCAGAACTAATTGTGTTCACAGAACAACATCAACACATTTTTACAAGACATTGTTTTCTCTGTTTATTTGATTGGTAACGTTTTACACTCTTGACCACAATGGCTAGCCCTTTTTTACCACAATTGTTAGCGACTATCAGTCAAACCGATCATGTATGTAAAATATATCATTTTTGAACTTCGCTTCCACGGGATCATCTAATGTACAATTAAATGGCATGTCTCTTCCACTTGATGGCGTGCAAATTCTTGAGGCCAACAAATAGATATTAAAACGCACGTGGTAGCCGTGGTAACTGGACTATGGTGTAAATACAGACCAGCATGATGCTTCATTCTTATAGAGAACAAATTTTCTGCGTGTTGGATCACTTGGAACTGTGCTTTGGTCAAGTGTTTTATCCATGGTGTAGTTTGCCGGACACTCTTGCAAACAAATTATTCACCCTTGAGAGTAGTCAGCGCATAGCCCTAAGTTTTAGTATGTGTGCGCGCGAGTCGGTGACTGAACACCAAGTGCTATACCAAAAAATAAATAGCTAGTATACTAACATTTTGAGTTCATGCAAAAATGTTCTTTGCATATATCATATGGATAAATGTTTAATACTTAAGAGTTGATAAGATGATCTAGAATTAGTTGCAAATTATCTTCACCATATCTTCGGTTGTGAGAGAAATATAATTGATTGTTAGAGCCTAGAGGGGGACAGTCATAGAGCAGTTTTTAATTGGTATTTTGCTTAATTAACCTGTAAATTTGATTGTAAACTAATATTTCGGACCACCTAGAGAGAGCGTATGCAAGTGAAAATTAAACATAAACAAAACTCTTATTTATTAAGGACTTGTGCTAATTACATTAGCCTCAAACATCCAAAATTTACATTTTCATAAAACACACGATGAGGTGTGGTGTTAACATATATCAACAACCACACTCTCATACGCTCGATGGTTTTGTTTGGAATCTAGTAGTAAGGAGGGAAGAAGGGGATGGTGGTCTGGAAGGGGCATTCACCAACTTGCTGGATCTTGCAAACGTTAGGCAAGTACTTAGCTGTCTGGTAAATTTTCCTGGATTGCAATGGTCCGTGCTGTCCCTGGAGTCTAACAGCTCTAGCCGCCTGTTTCAAGGTTGGGCAAACGCAAACTGGCTCTTCCTGGCGAAGCTCGTTGCAGCACTGCTGGAGTAGCTGGTGTCCCTGCTGGGGGCCCTGTGGGTTCTCCATATCGTCTTCGAAATCGAACTCATCGTCGAGGGCGGGACCACCACCACGACCTTGCCTTGTTTGCTTCTGCATGAATCTCTGGCAAGCTCTTAGGTGCTGTGATTGCTGGAACTCCTTCTGGCATCTCTGTTTTGGGCCCATGGGGTTGGTAGCGTCATCTTCGTCGAATTCGACGACGGTGCGGTAGATGGAAGCGTTGGTGAGGAGGAAGCAGAGGGCGAGAGTTGCGCAGACGAGGAAGAGCTTGTTAGCCATTTGCTATTTGTATGTGTTTTTACTCGTTATTTGTGATGATGTAAAGAGTGGAATGAAGTGGTTAATTTATAGGGGAAAAAAGAGATTGCATGGTGATCACGTGTAAGAATGCATGTGTGTGTGAGAGAGAGTGAAGCTCTTAGGTTTTGTTGCCGCGATTAGGTGTTGGCAGAGAGTGACAAGTGACGAACAACACCAGCCCTCCGCGTCTGCATGCTATGTGTGATTTGTAGCTCATGTTCTGACGTACGTGACATCTTGTGAACGATTTTTAAGAAGAAGCCAAAAAGATTATTAAAACAGAATTAATTTGGTTTCAGTGGAATATCTGAGTCAATGTTTTGGTGGTATGGTGCAATTGGAAAATATGTTTTGGGAGCTTAATCTGAAATGTAGATGTTAGAAAATGATTCTATATAGTCACGGTGCACGACCCAACAGTGTTATAAATATGTAAATGAGGGAATACAACTCAGAAGACTAAAGTATTATATTTTAGAGAAATTGGCCAAAATGGCTACAGAATATAGTGAAATCGAAATTATAGCATAGTGACAAATTGAGACTTTTTTTTGTTTAGAACAAATTGACTCTTATATCTCTATAACAATTTATAAAAAAAAGTTGTGTATATAGTAGTTTTCAATGTGTTTATCGGTGTTTAATTTGTAACCTGCGATGGGAATGTCTAGTAAAATATTTCGGGAATTATCTCAATTTGTTCTTCTCTTTGGTTCAACTTTTATCCGGCATGTTTTACTCTTGTTTGGCTACACGTTTTAGGTCCATTAGCAAATTCTGTGAGCTATTGCCTTCAAAAAATAACTAAAATTTTTCACTTCGAAAAAATCTCATCAAATCATTTTTCAAATGGACTATTCATAAATCAATGAATCTCAAACTCTAGTTACAGTTAGTCGTTTATGGTGTCATACCATTCATAAACAAACTGTGTACCATTCTCATATAGATTATCAATCTCAAATCGAAGATTGTACATCATTTCGTTTATGCAAGTTATAGTTTTTTTAAGTGTTCATTTATATGCTTCGTTATAGCTTTTTAAAGAAGAAAAATTGGACACCAGTTTTTTAAAATGGTACGTACTTTTAGCCACATTTTTATTTTTATTTTTTGACAAAGACATGTATACCATTTGTTAAAGTAGCAAGAAAGATCAAACTGCAAATTCATTCCCCTGGTCTCTACGCACTTGATGCATGCAGTCTTAATTAGTTACAATTTACACATTATATCTCTGATGAGTAGTAGTCTATGATCTATCCGTGGAGCAGTAGCCTATGATTATTCCCGTTCATTGTAATAAAGTAATTTTTATCTAACCGTCATGACATTTTAGAGAGCAGCAGCAAATTAAATTTAGCAAACCAAAAACATAAACAAAACTCTTATTTATTAAGGAGTAGTGCTAATTACATTAGCCTCAAACATACTAAAGCTTACACTTTTCATAAAACACACGATGAGGTGTGGTATCAACCACACTCTCATACGCTTTGAGAGTTTTGTTTGGAATTTAGTAGTAAGAAGGGAATGAAGGGATCTTGAAGGGGCAAACATCAACTTGCGGGATGTTGCAAACTTTAGGCAAGTTCTTAGCTGTCTGGAAAATTTTCCTGACTTGCATTGGTTGGTGCTGTCCCTGGAGTCTAACGGCCTTGGCAGCTTGTTTCAAGGTGGGGCAAACACAATATGTCTCTTCCTGGCGAAGCTCGTTGCAGCACTGCTGGAATAGCTTCTCTTCCTGCTGGGGGCCCTGTGGGTTCTCCATGTCGTCTTCGAAATCGAGCTCATCGCTACGGCCTTTCCTTGCTTGCTGGCGCATCAATTGCTGGCAAGCTCTTAGGTGTTGTTCTTCCTGAAATTCCTTCTGGCATTTCCTTACTTTTGGGCCTATGGGGTTGGTGGCGTCATCCTCCTCGAACTCGACGACTGTACGGTAAATGGAAGCGTTGGTGAGGAGGAAGCAGAGGGCGAGAGCTGCGCAGACGAGGAAGAGCTTGTTTGCCATTTTTTGCTAGTTGTGTATGTTTTCTTGTTTTTGGTTTGAGTGAAGAGTGAAGTGAAGGGTTGGTTGGTATTTATAGGTAAGAAAGGAGATTTGCATGGAGATCACGTGTAAGAATGCATGCATATGCTTGTTGGTATGCGGCAGATAGAAGCTAGATGATTGTTGTCGTGATTAGGTGTTGGAAACTCAAATGTGGAGGATTGACAAGTTTCCGCGTCTACATGCAATATGCAACTATGCATGTATGATGTGTAACTCATGTTCTGACATGTCAATTATTTTGAAATGACCGGGTGAGAGTCAATATCGAAAGAGTTGGTAGTCTTTGGAGTTTGTAAATAAATGTTTTTTTGGAGGTTAATTCTGAAATGTACATAAGGTTTTAGCATCTTGAAGAATTCGTATTTCACTAATAATTTCTTATACACGCAGCTCATGGTCCATTGGATGATGTTAATAAGACAATATATGGGGAAAATGTAAACTTTGATAATCTTCCACTCCAAAGCAATGTATGTAGCAGAATTTAACGGACGGTTGTGTAATATCCTTTTAATAGAAATCAGAGGCGAAACAGATAGGAAAACTAGTCCTCTCACGTCCACAGTGACAAAACATTTATAAACTAGTCCAACTTAACTTAGTAGCGAGTTTAGTAAGGATACGAGTAGTTGGTAATTCAGGTATCAAATGGGGTACTTATGATTCACATATTTGAAAACACTAATGAACTATCGCTAAATCGGATGAATGTTAGACTTTGATTAAGAAATGATCATATTTCGGAGCACTAATTTTTCCAAAAATGCTTAAAAATCGAAATTTTTGTTACCTAAAACGAATCTTGGTTCAATTCGGTACCAAAACTATCACTTTTAACCAAACAAAAATCTACCACATCGTAACCAAAACAAAGCTTTGTTTCGTTCAAATTGGTTTAAAAAAAAAAAAAGTTCCAAACCGAAAATTGAAACTCCAAAATTTCCGATTAACCGGAAATCCTAGCTCTAACCATGAAAAAATAAAAAAATAAAATATATAAAAAGTTGCTAAGAGACTGTGAGACAAAAATATATTTTCCTCTTCCTCTCTCATAATTTTCTCGCCACCGAAACAACAGAAGTTGCAGACTTTATCCGAATTTAGGGTTTCATCAGCTCCGTTCTCTCTTCTCCGATAATCAGATCCACGAAACTCTACTTTTCGGATCAGGTAAATTTATCCTTCTTCTGTTGGCGTTTGTTATGTTCTTATAAGCTGATTACACAAATTGCTTCTCGCTGTTTCTTTGATTTCGGTATTTTCGAGGTGAAGTTTGTTTTCGCTGCCCGATCCATAATTTTGGAGTTTGTGATTGATTTGTTTTCGTTCATCAGCTGGGTAATATCGTTTTTCGTATGTCCCTGAAGACTGTACGCGAGATTTTGTTTAGGATCTATCGGATTTGCGGCTGACTTTAGAAAATTGGATCTTGCTTTGACCTGCTGTGAAATTTAAACGTCAAATCATGTAATTGAGCTAGATCTGCTTAATTAGGTTCCTGGGATTAGGATAAAGAATATATTGATGAAGATGGTGTCTTGCTCATTTCGAATCTTATGTTGCAAATGGTACTTCTGGAGTTTGGGGGTTGTCGTTTCTCATCTGCTCTATGTATCATTAGTCTCTAGATGAGCATGGCTCGTATTAGAATTGTGTGTTTTATTGCTTGTTATCGTGTTATGTGTTTCCTTCAGTTCTTTGACTGTTTTCTAAGACCTATTTAATAATCTCTTTTCTTTAATCGATTTTGGTTTAATACTTGCATCTTCTAATATGTGTTTTTATCCTTCTGAGTGTGCGAAATTCTTATGTGACGTTGGCTTTCTTGTTCAGGTCTCAGCTTCTCTATCGTTTGCCCCTCAGATCAACAAAGTTTCATGTCTGAACTTGATTCCCAGGTCCCTACTGCCTTTGGTAAGTGTCAATTATACCAACGCTTGAAACTTGATCCAATAATACATCAAAGTACCTTTGCATATTTGTCTCATAAGTTCATATAGACATATTTCAGATGTTTGGTAGCAGTTTTGAATTTTGATATTTGGAATATGGGCTTTTGTAAATTTTTGTTTCTCAAGTCTGGGATTCTTCGTTTGCTGTATCTCATGTGGGTACAGGAGCTAATCAGTTTCTTTGTGTTGCTTGCAGACCCGTTTGCTGATGCGAATGCTGAGGACTCAGGTGCAGGAACAAAGGAGTACGTTCACATTCGTGTCCAGCAGCGGAATGGTAGGAAAAGCTTGACAACGGTCCAGGGGCTAAAGAAAGAGTACAGCTACAGCAAGATACTTAAGGACCTCAAGAAAGAATTTTGCTGCAACGGAACTGTGGTTCAAGACTCAGAACTGGGACAGGTACGTGCTTTGAAACACCATGGTGCAACTGCAACCCATGTGGATAAATAAATTACTGTCCTTATAGTTGGCAATTGGCATATTACCACTCAAATAATGCAACAAAGGGAGCTTAGCGAGGGATTTATATATGTCCTATGTCTACCTATCCTCCATTGCTTATGCTACTGTGCAAATGTGTAGGTTATTCAGCTTCAAGGCGATCAGAGGAAGAACGTCTCCACTTTCCTAGTCCAGGTAAAGTTCACAGTCTTTCACATACAGGCTAACAAAAAAGATTGTTGCTTGATCTCGTTTCTCATACTTGTCATGGAACAGGCTGGCCTTGTGAAGAAAGATAACATCAAGATCCATGGTTTCTGAGCTGCTTCTGTTGCATTGTCCCTTGGCTGTTTAAGTGGATCATTACTGTATCGTGCAGTTCCAAAACATATATTTGATTGCTTCTTGTTTTTTTTTCTTATAGCTTTGGTATGATACTAAGAGACCATTATCTTTTTCTTCCACATGCTACTTGTGTAATATGAAATTGTTGAGCATTTTCCAATAAAAATGTGCCTCTTTTCTCAATAACTTGTTACCAAGATGGAACACAATTACACAACACTTTTACTTCGTCCCAATCTGAATTCGGATCAATTAAAACAAAAACAGCAGGCTAGTTCAGTTAAAAAACATGTTAACTGATGTCGCCATTTGCTACCGGCTTGAAGACTCCGACGGTTCCAGAGGGTCTCAAAGTCTCTTGGAAATTACGAATTAACCGCTTGTTGTCTCCTCGTTATGCAAATTCTCGAGCAAGGCGATTTGAGGTCAAACTAGGAATCGAGAAGAAAATTTGGAAAACGCAATTAGGTTTAGAGTTTGGAATAATCTGAATCGATCGATATTCTTTCAATTCATAATTGGAGTTGCGTTTTCTCTACAGTTTCCTCAAAATCCCCATTTGGATCGCAGGTAAAAGATGGAGGAGATTTTCGCTCTGATAGTCTCAATGATTCTCATAGTGGCGGTAATTCCTTTGTTCTTTTGGAAACGTCGGAGAGATGCTAGATCACGGGAGGAAGTTGCAGAACCGCCACAGGTAAATATGCGAAAATGGATTTGAATTGTGGTATTTTTTTTTCTTGGGGCTTGATGGGTTGTTCGTGTGAAATTGAAAGGTTCAGCCTCGTGAAAATGTGGCACGTGCTACTGGTGGACGTAGGATGCGTCGGAGACCTGCTGCAGCTTCTGGTGCTAGCTCCTCTACATCCAATGTTCAAGGTTGGTTTTTGACAAGACATCGTTTGTTTCTCTTTTTCAACTGGATGAGTTTTGAGGATTGAGTTTCTTCTGCTATCTTTGTAATTTCAGGCAACCTTATGTAGATACTTGTGTTATTTGTTAGAGTTTACTATATAGCTAGTGAGAGAACTCGAAACCAGTTTTAATTTTAGAATTTGTCGAATAATGTTTCATTTGTCATCTATCTTGCTGTGAATGTAGTTTAAGATTAGAAAGGTCTTTGAATTAAACTGGCCTTGGGATAATTATTGGGTATATGTGAAACAGAAAACGTCAGTGGGAGTGAAGATGAAGATGAAGATGAAGCTGGTGGGTCTCAAGCCAGAGCATCAAAGAAGAAAGAGAAGAAGCGTCAAGAGCGGGAAGCACAAAGACAGGTGACTAACATTCTCTATTGCTGTTTAATTCTTCTAATATTCTATAAGAAATTTTGGCAGGATTAAGGATGAGAATTTCTAAGAAGATCAGTTAGATTGTAACTTAAGGATAGAGCATTTTGTTCTGAGCTCGGAATTGTACATCCCTTTTTGGCAAGACTTTCCTGATTAAGTTTTGTTCTTATTGTCTGAGTAAAGGCTGAGGAAGCTGCACGCGAGTCAAGGAGTACAAAACAAGATTGGTATGCAGAAATGCGGAGGAAGAAGGATGAAGAGCGCGAGGCAGAGGAGCTGAAGCTGGTGGGTCATTTATTTATCTCAGAATTCGTTCTGTTTAGGCTTCCTGCTTTTGAAATGCTGGACTTGGCTAATTGTGACAGTTGTTGTGTAGGAAGAAGAAGAAAAAGCACGACAAGCCAAGGAAGAAGAGGCAGCTGCGCTAGAGTTTGACAAATGGAAAGGGGAATTTTCAGTTGATGCTGAAGGTACTACAGAGGAAGTGCAAGGTGGAAATCAAGATTTGCTCTCAGAATTTGTTGAATACATAAAGGTATTCAACAAACACTTTTTGATCTCCGGTTCTAATCATTACTGTGAATAGAAACAAACGAACAATAAAGTATGGATACAAATGTTGCGAATAGAAACAAACTAACAATAAAGTATAGATTCAAATGTTGTCTCAGCCCATATCAATGTACTGACATGTTGAGCCTTCCTTTTGCTGTGTGATGTGATTGCAGAAACAGAAATGTGTTCCACTTGAAGATCTCGCCGCAGAATTTCATCTACGAACTCAGGTATCATCTGGCTACATGTTATATGTGTAAAATAAATGAATACCTTTTGTCATGGTTCTCAAGTCTAATTCAACTGTTTGTCTTCTTAGGAATGCATCAACAGGATTGCCTCTTTGGAGAGCATTGGTATTTTTCTCTCTATCCAATCATAAATATAGCATTCGTCTCATCTGGCAGTCAGTAATTTGCGATGGGTATAGTAAGCCCGAAGCAATATGAATAAGTAGATGAGACACTGATGTGAAACCGTAATGGAACTCTTAAGAACTGAACCTCGTCTCTTTTATTCAGGGCGGCTCTCGGGGGTCATGGATGATAGAGGGAAATACATTTACATATCAATGGAAGAGATGAATGCGGTTGCAGATTACATCAAACGTCAAGGAAGAGTTAGTATCTCACATCTAGCAAGCAAGTCAAACCAGTTCATCGACTTGGAGCCCAAAGTACAGCATCAGCTGACCGAAGAAATTAGCGGCATGGAAGAGATCTCAGTTTCTTAGTTTTGTTTCTCAGGTAAAATCGTTTGTCAAAAACAAGAGTTAAAGCCTTAGGGACTCACTGCAACATGATGGTGTTTGGGTCATATACCTTCTTGTTCTTATTTTACTACAATAGTTTGAGATCCTTAGGCTTGCATCCATATACAGTACATGAAAATATATAATCTTATACATTATCCATATGTTTTTAAAATTGTTGTTTGTCTTACCATTAAAAAATAAGATAAACACACAAAAGAAATGGATGGTATTGGTAGGTCACAAAACAATGTGCGTAGTACTCTGTTTCTGCAAACTTCAATTCCTCTTCTTTTATTTATTTCTAACTGCATTCCCACAACGACCATATCTCTCTCTGTCTCTCGTGGTTCATAAACTCTCTTTGGGTTTTGTACCCAGAGAATTTTCTTGAATAAGTTTCTTGTCAAGGATGGAAACAGAGAGTTTTGTTCATATTTTTGCTTCATTCTGTGTGGTTAACATAACCTTCTATCCTTAAACTCTTCATTTTTGCTGGTAATCCAACACCCATTTGCTTTAAATCGACGAGCTTTGTTGAGGACAATGAGGTCAAGATGGGAAATATTTTGACTTAGTAGCCGTCAACAATTTCGGACCCACCATTAAGTCAAGTATTTTCCATCTTTTAGCTGGTTGTCATGAACCAATATCGTCCAACCACATTTCCAGACAAAATATACTACTCGTGGCTGCTCGTTGAATCTGACCCATATATCTAGATTCTGAGATCTCACTTTAAACAATGTTGGTGCTCACAAGGTGTTCTCACAAGTCTTGTGTAAGAATAAGATCATGGTTGCTTATCTTGGTAAATCTTTATTGGGGTTCTATAATTTTGATGAAGTTGAATTTTTCTAAAAAAATTCATACAAATATTCTAATGAACTAAGTTGAGGAATGTGAAATGTGACAAATATAAAGAAACTAGTAGTACGTATACATTTACTGATTTACGTATATTATTTATTCTCTTTTGTATTATATCTCTGTTTCTCCGGAGAAACAGGGGAAAACTAGAGGAAGAGAAACCGTTATGCTCTGCCTCTCTAATTCGCTTAAGTTTTATTACCAATTTCTCTCTTCTTCTCTGTTTTCTCTTTCTTGCGTCCTAAGAAAGTTGGGAAACACGATAGAGATGAAGAAGATACGTTACGTTCATTTAAACCTCCTTCTCCTTCTATTACCTCTAATCAATCTTCAGTTTCCAACATTATCATTGGCTCAAGACTACGATGAACCAAAGAAAGATGATACTCCACCGCCAGGCCTGGTCCATTGCAACGGAGTTTACATGTCTTACAGTTCTGGCGGTCGCGAAAAGTTGTATCCTCGCACCACAAACGCGACGGCTCAAGCTTGGTCGTTTAAATCAACGGCTATGATCGTGAACACCGGTATCGAAGAGGTCAAAGGTTGGCAAATGTTCGTAGGGTTTCATCACAGAGAGATCATCGTTTCTGCGACCGGAGCTGTCTCATCGGATGGTGACTTTCCGGTTGATGCAACCAACGGGACTACGTTTATAGGGTCTCCGAATACGGATCTAAAGACCTCGATCCTGACAGCTGGCGATTACACTCAGATCTCGACCAATATTGAGATAACCGGAACGGTTTTCGGCGGGAAAGGTACGGCTACGCCAATGCCAAAAACCATCAAGCTCACAAACGATGGATGGCAATGTCCTGCAGCTACTTCTAAAGGTAACGAAACCTAATTCATGAAAAAACCCTTAGTTTCTTGTTCGAGAAGAAACAATCTGTAGTGACCGGTTTTCGATTCTTTCCGTATGTTTTCATCGGCAGGCGATACAATGCAAGTTTGTTGCAAGAGGAACCCAAAGTTTAAAGCTAAAGAAAAGTTGAAAACCAAGTTCATGCCTAGACAACACGGTGACCTGAATATAATCTACGACGTTCTTCAAGCCTATGCTAGCAGCTACATGGCGCAGGTGAGTCGCCGGATCCATCAATTGTATCAATATAACCTCGAGAGATTCGTATGTACATAAAGTAATCCAAAAATGATTTGTTTTGGACAGGTGACTATAGATAATACTAGCCCGCTGGGACGGTTGGACCATTGGAACTTGACATGGGAGTGGATGCGAGGAGAGTTCATCTACTCGATGCGTGGAGCCTATGCGGCCGAGAAGAACACGTTGGAATGCTTAAGCAGCAAGGCGGGACAGTTCTACGGGGATCTTGATTTCTCTCAGGTTGCTAATTGCCAGAAGAAACCAATTATCAAAGATTTACCGGCTGAGCGTAAAGACGATAATATCACCGGGAAATTGCCTTTCTGCTGCAAGAATGGCACTCTTTTGCCCACGCACATGGATCCTTCTAAATCCAAAGCCATTTTCCAATTACAGGTTTCCCCCCAAAACTTGCCATTTATAGTGTTTGGTGACTAAATTTAGGAGTAAAGACTATAAATGGTTTTGATGTTTGGTTTAGGTGTACAAGGTGCCACCTGATCAGAACAGAACAGCATTCTTTCCTCCTCGAAACTGGAAAATTGACGGTATAGTGAATCCGCAGTACAAATGCGGACCACCTATACGGGTAGACGCGACCCCGTTCCCTGACCCTAGCGGTCTCCAAGCCACAACCTACGCTATCGCCAGTTGGCAAGTCATCTGCAACATAACCAAGCCTAAACCAAAAGCTGCACGTTGCTGCGTCTCTTTCTCAGCCTTCTACAACGACTCAGCCATTCCTTGTAACACCTGCGCTTGCGGCTGCAAAGATATAGATACCGACACTTGCAACGCCAATGCCCGACCGCTTCTTCTTCCTCCCGACACACTCTTGGTACCGTTTGATAACCGGACGCTCAAGGCAAAAGTATGGGCAAAGCAGAAGCACATGGCTGTTCCAAAGAAGCTTCCTTGTCCTGACAACTGCGGAATCAGCTTAAACTGGCATCTTAACTCGGATTACGGTAATGGATGGTCCGCGCGAGTAACTTTGTTTAACTGGGGAAATAATGCAGTGGAGGATTGGTTTGGGGCTTTGGATTTAGGCAAAGCTGGTTTAGGGTATGAGAATATTTACTCCTTTAATGGATCAAGAATTCCACCTAAGAACCAGACCATTTTCTTTCAAGGACTTCCCGGTATGAACTACTTGATTGGTATCACAAACGGAACTAATCCTGCGAGAGACCCGCAGATTCCCGGGAAAATGCAGTCGGTTATCTCGTTTAAAAAGAAGAATTTGGGGAGTTTGAATATCATAGGAGGAGATGGATTTCCTAAGAGAGTTTTCTTCAATGGGGAAGAATGTGAGCTTCCCAAGTATTTCCCTAAAAAGAGTTCCGGGAAGAGATTATCCAGTATCCGATTCTTGCCCTCGATTCTTCTCGCGATCACAACATTTCTTGCGATCACTGATCGCTTTTTAACCGGTGTGTAGATGCTTTAGTGAATTATGTAATTTGATTTTTGTTTAGCCATGCCATGATCAAGAAACTTGAAGAGAACGTTTTGTATATGTATCTCTCTATTCACAGTTTTGGTTGACCAAGAAACTTGTATCCATAATCGAGAGGAACTAATGCAGATTGATTCTCCCTTATTAGTTATTATTACACTCTTGGCCTTTACTACAAAATTGTGCTTCGTTCTTGAAGATACGATTATGCAAGTCATTTGTTTCATAAACCGATTTCCTCTGTTTTTTGTTCTGTTTCTGGTACAATAAACACAACCAGATATTATTACCTGAAACACTTCTTACTCTTAGTTTCAAATATTTCGACTTTTAGAACAGAAATAATCATTGTAAACTTAAGAACAGTCTCTTTCCTTCTTCTTTTTCTTTTTCCAGTTGGTAAATACAAAAAAAAACCTAATGTTTGTTTGTATATAAAGGGATTCAATATCAACTTTTATGAACAGCTTACAAAGTATATTTTTCTTGTGTGTGTGTATGTATATGTGTTAAGGGTGATTCAAGGCTCCAAGATTCATCCAGCTTACTTTTCACCCATAGAATCGTTAGAAAAAAAACGATAGAGAACGTCGGTTCCTCCCCAGATCTTTTCATATCAAACTGTGGAATATAGCCAATCAAAAAGCTTCTCATGATTCGGCAGCAGAATCATGAATGTTCACCAATGCTATTTCTTAGCCTGCAATAAGAGAGACGACAACAGAAGAGAGAACTTTCAGGCAAAACTTTGAGAGAGACACAAGCCCAGACAGATCAAAGAAACATAGAAATAACCTTTCTTAGATATCTCTTGTGAATTTTTATGGCCCCAGAACATGTTTTCTTGGCATCCAAGTTCCCAGTCATGTCGTTAAGTATCTTAACAACATCGTCGAGTCCACGAGCTTCAGTCATTAGCTTATAACTCTTGTCTTTCAAGACACTGGCCACTAGAAATACCGATATAGGCAAAGGACCTTCTGCACTTTTCCCTCCATTCCTCATGTTTTGCCTCTCATACTTTCCACATTGCTTAATTGACTTCGGTTTACCTTTTAACCCTTCGGTTTTCTCACTCCCGCACTGATGTGCCTCGTATACATAAAAAAGATCGGGATCATACTCGAGGGCCCACATCATCTGCAGGAATAGGGTTTGGCATGAGATCAATCCAAGAAAGAAAAAGACTATTATACATATAAGAGTGAGTGAGACACAAAAATCAATCATTACCTCCCAAAGGTACAGAGAGTCGCAAAATGAGAATTCTCTTCGGAATTGAACCATTAGCATCCGAATGGCAAAGAGATAGTCACCTCCCCCCAGTTTATCTGCATTTATGACCCACAGCTCGATTAACCGCTGGATATATACATATAGGCAAAGAAATTGCAGTAGTAGTAGTAGTACCTAGATGTTGGTGAAGTTTGGGGTCAACAATCTGAGTAATCGAAGACAAATGAGTAAGTTGAGCTTCAACTCCAACAGATCTCCCGGTGCTACGGAAATTTCCTCGCTTTTCAATTCGAAAAAATAAAACACGTTTAATACATCCTGATTGCAGAGAGACAGATGTAAACAGTCCATATCAAAAACACAAATACATTGAGAATATGCGTAAGGTAAGTACCAATCGACGCATAAGCCGTTCAAAACACCAAAAGGCATCAGCTTCGTCTTCAAGAAGAATAATCATTGGGGAACAAAGATCACTCATTCCTGATCAGAGCACCAGTACATAGATAAGAATTTCTCAAGTAAAACTGGTTTTCAAACAAATGATACAATGATTATACGTTCGGTTTTACCTTGACAATACCCGACATCGTTGTCTATCCAGGCGTAAATAGACAGAATATCCCAGAGCTTCGATAAGTTCTCCTTTTTCTCATAAAATACCAAGGCCCTGTCTGTACGGTTCACATCAAGACCTGAAAAATATAAATTAAGCAACTGAGTGAACCAGCAGATATTCAGTATAGTCTAGCCGGTGATAGAGGAAGCCATGACCAGTCACTAACCTATCTGGTGAAGTGTTAGCAGCCACTGGGCAACTTTCTTATCGAGAGGTCCACGACTTGTGAGCTCTTTAAAAAAATCTGAACCATTTGAGTTTGTACCTGAGAAACCCACATGAATATTTCAAATGCCTATTACAAGTTTATGTAGAGTTCAACATTAAAATTTCCGTTATAGAAAGGCAAAATTTTACCTAAATTTATTTCTTGAAGTACAAGAGGATCATAGTTGGGTTGACCATTTTCAGAAATTACAGGTGCGGTAATAAATCTTCCACTTCCAATGACAGGAAACATTTGCTTACACTCCTCCTTCCAAGAAGCATACTGCAATCTGACAGAAGAGAAGTAGCGGTAGGATTCACAAAACTGAAATGATGGTTATGAATTTAAAGTAATAACCATGTAGTTATGCTAAATGCGATACATATATAGAGGAAATGTGGACAAAAATCTACCTTCTGCGTTGTCGAATTTGCTCTCTTTCTTCGAATGTGCTCATCGGGTCATAACAACCAAGTAGGAATTCCCATACTTCGCCTCTAATTGATGGATGGATTCCCTACAGATTGATTGTAAAGGAATTAAAGTAACAAACGAAACGATAAATCAGTCTTGACAAAGACTTATCCAAACTAACATACCCCTCTTCGGATTCGTCTTAGAGTCTTGCCAATATCGAGAGACCCTTCTTGTACAAATACAGCCTGCCATTTTCTTACACTTAGAGTTTTTCCAGGCTGCACAAACATCATAAAATTGACCTGTGTTGTCAGCAACATAGCAAAAACTTCATGGCTCAAACATGATGCAATTATTCATGATACATTATTTCTGACCACAAGACATGGAATGATATAGGATTTTCTGGCCTGTAATGTTAAGGTTCAACCAGAGAAAATGATTCAATCTAGTACCAACATAGTAACAATGAAGCACATAACCTATCTTCCTGTGTTATGTATCTTCCTAACGACCCTGGAGTCGAGAAGTTAAATCCCCTCAAGCTTCTTTCAGGGAAAAAGTGACAATCTCACTAAACAATCATGTGATGCTACTGAGAAAAAATCCAACGAGATCAAGAATAGATTTGAGAGCCTAAACAGCTCCTAAGATCAATATGTCCTAAGTAGGAAACAGATTTCTGAGCATTACAATGGCAATAACTTCGTTCAAGGAGAAATCAAACGCTAAGCTGATGAGGCGATCGATCTTACAGAATCAAACAAAATCACAAGAGGGACAATGCAGTTCCAAAAACATAAATAAGCAAGGAATCTAAATGTAATTGGAACCGAAACTGCAATCACCAACGAAGAAGCAAAATGAAGATGAATGCATCGAAAGAGGTAACCTTGATTCTGAATCTGGTCTTGGGCACATCGGTGCACTCGGGACGAACTTGGTAATAAGAATCTGCTGGCTCAGCTGCGCCTCCCCACATTCTATCAAACTAACCAAAATTTTCCCGGGAAAAAAACAGATACAGTGGATCGGGATCCCCTCAAAACTCAAAAGATCGATCAACGATTAATGAAGAAATTAAAAGATATTTCGGGAAAAAAAAATTGAGAATTTAAGGAGGACCCAGCTTGGAGCTTAGTGGATCGGAGTCTAAAGACAGAAACTTTTTGTGTTTCTTTCTTTCTGTCTTCGTATATTATTATTTTGTCGTGTCTATCTATCAACTAAGTTTCTTGTATCATTCTTTTTCTGGAGATGATGATTGATGAGCTGGTCTCATTACACAATAGTTGTTGCCCACAAATAACGGAGTTCCTCCATCACTTCTCTCTAATTTATCATCTTCTTCCACATGAGAGAGAGACACAGAGTCTTTTTTTTTTTTTTCGTCCCCAAAAATATCCAACATAAAACGACGCCGTGTTTCGCATATTGGGTTTTAGTCTTAATGGGTAGCTAATGTTTGTGGATCTTATCATGTTGGGCCTTTATGATATTTATTTATTAATAAAGTAAGGGCCCAAAATACCAAACCCTAAAAATGATGGTATATATATTGCAAAACCTAAGCGCTTTCTTCCTCTGCTGTCGCTCGTCTACATTTACACTCGGAGCTTAGACCTTCCAATCTACCGGCGGCGAAAATGGTGAGATATACTTTCTGCTTGAGCTTGTATCTTGGTTTGTCTTCTGTGTTATACGTTATTATCTTCTGTTTTAGCTCATGTTCATAGCACATTTCTGATTTCTGTCTTCTAGATCTTTTTGGTGGGGATTAGGCTTTAGATGTTTTCAATTAAGTCGCGTTTGTGTATTAGACAGAGACCAAAGTTTTGAGATTTAATGTTTTGTGGTTATTGTTCAGGTTTTCAAGAGGTACGTTGAGATCGGGAGAGTAGCACTTGTGAACTACGGAGAAGATCATGGAAAGCTCGTCGTTATCGTCGACGTTGTTGACCAGAACAGAGTATGTTGATTTCATTCTTATGTTATGCAGATTTCCATCTCTTGCTCGTGTATGTATTGATGAGTTTCAGCTATTTTACTGCTAGATTCCGCAATATTACTGTGTTTGATTCGGTAAATTGTTTTATCAAGCAAAATTTTAATTTAGCTTGAGACTTTGGTTGCATATTTGGTTGAATCATTGATTGGAGCCGATTACATTTCCTTGGTGATTGTTGAGCTTAATATATTGACTTGGTGCTATTAATCTGTTTGATATGTGATATTCTTGTTTCATGGAGTTCTGATTATGTTCTGGTCATTTAGGCTTTGGTGGACGCCCCTGATATGGAGAGGATCCAGATGAACTTCAAGAGGTTGTCTCTTACCGATATCGTGATTGACATCAACCGAGTGCCAAAGAAGAAGGCTTTGATCGAGGCAATGGAGAAGGCTGGTGAGTGGTGTTCAATGCAGTGTTTGAATTTGTGAAGTGTTTCAATCTAAACCGGAATGTCTTGCAGATGTGAAGAACAAGTGGGAGAAAAGCTCATGGGGTAGGAAGCTTATCGTGCAGAAACGTAGGGCTAACCTCAATGATTTTGATAGGTTCAAGATCATGTTGGCCAAGATCAAGGTCAGTGTGTTAAATTGTCAGATGTTGGAAAATCTGTGGTCGTGTTGGTTTATGTTAGAACTGAAATGTTAATGGCTTTTTTTGTTTGTTTGCAGAAAGCTGGTGTTGTCAGGCAAGAGCTTGCAAAACTCAAGAAGGAGATCACTGCCTGATCAAATATTATCTACAATTCTGTTGTCTTTCTTTTTTGATTTTGGATTCGGAAATTAGTGTTTTTGGAACTATCAACATCACTATGTGCTCTATTATCCGACGTTATTCAAGTTTAAAACCTTGTTTGAAAAACTCAAAGTTTTTGTTCTTTTGATCTTAGTCTTACTTTCTTTTCTATGGTTCTATGTTAAGATTCTATACCAAGATTAAAATTGAATCAAGCTAAGTTAACTAAACTAACCATTAGCTTGAAGAGAACACAAAAATTGGAACAAGAACAAGATTGTTTCTTTTACAATGGATGCATACTTAACCTAAGTAAAATTCTAGTAGATGATGGGGAAAGACTTTCACAAGTCTAGTTTCAAACGTTGAAAGTTGAAGTTATTGGAATGGACTAACCCACAAGAAGCTGTATTTTGTTATTGGAATTTGGAAGTAAATTCCCCTGATTTAAGTGATAACAATTTGTTTTACTAAAACTCCCAAAGACTTCAAAGACATCGCTAATACTTATATATGTTCAAAAGGATAACAGTTTGCGAAAATATAACTGAATTATTTTGGTGACGTCTGGTTGTGTATATATGGCAAAACTTTCTGACTCGTTACAGAGGAAAACGAAATAAAACCCTTAGGAGATCTTCAGAAGTTTTTACCAAGTTCTATCTTTTTCATCAGTGTCATGGAGTGGTGGAGAATAGAATCCAAGATTCCGGCCACCTGAAAAGAGGCAAAAACACAGAGTCATATGGGAATACATTAATGAATACTTGAATAGTAACAAGAAGAAGAGGCTTTCAAACTTCTTTACTAACCGTGAAGACACCACCGATAATGGCGCATACGTTGGTGATGAAATGTGAGAAGGACTTGGAGTTTTCCGTTATGAGAACCTGCATACAAACACATAGAAAGATAAGCAGAGTGTAATTTCGCCCCAACTTACCATTCCACACATGTGAGTAAGACAGTAAAAGAAAATGTTGAAGCCTACCTGCATCGGTGATAGCTCAAAGTGAAACTTGGCAACTGGTAAATAGTAACTATGAGCAACGCTGCTATGTGCTGTGTACTCATACGCCTCAACCAATGCCTGTCCATTGCTTTTCACTACCTCAGTCTTTACTATTTGAAGATAATGCTCGATCTGTCCATGGAAAACAACACCTTAAAGCATGCTATAAAGCATAATTAGACGATTTGAATACTATTTTCTGAGTTATACAAACTTACGGTAACATTTGGGCCGAGATCGCGTTGGTTTATGAAGGGCCGGCCGTCCAAACGGTCATGGCTTAGGCCGAGATAAGGTGACAAGCGCTTTAACTCAGAAAATTTCTGAGGCATAATCCTCCGCCCAAATGATAGATGGTTAACAACATGGGACATATTCATCTGAGAAGAATCAAAGGAATGAGATCCCGAGCGAGCTGAAACCATTAAGTTGCCTGGAACCTGCAAAGACCATATACAGTAGTAGTAACTCTTAAAGTGTTTGAGCGGTCATAAAAGCCAGACAGACAAAAGCAATAGTAGTTTCTCCCATTCAAATGCTTACCTTCTTTACACGCATGTATCCTTCAATTCGACATCCTCCTGTAGAAGGTGCCTTTTTTAGAGTTTTCGATGAATTGTCTGATTTGTCCTCCAATGCTAGATTATGGGGCTCTAGATGGATTGGTTCAACCACACTAACCACCATCTATAGGAGAAGGTAAAATATTCAGAAATAAGCTACCAATGAGGCGCAAACAGTGACTCTAGTCTAACTTTTCTAAGGGGTACGGAATAGAAGTTGAAAAGAAACTTAGACCAACAGCTACCTTCACTAAGCTTTCCGTATCACGATCTCCATAGTAGGATTCATGGTCGTGGTGTGCATTGTCATCCCTATTAAGCAAAGGAAAGAAAAGAGGAGAAAATAAATGTTAGGAGAATCGAGTAAATGATGGTCATGCACTATATGAACAATTAAACTTTCTCTTACTTAAGATCACTGCCTTTGCGGAAAATACGAATGGATGGATACCCTTGTATGTGATTCCTGGATATTATTTGCAGAGGAAATTATGAGCATAAATTATACCTTAAAGCTGGTATAAGTTTCCAGAGAATGCATTATGCTATTGCAAATGAAATCCTAAAGAAAGTCCTTAACCTATGTATGGTATGTCTTTTTTTTGGTTTGACCATAACTATCTTTTGACGAGGTCATGTTAATATATTACGTAAAAAAAAGTCGTTTATACGAAGCCACAAACTTATAAAGTAACTGACAATCCCTCCCTCTATTTACGAATAGAAAATGCATCTTAGACTTAAGTTACAGACAAATGCGTTAACGACACCTCATATCCACATAGTCACCAATACATTACTGGCATATTAGCCCACACTCCTGAAGACCCTACAGTTTCAATTCAAATTTTTTTGCACAAATTCAAATGACATATTCGGTGGAAAGGACTCTAATAGCTTCTCTTGGATATTACTTTTTGCATTCTAGTGGATATTAGTTAAGTTTCGTAGCTTAAGAAGTCAAGATGGAAAACCAGATAAAATGTGATAGGATATACCTCCGACAGAGATCACCTTCTTGGGTGCAGTCAACTTTTGCCAAAATAACACGTCCGTCCATTTCTGGATCATATCTACCAAAAACAAAAAAGTTATAAGGAGAAATAGTATCACATATTCTTTCTCTAGAGAGAGTGTAATGGCATACCTCTCTTTTATTTGTTTGGCTGCTTTCTCCCATGATGGTTTCTGACAATGGAGACTAAAGTTAGAGTCTTCGCGTAAAGATCAGCAAAATTATCACTTTACTGTGCATAAAATATCACCAGATACTAGTCTACTTCATAAGTTTGATATTCAATATCAAATTGATCCTTAGATAAGTCTAGTCTTTCCATGAGGAAATTATTAAGACTACAGGAAAGACTGACTAAGTTACTGTAAATTGCAATATTAGCGCGTCTAAGGCACCAAACATGCAGAATTTCCTCAAGTAAGAAGGCTAATATGAGTCATATAACCCTTGCCAACAGGCACCAAAATATGATTCTGGACGGAAAATATGCTGTGACATCTAGAATTTGTAGGAGACGAAGACAGAAGATAAGGGAGTTACCAGGAGATTACACCAATAGCACCACGGAGCATAGAAATTAACTACCAAGATTGGAAATCTGCAAAATGTATGCTTCATATGTTGTCACCAGAAGCAAACAAGTACTTACTAGGAATACATTCCTAGTATATTTGTATGTACGTACAAAATTCACAATACAGACTTAAACTCCTTACTGATGTGTAAATGTGTCAAAGTTGCGCCCAGTAAGTGGTACCGAATCTTCAACTACTTCTTCACCAGTTTCATCTCCATGATTAATGAGCGATAAAACTTCCCCGGCGTGAAACTCAGAACCAGTGGGTCTCATATTCGAATCAATAGAAAACTTCCGAATTGTCTTTGTTACATTTAGCCTGTTCTGAAAACAAAAGTTAGCAAAATCAGGAGAGGGAACAACCGATAATTTTGAGTGACCTAATGGACACATGTTCAGAAAGAATAACATTAATTTCAAAGCCCACATATACGATAGACTATCTTTCACAGTTTCGGATTTCCCTTAAAGAAAATATTGTACAGTCCAAACTTTTTGGATGTACATGACAAAAATTTAAATACTTTTAAACCAAAGAATTTTCAAGAGCAACAGGAAAAAGATAGAGACTTAAAATGAATTTATTATGAAACCAAACTTACAGTGCCTAATACGTCACTGACATCCACAGATGCGAATTCACATGAAAGTGACGGGAAGCTGCCAAAAAATAGAATCTGTATCTGGTTAGCAATCAGATAGATGCTGAACTTTGCATGGCTTTGATTGGACCACACATATGACATTTCTGAAGAGATAAGGTATGCACTCAACAAACAATGGTTGCGCAAGATAACATAACGTTCTATCATACAGAAGGTAACATTATAAACTCTTTAACCTGTTAAAATATTGAAACTATAAGACATTAGCATTGAGAAACAGAATTGAGTATAATGTACCTTATGTTAAAATCTAAGCGCAAGAAGTCTCCGTCAGCGCTCCTATCAACAATGACCGATGTGGAAGTGCTGACAGCCAAATAATTATTCAATTCCTGTAACATGAAACTTGCAAAGTCAAAATAACATTCATTTTTGATAATTGTAACGAATTGAGCATATATCAAAATTAACGATAAAATGAAACTTGAACAATCGCCACAGAATGGTCAAAACCAGCAAGTCCAAACTTACCATTCCAAATAAAAATATCATAGAGAGGGCTGCTATAATGGACAATCCAGCACCAGACAGAGAAGCTTCTGTCAAATCCCTAGGGATTTTCCTGCAGGCACGGAGATTCCAAAGAATATATATGAAATTTGAAGTACAGTATTATCGTCCAGAATCCCAAATCTCAGATTCTATGGAACTTTGAAACAATTTCCCCAAAAATCTAAACTTAGCAAAAAACCCGAAATCGAAGTGACTAATGATGATCTTAAACCCCATATAATAAAACACTTTTAACAGTCCAATTTCACTAAGATCAAATGACAACTTGACAATGCACATAAAAAACCTACAAGTTCAGGATCGCCTGTTCACAGCTAAACCCTATCACTAATCAGCAAGAAAATCCACAAAATGAAGATACTCCCCAAGTAAAATTCAGAGTAAACTATCACTACAAATCCTGTCACTGCCTAGATCGAGGAAATTCGAAATCTATGTAACAGGAGAAGGCTGGAGAAATCTAGGAAACGAATACACAAGCAAACAAAGAAAGAAACCTATAGAAATCAACGGATTTGATCTTGCTCGTGGACACCATTTTCGTCGGAGAAGGAGTCAACTGAGAAACAAGAGCTGCTTGGCTAGTTCTCAAAGCTCCGAGGACGAAGCACCTCCTTTGTGATTTATCTTCAGCGTTCAGATTTGAAACTCCTCCCCAAATCTACTAAATTACAACACTAGCCCCCTCTGCTTTGACCCGTTTCCCATTTGACCCAAATAGTTTTATTAAACCGAATTAGGACCTTCTCAGTTCTCACATGTTTCAGTCGAACCCATTTACAGTATATCATATTCAGCGCAAAACTGCAAATTAATGTGCAACAAACAATACACAAGTTTGAATTTACAATGATCACCATTCGAGAGCAGAGTTGCTTTTAAATAATTCGATCAGAGTTGTTTTCTATGCATTGGTGAAATTAAGATATAAAAGGGAAAACCAGCTAAGTCAAGAACAAACCAGTTCGAATTGCTTATAAGAACATAGAGCATTCTTATTTATAGGATACATCATTCATAACATTTATTCTCTTCTTTTAACCCTTTGATCCAAACTTTTGGAAACTACATAGAAGATATATCACTGTGTGAATGTAAAAGTAATCTACTCTTTAAACTTCCAGATACTTGATTGCAGTCTGAACATCCTTGTCGCCTCTCCCACTGAAGTTTAAGACAACTCTGGTTCCATCAGATAACGTCGGACAAAGCTTCTCTAGATGGGCCAACGCGTGCGATGTCTCTAGTGCCGGGATTATTCCCTCCAACCGAGACACTCTCTGGAAAGCTACAAGAGGAGATAATGAAAACACGAATGCAAGTTCTCATGAGATGTGAAAGAAACATATAAAGTAAGAAAATGATGTGCTAAGTAAGTACCTTCTAAGGCTTCTTCATCGGTAACGCTATAGTACTCAGCCCGTCCCATGTCTTTAAGGAAACTATGCTCAGGTCCGACTCCAGGGTAATCCAATCTGATAACATGAACTTTTACTCTTTAGATACAGGTGACCAAGTAAATGTGGTTTAAAACCAACTTTGAATAGAGAAGAATCTCTTACCCGGCACTGATGGAGTGTGGTTCAATGATTTGGCCATCATCATCTTGCAGCAAGTAACTCATAGCTCCATGGAGTACACCGACATCTCCTTTTGTCAATGTGGCAGCGTGTTTGCCGCTGTCCAATCCAAATCCAGCGGCTTCCACACCAATCATCCGAACCTCTGTGTCATCGACAAACTCATGGAAGAGTCCCATGGCATTTGAACCACCACCGACACAAGCAACCAGAACATCAGGCTTCCCGCCCCATTTCTCCATAGCTTGTCTCCTTGTTTCTTTACCAATCACGGCATGAAAGTCCCTGACCATCATAGGGTAAGGATGAGGACCCGCAACGGATCCCAATATGTAATGTGTAGTCTCCACATTTGTCACCCAATCCCTTATAGCTTCAGAAGTTGCGTCCTTTAAAGTGGCTGTTCCAGAGTGGACTCCCCTTACCTCAGCACCGAGAAGACGCATTCTGAACACATTAAGAGCTTGTCTCTCCATGTCTTGAGCACCCATGTAGATAATGCACTGCAAACCGAAACGTGCACACACTGTAGCTGTGGCTACACCATGTTGACCAGCCCCTGTCTCAGCGATAATCCGTTTCTTTCCTAGACGCTTGGCGAGAAGAGCCTGAGCCACAGCGTTGTTGATCTTGTGAGCACCGGTGTGGTTCAAGTCTTCCCTTTTGAGGTATATGAGCGGTCCTTCCCCGTTTTCTCGGCGGTAATGCTCTGTGAGCCTCTCTGCAAAGTAAAGCGGACTTTCCCGACCCACATAGTCTTTCAAGATCTCTGCCAATTCTCTCTACAGTTTCATCAGAACATTAATCAGACATATCCCATCAAACGAACTAACCGAAAAGACTTCTAGATTACATCACACTGAAGCATGTATTGCTGAAGAAACTATGAATATGAAATGAATGTCGTTTCCAGATTTCTGGGTAAATTACAACACTTTCCCAGAATTACATTCTACATCCTACATCGCAAACAAATCGATTTGGCCCAGACGCCTTAACATTGATTATTTTTAGAATCGGAACAAAAAAAAATCCGCTTTTTAAACATTTTCACCACTCATGCCAATGACAACGCTTGAATCAGAAACTCACAAAGCCAAATCATTTCGAATCAATTCAAAATCGATGAACAAGAAGGAAAGAAAATCAGCCGACATACCTGGAAATCTTCGTCGGTGGCGAGCGAATAGAAGGCCGTTTCGAGTTCAGAGAGGGCGTGCATTAGAGTTTCGGGGACATACTTCCCGCCAAACTTCCCGAACCGACCGAATGAATCGGGTCGTTGCCACATGGTCGGATCAGATCCAGCGGCCTCCGTATCCGCCATGAAAACAGTCGGGTCCTTAGCGATGGTGCAAGAGACGGAAAACGAAGAAGAGGACCGTGAGCGAGACGATGGCAGAGGCGTAAATTTGGGGAGTTTGAAGGGCGATCTCAGACGGGTTGCTTTGGAAGAAGCTGAAAAGGAGGAGGGTCTGAAAGTAGCAGCGGTGCCTGCGGTGGCCATTAGTGAATCTTTTATCTATCTCTCAAACTCAAAGACAAATGTTTTGCTGACAAAAACCTTGAAAGTGTGGTTTTGTTTTATAGATTCGTTATGTGACACTTAACTTTTTTTTACCAGAAATTCAATAAAAAAAATAGAGGAGGAAATCAGTACCACGTTAACTTATTTGCGAACAACAAAAAAAAGGTTGGTGAGAATATGGCGGTGTAACATCTTTGGGGGTTGGATGTGTTTATCACATGCCTAATTTAGTGTTATCTAATTTTTTTTTTTGGTAAACGTCCTCTTTGGACAAAATGACGTATATCAGTTTTTGCAAAAATGATTAAGGCTTTCAATAGTGCTAATGGACGACGTACTACTACTCCATTTTCGAGCTAAAATCGTTTTATATTTGGTGGAGTTGATAAATAAAAAGATTACAAATACCTATACCTATGGCTAAATTAATACAAGTAAAATAACTATATAGTTTTAGTTTAATTTTATGATTTTTTAAAGCGTTCTTCAAAACTTTATCAAATATCTTGTATTTTTATTTTGTATTAAAATATGGTTGATCTTTTAATGACCAACATGCAAATAGTCAAAATGACACCAATCGATGTACATATCCGAACAATCAAATTCTAAAAACCGGTAAGGTTTTGTCTCTCATGGATTTCACCTTCGCAAGACAAGTTAAGAACTTGACTCTTGATTTTCGTCTGACCCTGTTGGGTCGGTGGTCCGATGAACCATCAGCCTTTGATTCATTTATAATTTAGCCACGTGCATTAAACACCAGACGAAGACCTTGGAGTCGTTGAAGCTAAATGAATCATGTATGCATGCGGACTTCACGACTCATTCGGAAGCCTCTCCAATCACAATTCCTTAAAACATTCATTATTGTACCATGTAAAATTCCTTAAAACCATTCATTATAGACTATAGTACCATGTTTTTAATATACAGTTATGACAACAGTACAAGAAACCAATTTTAACTTAGATTTGAAATAACAAATTCACAATCCATATTGTAGAACGTTGTCTCTAAATGTGAAAAACTGAAAATGTTCTTAGTTGCATGGATGCTTATATATTACACTACATATCATAACAGAAGATTAAAAAATTAATCAATCACACAAGAATCCCTCATATTATTGATTCATTATTACAGTTTTCGCCGTGATTATTAATTTGAACGAAGTATATATAAAGGATTAGACTATTTTTCATACTTTCTTTCACACCCGATTTTCCGCGACCAATGGGAAAATCCAGATACTGAAAATATATTTCTCATTATTTTATGTTAAGAATTTGAAAAAAGTTGAAAAAGTTAAATACTGATAAAATTGAGCGACACATTTCTTTATTATTCCAGTCTTAACTGTTACACTTTCGAGTGACAGATCTCGTCTTTCTTCTCCAATTCGTCTCTCTTCTTCTCCGGTTAATCTCATCTCTCGTCGGAGATTTCGGTATGAGCACACCTGCAACTTCCGGTTCAGCGGCGAAACCGACGAGACCAGCAAGGTCGTCGAGTTTAGCAACTAGGTCATCTTCCAATTCCGGTTCCCTCACTTCATTCCAAGCAATGGTGGAGTTGAAGCAAAAGATCCTTACCTCAATCTCTAAGCTCGCCGATCGAGATACATACCAGATCGCCGCCGAAGATCTCGAAAAAACTATTCAATCTCTCACTCCCGAAACCCTACCGATGTTTCTTAATTGTCTCTACGATTCGTGCTCCGATCCGAAACCTGCAGTGAAGAAGGAGTGTCTTCATCTTCTCTCTTGCGTTTGTAGTCTCCATTGCGATTCGACGGCTGCGCATCTCACTAAAATCATCGCTCAGATAGTTAAACGGTTGAAGGATTCTGATTCTGGAGTTAGGGATGCTTGTAGAGATACGATTGGTGCTTTGTCAGGGATTTATCTCAAGGGAAAAGAAGAGGGGACTAATACTGGTTCTGCCTCATTAGCGGTGGGTTTGTTTGTTAAGCCATTGTTTGAGGCAATGGGAGAGCAGAACAAAGTGGTACAATCTGGAGCTGCAATGTGTATGGCTAGGATGGTTGAATCAGCAGCTAGTCCTCCAATTACTTCTTTTCAAAAGCTTTGCCCTAGAATTTGCAAGCTATTGAGCAATTCTAGTTTCCTTGCTAAGGCTTCTCTTTTGCCAGTTGTTTCAAGTCTCTCCCAGGTTTGCGCATTATCATTTTAATCTCCTTTTCAGGTTCTAGACAGTGCGCACTATGTTTGTTGTGTTGGATGGAAGAATATGTTGCGTTTTGATATTAGTGTGAGTAAGTAGAACACAAAGTTTTAGTCTATAACACCTGACCTCACTGCTTGAGGTTTAGTCTTAATCCGACACATTTTCTTTTTTGGTGTTGCTGAAGTTTATTTTTTTGATTTGAGCTTACAAGTTTCAGTAGAATTTTGATGGGTTAAGTACTTCTGGTAGTTCAATACTAGTAGGTTCAGTGGTTAAGTTTTCTATGAAAAGAGAAGTAAAAAGCAATAACTTGGATTCAGGTGGGAGCCATTGCACCTCAGAGCTTGGAGTCATTGCTAGAAAGTATCCATGATTGCCTTGGAAGTACAGATTGGGTAACACGAAAGGCTGCGGCTGAGACCCTGACTGCATTGGCATCACATTCAAGCAGTTTAATTAAGGAAAAAAACGATTCCACCATTACCGTGCTTGAGACCTGCCGGTTTGACAAGGTAGCTATCTTCTCTTTCTCTGATTAATCAAATTCCACTATTATCGTGTTTGAGACACGTCATTTCTTTCAAGGTAGCTACATTTTTCTAGTAATCTAAAGTGGTCCTGTTGTGAAGTAAACGTAAACCTCATAAGCTCTTCAATTCCTTGTGAATGTCATCAGCAGCTCAGACAGACATATCTGTTAGTGGTTGATAGTGCTTTTGGGCCTTTCTCCTCATTTGCTATGCAGATGAAACGCACAAGCAAGTAGCTTGAAATTCTTACGAAGCCTTACCTTTTGATTTTTTACTACTATATGATTTATATATCTCAAGGATTTTCAGTCATCTATAATTTTTCTTTCACTACTGAGCATTGAAATGGCTGGATGTTTTATGAAATGGATTATGGCTCTCTACACATTCATCAAAATTATATTACTTAGGACATGTAATGATCTTCTCAAGACAGTTTACTAATGGAATTTTTTTGGACAGATTAAACCTGTCAGGGAAAGTGTGACAGAGGCGCTGCAGTTATGGAAGAAGATTTCTGGAAAATATGTCGATGGTGCTTCAGATGAGTCAAAGCTTTCAGCTAGTGAGCAGCTTGGATCAGAGAAGAACGGGGAGAAAAGGTCTAATCTAGCTGATCTAATGAAAAAGGAGACACCCGATGGTTCCACTCTCTCACCAGACTCTGCTTCTAAAGGAAAAGGATGTCTTCCTGAAAAAGGAGTAGGACTGTTGAAGAAGAAAGCACCTGTCCTAAGTGATAAAGATTTTAATCCTGAGTTTTTCCAAAGACTAGAAAGAAGGCAATCCGTGGAAGTAGTAGTTCCTCGTAGATGTAAAAACAATGATGAGGAAGAATCAGGACTCGATGATCTCAATGCCATGGGATCTTCAAATCGCCTCAAGAACACCCAAGCAGATGATAAACAGGTAAAAGGTAGGTTTGATGGGAACGGATCACAAGCAGGGACATCTGGTGATGATAAAGCTGGTGTTGTAAACGGAAAAGAGACACCTGGACATCACGCTCCTGTCTCCAATACTGATAACCAATCTGAAGGATCCTTCACAAGTAATAGAGGAAATTGGTCAGCCATCCAGAGGCAGTTGTTGCAGCTAGAGAGACAACAAACAAATCTTATGAACATGCTCCAAGAGTTTATTGGTGGCTCACATGACAGTATGGTGACCTTGGAGGGCAGGGTAAGGGGTTTAGAGAGGATTGTTGAAGACATGGCAAGAGATCTTTCAATATCATCAGGTCGTAGGGCTAATCTCACAGCTGGGTTTGGCAAATATAATAGCTTTGCTAACTATCCAACTGGAAAGTATAATGGTCGAGCTCCAGGGGAAAGAGGTTCACAACCAGATGGAGCTATGAGGGGGAGAATGTGGAATTCTGACATGGCGGATGACTGGTTCATACCTCCACATGCTGCTTCCAGAAACGGACAAGCCGGGCCAAGAAGATCACCTCGGTCAGAACAATATGAGAATGAGCACATGGGTAATGGCAGGAGAGGGTGGGATAATAAAGCATCTGGAACTATTAGATTTGGTGAAGGCCCTTCAGCAAGAAGTGTGTGGCAAGCATCAAAGGATGAAGCTACACTTGAAGCTATTAGAGTAGCCGGCGAGGATGGTGCAGTCCCTCGTCCAACCCGAGTGGCTGTTGCCCCTGAAGCTGAAGCCATGGGAGATGATGAAAACGAAGGGCAGGAACGTGACCCGATATGGGCTTCATGGAGTAATGCAATGCACTCACTCCGTGTTGGTGACATTGATGCTGCTTACGCAGAAGTCCTCTGTGCCGGTGACCAGCACTTGATCATCAAGCTGATGGACAGGACGGGACCTTCTCTTGACCAGATGTCAAATGAGATTGCAAATGAAGCTTTAAACTTCATCTCTCAGTTTTTGTTGGATCATAATCTCTATGACATTTGCTTATCTTGGAGTCAACAGGTACATCTCTTACAGTTCATTGGGTTCCAATAATCATACCTATGTTTCGTCTTTAACCTCTCTTTCTCTCTTTTTTTTTGTTGCCATTTGCAGCTGTTGGAACTGGTTTTACAAGACGGTGCAGACACGTTTGGAGTTCCAGTGGAACTGAAGACAGAGATCTTGTACAACTTACAAGACGCGTGTTCTACGATGGATCCACCTGAAGACTGGGAAGGTCCTGCGCCGGAACAGCTCGTGGTGCAGTTGGCATCAGTTTGGGAAATCGATCTCCAACAGTTTGACAAGTAAACATGAGCTTGTGATCAGAGCTTTAACTTGAGTACTGTTGTTGTTTATAATTTTAGTACAGACATGATTCGACATCTTTTTTTTTTTTTTTTCTCTCATGATTCGACATCTAGAGTTTGATTTTTCTTATTAAAATCCCCTAAAAAATGACTGGAATTGATCAAATATTGCTGTGTATTTGAGTTTAACAATATTTTGTTATTCTTCCTTTTGCTTAATTGAAAAAACCAGAACTTTGAAGAACAAATAAATAAGATGAGGGAAAGTGGGAAATAAGAACAAATAAGTTTCCACCCTGCATTTAATGTATGTTTCTTAGTAATTTTAGTGTATTTATATTTGAATTACTTTAAGAATATCATTAACAAATCCCTAATGTTTATAAAGATTTATAAAATAAAGTTTTGGCCAGATAAAATTAATTAATTTAAATAGCTATGTGGAAGCTTGGTGGGCCCATAACCACATATATATATTTTTTTTCTTCTTCTCTCTCTCGCACCAATTTTGTGAAATCGAATTAGAATTGTTTTCGAGTTGGGGAAAAGATCGAGCAAAGATCACTCTGAATCACTCTCTGAATCAATCGATTAGCTATTATGGGAGTTGACAAAGGAAAAGGTTTATCGGAAAACGTCTCAAGTTCCGGTGATTTCTTCTTTCGTGCTGGTCCGTCCTTGCCCCGCGATAGTGCCATGACTCCAAGTAGCTCGCATGGTTAGTTCGCTAATCTTTCTTGAAATCGATTGATTTTGTAATAGACGGATGATTCCAACTAGTTCGTGTGGTTGGTTCTTGTATTGCTAGGGTTTCCGGGTTCTTGTAGATTGGTGTTTTGAGTCTATGTTTTTCTAGTAAGTTCATTTTGTTCATTTTGTTCATTCATTTCACTTGTTCATAATGCTTGATCAAACGTGGAGGTGAGTCTATCTACCGCCTTGTTGCACCGAACGAGGGGTGGACTAGCTATAAGGCGGTAAATATACTCATATCCACGTTTTTAAGACCGTCGAAGACAATACAAGGAGCACCTGAAATTGCATCCATCTGAGTGGCCATGGTCTCTATGCTTCATCTCTCGCACCAATTTTCTCAAACCACCATAGAAAGAATTGATTACGGCTATCCTAGAATAATGAAGGCCGAAGACAAATTTATTAAAAATATTTTTTTATTAATAATATTTTATAACATTTAAAATAAAAATTTTAGTTTGCAAAAATAAATTTACAATACAACATGACAAATTAAAATTGTGAAAATTAATTTCAAATCTGTTATTATTTATATGCATATTTATCTAAAATTAAATTTAAGATAGTAGATTTACGGTGATTGTGAATATGATTTAGCAATTATACAACATCCAAAAAGATTATGTGAATAAAAAAAGTGAGTACAATTGTAAATTGAAGTTTAACTCGTGAATAGTTTGTACAGTAAAACATCTATAAGTTAATACTAGATAAATTAATAACCACTATAAATTAATCAGTTTATCCCGTCCCAAGTCGGGGTAGTGTAATATTTAAAATAATTCGATAAAATAATAAAATAGTATTTGTTTTGAAAATCTTATGTAAATATATGGTCCCATCAGTATCATAAAGTAATAATTGTATAAACTTATCAATGTATTTAATATATATATATATATATATATATATATATATATATATATATATAAGAAATGATTTTAGTATTCTTTGTTTTTTTTTAAATATACGTTAATCTTTGGTAGAGTACACTTGTAATATTTACTACATCGAATTTTTTTGTATTGTTTTATAGAGAAAATAATTATTATTCTTACTTGTATTTGGTTTTAGAAGGACATTGATTTCTAGAAAAAAAATTATTTTCGATTGAAATTTTAACAATTACAAAATTAGCCAAATTTCTTTATCAATTAATAGAATCTCTTTATAAATTATTTCAAGTACTATGCAATATACAGTAAAGCAGAAACCATACTATCAAATTTAATCTGAATTTCTCGGCCTTTTTTGTTGTTGTTGATGTGTGTTCTCTTTAGAGTTGATTGAGTGGCATTGTAAGTCAAACAAAACAAATGCACACCCATGTGGGAGTATCCGAGTACTCCCCAATGGCTTTGTTTCCCTCGAGGTTTTGTAATTGTACCGATATTGAGGGAATTTTCGAGATTTAGTTAATTAGTGCAAGAACAAGTGATGAAAAGACATAAATGTTCAAAAAATTGGTCTATGCGGCGTTTAGGCGCTTATGAACCAACATGCGTCCCGATTTTAGTAAAATAGGTAAATCAAATCGGTTTACCGGTTTAGGCGTTTTAAATCGGTATTAATCGGTTAAATCGGCCGGTTTAATGTCTGACCTTTTTTTCTTCTTTCAAATATGACTTTTTTTTGAAAAGTGAAAAAAGTTAAACAAAAATAAAATAAAAAATACTTGAATACTAAAATTGTAAAATATGAATTCAACTATTCTCAATTTTTAGTTATTAGAACTAAATTATTCTAGATTTCACATAAATTAGGTGTGAAAATATATAATAAGTTTTAAAAAGTAACGTTTTTAACATTTCATATTTTATAACCAATGTTTACACTATCTAATAAAAGAAAACAGAGTTATGCACAAAAAAATGAATTACTATGTTCATTCGTAAATATCAGAGCCAGGTTTCGATCCTGGGACCTGTGGGTTATGGGCCCACCACGCTTCCGCTGCGCCACTCTGATTTGTTGGTTTTTTAGAAATTAAATTATATAAATATATTCGTCTTCTCAATTCCAATTCTTCTCGGACATTATATGTTCCCGTCCCCCAACCGGAAGAGAATTTCAAAGATCTGAAAACAGTGAAAGATGCGACGACGACCAGGAATCGGAGGATTACAAAAGGCCGCAGCTGCTAGGGTTTCGCTCCTAAACCCAATTTCATATTTTTCTCTCGAATCTAAGTTTATTTTTGCGCTTTTTAACTCTTTATCTATCTATCTATCAAAAACAGGATCAGTACCGGTTACTAGGAGAAAATGTAGCCAAGTTACGCACTGATATGATGAAAGAACAGCTCGCCACGTTCCGTTCCCAGCTTGAAGAGTTCGCTCGTAAACACAAGGTCGTTATTTGCTCTGGTTATGTCATCGTCTTGATTTCGTATTTAGAACTTGTAGTTTAATAACATCATCTGTTGGATTTGATAAAATTTGTGGTGGAAAGTAGCATAATTTTGTCTTTGGTTGCAGAATGACATTCGTAAGAATCCAGCCTTCAGGGCTCAATTCCATGAAATGTGTTCTAACATTGGTGTGGATCCTCTTGCTTCCAACAAGGGTTTCTGGGCTGAGCTCCTTGGAATTGGTGACTTCTACTATGAACTTGGTATGTTTCCTCTCATTTCTAGCGCCACTGAAGAAGATGCTTCTTTTTTTTGGTTAGCTATGATCCATAAGTCCATGTCTGGATATGTGTGTGGAAATAGAAATCTCGTGTATGGAAAATGGCATATGTGTGTAGCTATCTTTTTTTTGGTTAGCTATGATTCATAAGTTCTTCAATTAATCAAACAGGAGTTCAGATTATTGAGGTTTGCATGCTTACAAGGTCACACAATGGAGGTTTGATCAGCTTGCAAGAGCTCTGCAACCATCTTCGTCAGAGAAGGAAGAAGGATCGTGAAGCTGTGACTGAAGATGATTGTCTTCGAGCTATTAGCAAGCTAAAGGTATCTATCTGACTTGTGTTTTTCTTTTTCTTTTTCTTTCAGATTTTTGATAAAATGAAAATAGTTGAACTGTTCTTGCTGGTATCTTGGGATTTTCTCCTCAGGTATTGGGTAGCGGATTTGAGGTTATCACAATTGGCAAGAAAAAGCTTGTCCGTTCTGTACCCACAGAGCTGAACAAAGACCATAACCAGATCTTGGAGTTGGCTCAGGTTATAATCATATAATACATATTTCAACAAAAGAAAACAACTTTTACATGTTTTACATTATACTGTATCTTAGAAGTTCTACCTGAAGTAACTCAAGGATTTCTGTTGCTTTCCGCACAGGGCCAAGGCTTTGTGATTGTGGAAGAGGTACAAAGACGCCTCTCATGGACATCTGGTCGGGTTATAGATGCTCTCGAAACTTTGTTAGAAGTATGCATTTGCATTTCATTTCCCCAATTGGATTATGTGCTTCGATACTTATATTATACTGATAGATGCAATGCAACTATGAGAGTCCTGAAACCTTGCAATATTATAATTCATTTTCAGGAGGGCCTTGCAATGATCGACAACGGCCATAGAGACGGAAAGTGTCGGTACTGGTTTCCCTGTGTTTCTTCTGTTTACTCATCCATCGGATCTGATACTTAACCTGGTACATGCTCTGTTTTTTTACTTGTTTTATATTAAATACAGTCACACTTTATTACATACAGTATAAATTACGAAGAAATCTCTTCATTATATTACTTAAATTTTCTTGTACATGTATCAAGAATTGTTTTTTTTCATAGACCACCTTGTAAAAAAATTATTTATGCTTGGTTGTTGGAGATCTCGGTTTCTTCTGTCCAGTCAGAGTTTGGTTCACTCCATGACCTAGGTCTCACCCCAAGCTGGAAATAAAACACCATCTCCAATGCCTCAAAGACCTTACTCTCATCCAAAACATTGTTCCATGCCCCACTCACGATGCAGTAATTGTTGTTATACGGTGCTCGATGATGTTCTGCGTGCTGTCTCCGTGAAACAAGCAACCCCATGTCCTGCAACGCCACCACGAGAGGTGGAAGCTTGCTCTTGGTTCCATGTGCCCAAGCATGGAATTGCTGGCTAAACATTATGCAAAGTGCAAATGTGCACACAAAGCCATGAAAGACAGGGTCGTTAAATGCAAGGTCTAGTGGGAGAACTGTAAAGGTTATGACTTGAGCCAGAGCGTGTAGATTGTTGGCAAATTGCCGTCTGGTGATTGTCCAAGGCCACTTGTGGTGACCCTGAAATGCTTCGATTTGGCTTCCTACTACTGGTGTTGACTCATCACCGTAGTTATCAATGGCCCAGTGGTAGACACCAGAACCTAGATCAGCTAAGATGTACCCTGCATAACCGGCTAAAGCTGGTTCGAGCCAGAGATGAGAATCAAACCCTCCAATGACAGATTTAGCTAAAGAGACAAACAAAGTGGTGCAGCCTGCTGCAACCCATAACCGGTGGGTCCATGTCGATTTCAAAGTTGGGTCGTTGGACAGAGGAGGACTCGCAAGACGTTGCTCAACCACAAGCTTCTCACGTTTAGGCTGAGGCTTGGTCGATTGCAGAGTGTGGTTGTTGGACAGAGGAGGTTTCACAATGTGTTGCTCTACCACAAGCTTCTCACGATTTGGCTGAGGCTTGATGGTAGTAACAGAGCAGGTGACACGTACACGGAGAAGCGACGGACGGTAGCTTCTTGGGATGTTGGTGATGGGTCTTAGAGGGTACTTGGTCTGAAGTGATACAGCCATTGAGAGAGATTGCAGGTGAAAGATTTCAAATTTTCTCGTTTTCTCGAAGCTATAACCACATGATAGAGGACGAGATTACGCTTAAGTTATGTTGTGGTGTACGTTAGTGTTGCGTGGGGCTATTCTGATCGCTAGCACATTACCAAGTTGGTTATACCAACTGTCAAACTTATAAAATAGTTTTGAAATTTGGATTCTTAGTTTCTAAAAGTTACAAACTAAAACCCAACATTTCAAAAATGTTCTATTAGCCCCCCAACCCAAAAAATAATTTTAGTTCGGTTTCTCAAATCAGTTATTCTGGTTTGGTTTCGAATTGGATTAGATTGGTATATTCGGATTGTGTTTGTCTTATTCAAATTTTTATATGCGAAACTGGAATATGTTAGAACGTTTGACCAACAAAAATGGTATAATTTGGAGATTTAAAATAACTTGACTTCACATCGTTACACGAATCTGGAGAATAGACAAAATAAATAAATAAAATACGTTAAAAAAACAAACTCATGGACGATCGAAAAATCGAGACTTAGCGAATTCGACACGGAAACGAGACAGTAATCGACTCAAGGGCGTTAACAATGGCTGCTTCATCGTCTCTGTGCGTCTTCTTCACCACTACCTTACTGCTGCTTCTCTCTATTTCATCCGTGAAATTACCATTTCACCCTCGGGACCTGCTTCCGCTTTTGCCCAGGCAAGTCTCGTGGCCGGTTCTTAATTCTCTCAACACAGCCGTCGATCTCCTCCCTACTTTCATCGGCTCCGCTTCTGTCAAAAACGACGCCGTGGAGTGGAAAGGTGCTTGCTTTTATGAGAACAAAGCTTGGTTAGAGCTCAATAACAAGTCCGGTTCCGAATTCGGCGGCGGCACACTTCACATTAAGGTTACGAAATGATGAATTGGAGCTCTAATATCTTTGCTTTTCATATTCTGGGTTTGATTTTGACCGAATACGTTGAGGTTTTTGTTTATGGGTTTAGCTTTTTGAGCTTCTTAGAAACTTGTTGATGAGCTTCAACGTCTAAGCTCGGTTTGTTTATGTTCTCACGCTGTTAGATTTTAGATATTAGCCTTCTGAGCTCCTGAAATTTCGGAGAACATTTCAAAATTGTAGGCTTAGAGTTACATTTACTCTTTACCTTGGATGTTATATGGAAGCTCAGAGATTTTAGATTATTCCTTTCTATATGATCCTGGGAAGCTGTTTTTCGAATGATGAATCCTTAATTGATTGAGTTATTACATGTTTTGTGCAGGTCGATAAGGCACATAGTTGGACGTGCATGGATATTTATGTCTTTGTCACTCCATATCGTGTGACATGGGATTGGTACTTTGCTTCAAGGGAGCACACTATGGAATTCAAGGAGTGGGAGGGTAAAGCCGAGTATGAATATGTAAGCTGCTCTTCTTCCTTTGTTATCTTTTTGTCTTTTCTATTTTATAGTTTATATAGCTAATGGATTTTTGTTTTGCCTTTCTGGCTCACGTTTGATCAGGTTAAGCAGAAAGGAGTTTCGATATTCCTCATGGAAGCAGGGATGTTGGGAACTCTTCGTGCGCTGTGGGATGTCTTCCCTCTGTTTACCAATACCGGTTGGGGGGAGAATTCTAATATCGCGTTTCTTAAGAATCACATGGGTGCTAATTTCTACGCTCGTCCTAAACCTTGGGTTACAAACATTACCACCGATGAAATTCACTCTGGAGACTTACTAGCTATCTCCAAAATCCGTGGGCGGTGGGGTGGTTTTGAGACCCTTGAGAAGTGGGTAAGTGGAGCCTATGCTGGTCACACTGCTGTCTGTTTGAGGGATTCTGAAGGGAAACTCTGGGTTGGTGAATCTGGGAATGAAAACGAAAAGGTGAAACTTGAATTGCTGGATGAATTAGTTTTAACTTATATGTGGGTTCTATTAAAGATGGTATAGCCATTGAGTACTAGTTCTTGTGCTGGGTGTCGTTATATCTGCTAAGAAGAAACTAAACTGATTTGGTTGAACATCATCGAATTGCTTGATTAGTAACATTTATATAGTTTCTCTGAACTTGATATGCAGCGTTAATATTTTACCAGTGACTTCTTTCCAAGCCAGTCTTGTGGGAACTGATTCTTTTAATGGAACTGCATTTTTCTTCCTATTTTTTATGCATATCATGAGTTTTTTGCTGTCTTCTCCTTTGGACCTTTGGGTCATAGGGAGAAGATGTAATAGCGGTATTGCCATGGGAAGAGTGGTGGGAGTTTGAACAAACCAAGGATGACTCAAATCCCCACATCGCGTTGCTACCGTTACATCCTGATTATCGAGCCAAGTTTAATGTTACAGCTGCATGGGAATATGCTCGTAGCATGGATGGCAAACCATATGGCTATCACAACTTGATCTTTAGCTGGATCGATACCATCAGCGGAAATTACCCACCTCCTCTGGATGCTCATCTTGTAGGTTTTCATTTCTCAGAATTTTGGCATTGATGAAAACATGAGATTCTGTTCATCTCTTTCTTGTTCTCGCTTCAAACAGCTTCTATCAGTTAGTTTATGGGTGCGGTTGTGATTGATTTTTCTGTATCTTTTTTTCCTTTTCTATTATGTTTTTCCAGGTTGCTTCTGTCATGACGGTTTGGAGCAAAATCCAGCCTGATTATGCTGCTAACATGTGGAATGAAGCCCTTAACAAGCGACTCGGAACAGAGGTATTAGTATTTTGTTCATTCATTTCACTTGTTTCATATTGCTTGATCAAACATTTTACTCTTCTCTTTCGGGTTCTATGGATTAAAATAAGTAGAAGCTTTTCGAGTAGCATTGGCTCTTGGCACATGGTACCATATGCTTTCTATTTTTTTCAGTCAGTAAATGGTCATTGATTTCTTCTCCTTAGTTCTTTCGCTGAGATTTGCCAAAATGGCAGGGTCTTGATCTTCCTGATGTACTGGTGGAAGTCGAAAAGCGTGGATCCTCTTTTGACGAGTTGCTGGCAGTTCCGGAACAAGATGATTGGATATATAGTGATGGGAAATCAACTTCTTGTATCGCTTTTATCCTCGAAATGTACAAAGAAGCTGGTCTTTTCGATCCAATCTCTAGTTCCATTCAAGTCACGGAATTCACGGTGAGAACCAACCTGTACACTCTAGAAGATATACACCCACACAAAACAGACACATACTGAACAGTGGAATTACTTTTTACAGATCAAAGATGCTTACATGCTCAAGTTTTTCGAGAACAATGCAAGCCGTTTTCCCAAATGGTGCAATGACAATGACGATGTGAAGCTTCCGTACTGTCAAATACTTGGGAAATACAGAATGGAACTTCCCGGTTACAACACAATGGAGCCATACCCACATATGAACGAGCACTGCCCGTCTCTACCTCCAAAATACCACAGACCAAAGAACTGCTAGAACCGAAAAATCAACTGTATTGTCTGTTTGTTAGGAATGACTTCGTGTTATATGCACGAGCACGAATTAAATTAAAAAGGTTCAGTCTTTAAATAGACACAACAACAACAAAAAAACCATTGGTAAGATTCTGTATATTTTTGTATATAAAAATCACAGACACATCTTCCATTGTCTCTTTTGCAGAGAAATTTACTGAAAGTAGTCAAGCTAGGAACTTTGGCTCCGACAAGATACCCTGATTTATATGGACTCTGACTCAGATAACATTTCTCATTGATACAACAAAACTCAACTTTGTTTCATGTGAATGAATCAATAACTCATGTCATTGATATAACAAAATTGATTGATCTGGATGATACAAACCTGCAATACAATGACTAGTGTCTAGGTCTCAACTAACCTTCTTTCCCATTCAAATACATGGGACATATCAAAACTTTTACGAGGCAACACCTGTTGAGATTCCCATGGCGTTTCTCCAAGCATATCAGAGAATATCAGCAAAAGGTGTTGGCACGCATGGAGTTCATTGATCTTATCCAGATCTGTGGCTTGTTCTGATGAAAGATCCCTCCACGCTTGATAATATGACCTGTGGAGAAGGATTCAGGTCAAGACTTGGAGTGATAAACAATGCAAAGCTTTGGAATGATGAACAATAGCGGAATCGTTTACCATCTCCAGCCCGGAATAGCTTCAGGAGGACTACTAATTTTAGAACACAAAGATTTTATGAGCTTGTAATCGCCATCGGACTCTAAAAAGAAGAAAGAAAAATTTTAGCTTCAGACTGTAGATGTTGATGGCAGAACAAGATGCAGCTTAAAACACCTAAGAACAAGCCTGAATAATTCTATAGTTTCAACAGATCTTTTTTTTCATCTCTAACCAGATGAAAATTCACGCAGAAAGCTTGATTCCAATATCAAAACCCAAACCTAATCTAGTCAAGAGCTCAATTCTCAATCAAAGCCAAGTAATCCGGAGAACAAGAGTTTTGTATGTCAGTGAAAAGCAGCATACCTCCAGTCCCGAGGTCATTGTGAAGAAGCATGAGAGAAAGTGCAAATACAACAGAGGGAAGAAGAACTCTGTAGTTTGTACACAGGAGCTGTTGGAGGTGTACAATTACTTCCCCTATTATGTGCTCTGAATTTTTCATGCTGTCTTCGAGATTTCTTTTCTTAAAGTATCCTAACAATGTCAGCAAAGTTTCTGGTTTTGTTTTACTTAAGACTGTCGGGTCAAAATCACTAGCTTTAGAATAAAGCTTCCCAAGTAAAACTGAAGCCGACAGCCAGCGTAGAAACTTTGCTACCATAGTCTCCTCTTGTGGTTCTTCGGTGAGTATTTTAGTATCTTGATGAGACTCAATAGGTTTAGATCCCTTTTTAAGGTCACTCTTTAATGCTGTGGAGGTTCCCCACAAAAGAAACCTTCTCAGCTTGTCCACGTCCTGAAAAGATATCATATGATACAAACACTTTAAGCTCTTCAAAACAAAATTGGAGGGATGCTCAATAGTCAGAGAAAGGGAGAGAGATACCATGCATATTATGTCAACTGGCGGGGTGCTCATTAATATAGTAATAAGCCCACTCTCTGCACTAGCTTCGACTTGAGGAGAACCAAAATTAGCAACAGCCTCAAAGAGTTGGAATATTCCCTCGATTGTGATGGTGAAATGTGGCTGGTACATTTTTCGTTTCTGTGAAATCTTTAGAGTAGCAGATAGTATCTGCAAAATTAAATCAACTGAAGTACCATTTGCTTGTACTGATACCAAGCCACCACCTAAAAGTTTGTATAAACGCGATGAGATTTCCATTAGCCCTTCGAGGCCAAATCGTTGCAACCACTCTGTAATGTTTCTGGAGGCGAGAACATCAGTTATGATCTGATACAACAATATCACAAAGTAAGTCAATTAGCGAATACACTATTCTACATAAGGACTCGTGATGCAAAACAGACAACAATCCTGGTTAACCATTGAGAAATTTGATTCAATTTTGCATTCATCATCATATTTATAAAACAGAATCTATATTCTTAAACAGTGTGCACACTTGTCCATGACTAAATTAATAGCATTAATGGATATACTGTACATACCTCCAAGACAACTACCAAGTGCAGATCTTTGTCTCCAATCGGCTTTGTGGTAAAATTTGAGATATACGATGAACACCATGAAAACAGACCACAGTTTTCAACTAGATGTCGGGCCATCTTATGGAATTTGACTGACTTTCTCACAACCTGAGAAGTGAAAGAAAGACAGTTTATGTCGCGTTGAATTAAGAGCTTGAAGATTTACAAAAGATACCCCATAGTTTACAGACCAAATAAATACATTCTTAGCATTAACCTTATATTGATATTGAATAAGGAACTGCATATAGGTGCAAAATAAACACTAAATGACATAAAGGAAAGAAAGTATCACCTGAAGGATTAGTCTTTTAGTTTCATCATCAGCAAGAGGAGATGAGGAAAAACTAATCACTGTCTCAAGGATGGAGTTTTTAATGTAAATTTGAACATCATCATCTGATTTCAAGCCCAGATACACTAGGCGTAGTTCCCAAAACCTCTGCGATCTAAAGTTAACAGCGCTGCTCCAGAAAAAATCATGAAACAAATGTATTCCCTAACAAAGAGAAAAATCAAAAGTAGTTTGAATGCTGGCATAGTGTAAAGGATAAAGACAAAAGTTTACAGTTTTCAGAGAATAAGTACCCTCAGTTTCAGTGTAGATGAGCTCTTCAAAAGTTTATTTATGGGAACATAATGTTCGTGAGAAGGATCCAACAATATCAGAGATGTCTCAGCAGCAAAAATAGCAGAAACAGTTGGGATTCTTTGCCATGGTTCCTCAACTCCATTTTGTACATACATTAGCAGAAGCCTAAGCCCTGTTACATGCTTGTTCTTCCTACAATTCTACATCAAAAAGTTCTAGTTAAACAAAGAAATTTTCACCGGTGTGCTCAGAACCAATTTAACTTTGGAATAATCGAGAACAAATCTGACCACTAAACCTCTGCAAAACCAATTACTTAACGAAAAGAAAAGCATTGGTAGGATTAGGACCCAAAACTCCCAACAAAATTAATACTTCTGCTATGTAGCAGTTGAAAATTAATATCTTTTCCCATCTTTTTGTAGAATTTAAGTTACTGAAAGTACCATTCACAAAATAACTATTACCTCAAGGGCATCCAGAAATATTTGAAGAGTTTCATAACCCAATTTTCTCATCCCAAGATCTGCTGAAGACATGCTCACAAATGCAACTGCAAGCAAGCCTAAGCTGGCGAATTCCACAGGTTCAATGTAACCCACGGACAATGAGTCTATCGAGAAGTGCAGGATGAAAGCCGGATCATATCGTTCAATGTCCTCAATAACAGGTGAGCATTTCTACACAGGGAGGAGGGATTAATTTGATAGATGTTTAAAAAATGCAAGTATACGAACTTCAACTGAAAATTAAAACTAAAGACGGGTACCTCGTTTATTGGATCATCATATAGGTAAAAATTGTCCGATTTCTCTGTAGTGCGTTGATAAGGAAAAAACAAAACAGTTGAAGCACATATTTTGGGATCAACACAAAGATTCTCTTTAAAAAGACTCTGCCGGACATCTTCCACTAACTCAGCTTGACCAACATCAGATGCATCCTGTTTGAAACGCAGTCCCTCTCTTAATTTCAAGGCAGCTTTACCCCACAAATAATCTGTTTCAGAAACATTTAGTGTCTGTTCGGCATCAATCAACTTGATATCATGCATCAGCTTGTAGATCTCCAAGTCGATTTCGCTCAGAGTTGCACCATAAGAACACAAAAGAAAAAAATGCAGTTCTTTGAGATTGATGCCTGAATCTTTTCCACATTTGAAGAGCAGCACTCTGAGAATTTTGACAACTTCTAACTGCTTCGCATAGTTAGGTGCTTCGAGACAACACCTTTTAACTCCGACAGAATTCGGACTTGAGATGATAAGATGATTTAGGATGCTGGAGACAGGCCTGAATAATTCACCAGTATGTGAGGATGATATGGAGAGAGAACTGATAGTTGGTGTAAACTGAGAGTGAGATATTAAGAGTTGGATATATGGTGCATATGAGTACTTCCCTCTAGACAATAAAGAGAAAATTTCTCTCAGTATCTTCAGTGTCGTCGAGTCCTCAAATCTATACAGAAGAACTGATTTCATCAATCTCTCCAGGAAGGGAAGGGAATCCAACTGAACGAGCTCCTCACACATGTTTTCCAAAAACTGTAGAATACTTCTCAAAATGAAGTTTTCAAGGCTTTTGCACAAGGACCAACATTTGTCCTGTTTTCCTTCAGAATTCCCTTTGAAAGATCCATCAGATTTCTTGACAACACATTGCCAACTATTAACTAAAGCATCTAGCAACGGCTTTGATAAAATCGCTCTATTGGATCCAATTTTTGAAGAACTTTCCTTCACACAAGTACCTGTTGCACGTTTAACTTGACACAAACTGCTATCCTCAGGAAACAAACAAATCCTTGAAAGTGTTACTTTTGCAACCACACGGATAGCAACATTTAACATTTGGTCTACTGACTGAACGTCCACTTCCTTTATCTCGTAATCCAACATCTCCTTGCCAGTACTTGTGTGAGGAAACATGGAATTAAATACCTTAAAGAGATCATCTTCTTTAGTTGGACTTTCAGTCAAGGAAAAGTGGTACTGAAACATACGTACTGCCTTCCCAATAAGACTCGCATTAAACATAGTGTCCATATCCTCAGTCGTTGACAGAAGAATCTCTTCATACTTCTCTTCAAAGATGCACCTAGACAAAAACCTCGGCCACTGAAGAAAACCATTTATTAGTATAGTTGAATAAACTGAAGTTATATCCAAACATCTATTACACGGCTTCTCGAGTTTTGCAAAAACTGATGTCAGATACGATAGCACAGCAGGCAGGAGCATGATAAACTGATCATCTGTAAGCGCAGAGTCATCCTGTTTCTTAGTTAGCATACAAAAGAAAAAGTTTCCAAAGACTAACAGATGCAAGGGACTGGACTCCACAAGGTAGAACAATATCTTGGCTCTGGTTATGCTTGCCCGGTTAATGCAATGGATAATCAAGTCTTCAGGGGTTCTTCCAACAATCAGTGAAATTTTCAAAACCAACGGGTGAACACTATAATTTTGATTATGTTTCCCCCTGAAAATACCACCACAAACTTTAAGCAAACAAATATCTGCCGAATCCAAATCAAGAGAGGTAGAAAACTTGCATGCCATGCTATATACTTTCTCAATGATGTTACTGGCATAATTCTTTTCTTCTAATTCCCACAGCAAATCAAATACCCCTCTCTTAGCAGTCGGCTGGTGTGAATATAATATAAGCATTTCAAAAGCTCCACCTGCAATACCCAATCCCAAACTGAGAAGAATACTTGAATTTGGGCTTGCCAACCCTTCCTTATCAATTTTACTCAGCATGGAATGAGCAATATTAAGAAGTTTAAAAGGTGATATAAATCTTAACAAAGCATGAATCAGTTGTGATGGTTGGAGAAGAGAAGCGTAACTTTGAGAACCAACACAAAGCTCAAACTTGACCCTAAATTCCAAGAAAAGCCTTTCAACCAAGTCCTTAAATGCTATAATTGACTTATTTTCCCTGAGGTCCTCTTTCCACAGATTGTCTTTCTCATCAAGCAAAAAGTGCTCACAAGTAGAAACCAAAAGATCAAGGATGTGTTGATCTATTTCACTATATACTAGCCTGCCCGTTGTCAGCGATGTTTCTGAAAAAATCTCAACATTCTGCACTGGAGGTAATGTGCCACAATCCAAGGGACTCTCTAACAGTGCCATCACAACTGGGTGGCAAAGAACTGTCTGGGCCACTTGATGCTTCCACTTTGCAAAAGAAGCAAACAACTTATTTGAAGAGGATCCAGAAACAAGCTCCGGTTCTGATATTTGAGAGAACAAGTTCTTCATGAGACGTAAGCAGATCTCAGAGAGTTGATGGAGTACTGGAGCTGGTTGAACCTTGTAAGATGATCGTATTTGGAAGAGCCAGAACATTATTAATTGGATATTTGAGTCAATACTACCACTTTTAGGCTGCGAAACTTTTAGCAGCAGTAGCTCTGATATTCTTGGAAACTCTGGTAAGCAAGATATATCCATGCTCATAATTGCATTAAGTAATACAGGAAAAGGAGCCTGCTCTAAGAACATAGAGAAGGCAGAAGATTCAATATCACGATTGTTCATCTTACTTCTGATTTCTTCAGTTACGGACGAGTGGCCAGAAAAATCAATCTCACTATCTACTGTTCCTTCACACAGATTCCTTGACCCAGTAAATTCTGAACCTGGAGCAAACAAGTCAGGCGATAGCTTTGAAAGGTTTCCAAGGAAATTATCCTCTAGAAAGGTGATGGACTGTAAAAATGAGAATGGTGTTCCATAAAAGGCCCAAGAAACATCCATCACAGGAGCAAAATTTTGCAAGATCGATTCAGGTGTTGCACATATCAATGCAGAAGAAAACGCTTTAACTATTCCTGCAATTTCATCCGGAGAAATGCTTCTAACTAGTCTTTTGATCTCATCAAGAGTCTCTGTAAAAGTACTATCAGTAGGAAGACCCGTTGTCCTTCTGGAATGCAAGATGATAGGTTTTTCGTTTGACAAGGATTGTGAGAAACAAAGCAACCTTCTCAATGGCCTCCATTCACATAAAGAATTCTTAGATCCATCAACCACCTCAGATAAAACTGACTGGATCAAACATGAGAGTAATTTGGAATCTACCTACAATATTGAATTTATAGGAAAGATATTGGTATCTTAAGTGGTGTAAACTAGATTATAAACCATATTGCATGGTAAAGGTTAAATACATACACCTGCGTTTGCAAAGATATTTTACCTGAGTTTGCAAAAGATATTTCAGTGTGCTGCAGACGTACAGAGATATTGCTGACTTCTCCGGTAAAGACGTTTTAGACTCAGAATTTAGTAGCCTCACACACTTCTGTAGTAGACAAATAATTAGGGGGCTAAAACCAATTGATACACCTGCAACCAACGCAGAGAAGATACACACAAGTCAAAAAATACTTCTAGGTCTATAACAAGTCCACATGACAAGTAACTAGGATAAAACTTGCATGAGATTAATTGAATCGTGTTTGATAATCAACAAGTTTTCATCAATTCTATACCAAACCATTGATCTCGGGGGCAAAAATACCTATACCTTTTAAATGGGACAAGCTACTTCTGACAATGTCCCAGTGCTTGAATAAATTATTTCCAACAGTCGAAACTGCATCACATAAAAAGGAGATGACAACTGATGACATGCTCTGTACAGCCTCCTGAACCTCATGAGGTAGTTTAATCTTTTCAAAACATGGTAGAAACAAGAACCATGCACCAATTTCACTTGGATTGTTTTCAAATGCACCGGTACTGTTCATAGCTGCCACTGCTAAATTGTACACTAGATCCTTCACCCCGTTGTGTGGTGAAGAAAGTAACAAATTCATGAACACACGCAAATGCTTGTGCATAAGTGGTGGAATTCTTGTAGGACCTCTGTCACTTTGAGACTTTGGCGTCCAACTGATGTAGTCATTTAGCAAAGACAAGAGAGCTCTCTGCAATTCAACTGGTAAACCTGAAGAATTGCTCAGAAATTTCATGAAGACATCAAACGATCCTTCAAGCTCATTAGGTACAGCACGCTGCAAAGATGAAACATGTAGCTTAAAACCAGAACTCATCAAGTACAGATGAGGAACGTTTAAGCCACCAATAGTGCATAGACATCTTTACATTAATAAATAAACTATAACAAAGTGACACAAGAAAGAGACATTTGACCAGAACTGGGTAAGCAACGTATGAACATTTCCAGTTCTCTAGCTGTCAACTGGACAAACCACTACAACTCAAAAATCAAACTTCAATTGGTATACATTACAAAGACTTCAAAACTAATATTTGACAAGGAGAATTTTAAAGGACAGTGCAAAACAATAGACATCCTGTCACTAGCTATATATCATTACGCTAGAGGATTTTAAACTAATAACTTTTCTGTAAAGGTTCGGCTTTTTCATTTTTCAACAACACAAACAAAAATAATAATAAGAAAAATCAACGTACCACATAAATCTTGAGGGCATCCAGAAGCTTTATGTGAAAACACATCTCTGCTTCTTCGACCGAATCAATAGGCTTAGAACAAAGCTCTGAAACCCAAATTTCTGAAACAATCCCAAGATATTCTTTTTCAGCATCTTCCTGATCTGTCATATGAGCATCCATATTATCCTCTGCCAAAAAGATATCTTTATCAGAACCTACCCCACCAATGACAATATCACCAGCCTCTTCTTCCAAAACATCCTTCTCAGATCGCTTAAAGCGTTTTTTTCTGCCTACTAATCCACTATCCAACTCTGCTTCTCTCTTCAATGACAGCTTTTGAGTTCCACTAGAACCGTCCAAAGACTTCAGTACAATCAATAAGACCTGGGAATCTGGAAAAAAGCTGCTCACTTCACCCATGACGTTCGCTAGAGAAATCTGAATTTTCTCAACAGAGCATCTATGAGATGAACAAAGGTTCCAAGCAGTAACAAAAGAATCCAACAGCCTCAGCGTCTCCAAGAGAAATCTCAAGGTCCCATGTTTCACAAGAAAATCAGAATGGAGCATCCCTTTAGTGATCAGTGACCGGCTAAATGGTCGGGGGCATATGCATTTCATGATAGTCTGAACATCCAAACCACCAGAAGGAGGTGTAGCACGTTGATCTGGATTGAGAAAGTCAAAAGAACATGAAGTTCTTACTGACGATACCAAATTAGCTGCCACGGAAATAGAAGAAAACCTGCAATGACTTCAGTTACTATGCAAAAAGAATGACAAAATAGCAAAAACTGGACGGTAGACGCAGTAAAATAAAAGATAGATACACTTTCGTGCTCTGAAGAAGACTAACCAGGATGGTGATGCAAAATCTTCCACATTGTATGGAAACTCGTCCAAGAAAGCTGAAGCTAAAGACGGTCTACCCTAACAATGGCTAGAAGCAAATCCCTGTGATAACCAATTTCTGCTGCTCTCAACCTCTTCATGAGCATTAGTAGTCTGTCTGAATTGCCTCTCAAATTTCTCTTTGCATCTGGCATCAATCCATTACAGGGGTCTGTGCAAACTTTAACAAGAACATCATGGGCCAACTCATTCACAATCCCACCATCCTCTCTTGCTGAAATGCTGGCTAGCTGCTCTAGCGTCGCACTTCCAAAAAGAACACTCCTTAGACCAGGAGAAATCAATGATTCTTCAACAAGGATCTTATCCTTTAACGTAGACAAGACAGAAGCCACAGTGTCTTCATCCTCTTTCCCAAGGCCTCGCAGGACTTTCGAATACATTTCTTTCTGCTGTAAAACTGATCTTAGCAATCCAGGCTTCCCAACTTCAAGGAATGATATTGCAAACCCAACAAAGGCCTTCCTTGTTGAGTGTTTCTTAACCTTTTCAGTCCCTCGCGTTTTATACTCTGCTAGTTTTGCAAAACCCTTAAAATCAAACTTCTTAGCTATTTCTGATGCCATGCCTGGACCACGTCTAACAATCGAAGCTAACAATGAAAGTGCAGCAGACTGTTGTTTTCCCTCTTTGCTGTTCAATTCTTTGTAAATGTCATCCAGTTTATCTTCAATAAGTAACCTACCAAACTGGTCAATAGCTCTTCCTATATCAGTTGATCTATCTTTTCCATCTGGATGACTCAAAATCGTCTGGATAAGCGAGAATATGTAGGACAGTCCTTGTTTTTCATGTCGAAGCTTCCATGCCTCCAGAAGCTCAGCAAATTGGGTGAGCTCTGGAAATAAAGACGCAACAAATCGCCACCAGTTTCTCCCTTGAGTAACTTAACAAATTCTTTTGCAGCATCAGAACATAGCTTAATCTCATGTAAGCAAATCTTATGCAACAATTCTCTAAGTTTAGCTTCGTGGGATGGTCTGAAAGCCATCACTGGGATATTTTCCACCTCAACATCTCTATTCCCTCCGTCCACAACCATTCCTGATATATCAAACAAATTATTCAATCAGAGAGTAAAAACTACTTCTCCACCAGCCCACACTGTTCAAGAGAATTAAAGCTACTCAAAAACAAAAACATTACAGGGAAATACAAACAAGAGATACAATTCTTCAATGTAATTGACTCAAAGATCCCAACAAATAACAGTTTTTACTACTTTTTCGCAATTTCCAATGGTTAGTTTTTTTTTTTGCTGGCAAAAATCAAACAGATATTGCTAAACGAGTCTGCACATGTCAAGCTCTTATCGTACCTTGATCTTCCAAGTCTGATATTGATTCCGCCATTAAAAGAACACTACAGAGAGTTCTTCTCTCTTCCCGGGGTTTTAGGGTTTAACAGGACAAAACATTTCGGCGACGCTGAGATGTTTTGAAATTAGGCATCTCAATCCCAAACCGATCCCGATCGGTCCGAACCGATTTTTTTGGTAAACCCTAGACTTTACTTAACCGGGTTGTTCCAGTGCTCTTATAATGGGCCGAGCCCAAACCTTTTTATTGGGCCATGTGAGGTCCATATCACAACCAACTTTTGACTATAAAAAGGAAACAGAGACAGGAAATCTCTCTCTCTCTCTTTTGCCCTTTCGTCCTCGAGCTCATCCCTTAAATTGCATCGGCGACATTCGTCTCTTTTGCTAGGTTATCGTCGTCATCATGATGCAGCAGCCACCTCCAGCTTCTAACGGTGCTGCCGCAGGGTCAGGGCAGATTCCTTCTGACCAACAAGCTTATCACCAGCAGCAGCAGTCGTGGATGATGCAGCACCAGCAGCAACAACAAGGTCAGCCGCCTGCAGGATGGAATCAGCAGTCTGCACCGTCTCCTGGTCAACCTCAGCAGCAGCAATATGGTGGTGGTGGATCTCAGAATCCAGGATCAGCTGGTGAGATCCGGTCGCTGTGGATCGGTGACTTGCAGCCATGGATGGAGGAGAACTATCTCATGAACATCTTTGCTACTACTGGCGATGTAATTTTTAAAATCCTATTAATTCGTTGCTCCGAGTTTTTGTTTTAATCTCTTGTTTTTCTGTTTAAGTATTGAAAGTTTCATTCTTTGTGGTTGTTGCAGGCTACATCAGCTAAAGTTATCCGCAATAAACAGAGTGGATATTCAGAAGGTTATGGGTTTATTGAGTTTGTGAACCATGCTACAGCTGAGAGGATTTTACAGGCTTACAATGGTGCTACAATGCCCAACAGTGACCAGGCCTTCAGGTTGAACTGGGCTCAGCTTGGAGCTGGAGAGAGACGCCAGGCTGAAGGGCCTGAGCACACGGTTTTTGTTGGAGACTTGGCGCCTGATGTTACTGATCACATGCTTACTGAAACGTTTAAGGCTGTGTATACCTCTGTCAAGGGAGCTAAAGTTGTGACTGATAGGACTACTGGACGGTCCAAGGGATATGGATTTGTCAGGTTTGGGGATGAAAGTGAGCAGATTCGTGCCATGACTGAAATGAATGGTCAATACTGCTCATCAAGGCCTATGCGTACTGGTCCAGCTGCCAACAAGAAGCCTCTTACAATGCAACCAGGTATGTTTTGATATTAAGGAGCCAGATATCTGCTCACTTATGAATGTGTTGAGTGGTGATATGACTCACTTTGTCCTTAACTGTCTATGTTAGTTGATTGTCTTTTCTTTGGGTTATTCCTTTACCACTATCTTTCTGGTTAGTGAAGCTTGTTCTTTTAGTTGGTGCTCAAAGATAAAGAGAATGTGTCTACCCTTTTCTTCCGCTTCTTGCCTTTCAGCTCTTCAAACAATTTAATATCGCAAAACATCCTAAAACTTATAAGAAAAAACTCATGTTGTCTTAAAGCAGGAGAACAAGGGGCTCTCTTTGGGGGGGCCTGGAACTGACTTCAGCTGAAAATGATTCCACCTTATTGCGTGGCCTCATTTAGGTCAGTTGGTTATGTTTTCAGAAGAAGTTAATTACAAAGCTTTTACTCCATTCGCAAATTATTTTCCAGTTCCTTACTTATCAAGCATAAGTCTTTCCTTTTAATTTTAAGCCCTACCTTTAAGTTAATTCTTTTCATGTTACATAGTTCCTTGCTCCATTTGCTTTTTTATTCCAGTTTGAATCCTTAAAGAGTGTTTTGTTATCTTTTTCATACCTCTCAATTCATCTTTTTCCAGTAATTAGTGCTGCAATTTTTTCCTTCTTTCAATTACGTTGCGCCTCTCAATTTGTACTTGCAACCCTTTTTAGTGTTACTTTTCTTCTTTTGGCAGTCAGAATTTGGAAGGAATATAGTTTACTTGATACCCTAGAGTTTTTTTTGGTCCCATTCTCTAATTTCTCAAAGTTGGATCGTACAGGCACTTTCCCACAATACATCTTTAATGATTTTTGTATCAATTATCAACTAACTTCAGAATCACTCTTCGAGTTGTATCATATATATGGCATTTGCTTTATATGCTGATATTTTTGGGTCTTGATTTGGATAAGTTCTGCAACTGCTATTGTTGTGTGTGTGCGTTTGCTTTTCATGCACTGTCAGCTGAATTATAAGTAAATAGATGTTTGAGTTTTTTTTCCTTACTGTCTCTTGACTGTTTTCTTGCAGCTTCATATCAGAACACTCAAGGAAACCAGGGAGAAAGTGATCCAACTAACACAACAGTGAGTACTTTGTTTTGGTTTCCCTAAGCCTTTTTTTTTTTTTGACGCCGCCTAAGGCTTTTCTATGTGGGGTATATTGTTGAATTTAAGCAATATGTTTCCTATTCCAGATTTTTGTCGGAGCTTTGGATCAAAGTGTAACAGAAGATGATTTGAAGTCAGTTTTTGGTCAATTTGGTGAACTAGTTCATGTGAAAATACCAGCAGGAAAACGTTGCGGATTTGTTCAATATGCCAATAGGTAGTGTGAATTTGGAGACGAACTTCATCTTATTTTGAGAATGGTTTTTCACATATTTTATCTATCTGTGTGCTTCAGGGCATGTGCAGAGCAAGCCCTCTCCTTGTTGAACGGAACACAACTGGGTGGACAAAGCATTCGTCTTTCATGGGGTCGCAGTCCTTCCAACAAACAGGTTTGTATCCGTTAGACAATGCACTTACTATGCTCTCAGATACGCTATGATCTGATGTCTTGATCCATGGATTTCACAGACTCAACCTGATCAAGCCCAGTATGGTGGTGGTGGTGGAGGATACTATGGGTATCCTCCTCAGGGATATGAAGCATACGGATATGCACCTCCTCCTCAGGACCCTAATGCCTACTACGGTGGTTATGCTGGGGGCGGCTATGGAAACTACCAGCAGCCTGGTGGCTACCAGCAGCAACAGCAGGTAGTTCTTTAGTTTTTATCTGAAAATATTCGAATGAAAAGTATCCATATGACATTCCAAGTGTTTCTTTGTTTTTGGCGAGCTTACTGATTCTTCTTCACCCTATTTGTTTATCCGAATTTGCAGTGAAGCATGATGTGTAAGTCGTGATCGAGCTGAAGTTCTAGAAAGCTGTCACCGTTTGAAAATGGTGAATGAATGAATTATTGAAGTGGATGTGTATTAGCTCTTCTCGTCTCAGATTCTCTCTTGAACTCTTTTTTCTTTGGCGTGGCTATTGTTGAGTGTCCTTGCAAGTGATAACAAAAGGCTTAACCAAAGTGCTTTTTGTCATTTGACTTGACCATTATGTTTTCTTCCTACTCTTGCTGTACCATTTCTTCTTGTATCGCCCTATGACTATTTTAACACTCAAAATTATTCAGTACTACTACTACCTCATAAATTTTCAATAATACTCATTTGGTGATTCTATTTATAATTTTACAATGATACTCATATGTATCGAGAGCAATTGAGTTTTTAGTCTCAAGTCTATTGTCACGACAGGGAAAAATAGTTAATACAGTAATAAAACCTTCATAAGATTTTATCTAAAGGTAGCACTGTAGCAGGAAATCGACGCCGCGAGAACTATTTCTCGTCCTGTTTGCGACCACCCTTCTCAGGGACCTAGTGTCACGGCACTTAAGGCGCAAGCTTGGAAATTAAAAACTACACGAAAATTAAAACATTTCGTGTGGCAATGTGTGTCAGGTTGTTTGGCCTCGTGCCAACGACTATTTTATCGCCATATTGGTAGAGATAAAGGATGCCCTCGATGTGGAGCAGAAGAAGAGACGATTAATCATTTGATTTTTGAATGCCCTCCATCTAGACAAGTTTGGGCCCTTTCCAATATCCCATCATCCACAGCCTTGTTCCCCTCACCTTCGCTGTATAATAATTTAGATTATTTGTATTGGCGGGGTAAAGAGGCGGGTGCGGATGAGGAGAACCTAAGAGTATTTCCTTGGATTATGTGGTACATTTGGAAGGCGAGAAATCGAAAGATTTTCAACAATTTAAGCGAACCGCCTCAGGAAACTTTGAATATTGCAATCCAAGAGGAAGAGGCTTGGCGGCGAGCAAACCGGCGAGAAGAGCCCCAACCCGAGAGGAACCTTATAGTACAAGTGTCGCCAATTCCAGCGGACAGACCAGTTTGCTTTATTGACGGATCTTGGCATGGGAAGGAGTCTAGGAGTGGTCATGGTTGGATTGTTTCATGTGGAGGAAGATTATTACATGTAGGACTAAAGGGCTCACGCAGAAGTCTTTCCCCCTTGCATGCCGAATTGGAGACTCTCTTGTGGACGATGAAGTGCTTATTAGCGATTCCGATGACTAGTATCCTCATTTTGACGGATTGCTCGGATCTTATTGAGATGACTTCTAGCCCCGAAGAGTGGCCTACTTTTTCTACAGAGATGAAGGATTTTGTGTATTACAGAGACTTATTTTCTACTTTTAGTATTAAGTATATCCCTCGTAGTGGTAATACCTCCGCTGGTCATCTTGCGAAATGTGCAAGAGTTCGCGGGTTTTGTTTTTCCCATGTAAGTTCGACGGTACCCGATTGGCTCTCTCTAGTAGAGAGTTCTTATCCGTGAATTAATATATGGAGTTTGACTGTCAAAAAAAAAAAAAAGCAGGAAATCGACGTGGGCCGTGTTTATACCAAGTAAGGGCCCATGAAGCCTCTGGAGAAAGAAAAAAAGAGCGAAAAAAAGAGAGAGATTTGCTGTTACCGGTTCCCTCGTATTTCTAGATCTGTTCTTTCATTTTCTTCACCTTTTAATTTTTCTCTAAGTAGGATTATATATGTATATAAATTTAGCTCCGAATAGACCGTGATTTCCATAGAAACTTCTAGAGATTTGAAATTTTATTCAGAGAAAATCAAACATTGAAAGGTCGTCAAAAAAAAAGGATGGGAAACGCCAGGAAAGTGGAAGACGACGACAACAACAACTCTTCATCATCATCATCATCGCTGTTAATAGCAGCAACCATGTGCATAATCGGATTGCAAGTTCATGTTCACGTCAAGGATGGTTCCGTCTTTTCTGGGATTTTCTTCACCGCTTCCGTCGACAACGGCTTTGGTAAATCTTTCATTCAGTTTCCGTCTATCAATATGTTTCGAATTGATTTCATATGTTTTGCGTGATTTGTTTTCCTATCGGAATGTGTTACCTGTTAGAGATCTGAATGGAATCTTTTACTATTGAATCCTAAGTTCTGTACTTCTGTTAATCTCAATTCAAATTGACAGTTTAAAACAGTCATGTTCCAGATCGAGGACATGTACATTTTTGGTATAGTTTCTTAATATGTCTGTCTATTTCTCGGTGTTAATATTATTATGTGATACAGGCATTGTTTTGAAGAATGCAAGAATTACTAAGAAGGGGACAAGTAAATCCAATGTAGCAAGCGGGAGTGTGGTCGATACACTTGTTATTCTGTCTTCCAATATTGTTCAAATTGTTGCGGAAGTGCGTTCTTTTGTCCGTAATTTACTTACTTCTCTCTTATAGCTTCATTTGTAACAATCTGTGTGACATGCTTCTGGATTTGTTTTCATAGGGAGTCTCGCTTCCATCGAATGTTAGAGCATGCAATAATGAGGTCGGATCAGCCACAGAAACATTACCTTCTGAGCCTCGTTTATATGCTGCAAATGTTTCCACTCAAGAAAGGGGATATAATCATAAGAGGTAAATTACTTTAAGAAAATTTTGAAACAGAAACTAAACTACTGGTGAAGGGGTTATGGGTGAAGTTATCACTCCCTGAGTTTTCTTTCTGCACTTTTTGCTCACTATACTTCGTTATTTGCTCGTTGGCTTTGAAAGCACCAGATGATAATTGTGATCATCTCTCAAACTTCCGAAAACAGGATTACTTACAATTTATTTGAAAAAATGAAGTAAATATGTTAACAGAATCCTGATTTCCATGTTAATATTTCCATTCTGTTACAAATTTTCTATTTCCATGTCAATCTTAGAAATCTAGTTTAGCATCTGCATCAAACATATCAATACTGGCACAAATCACTTACTATCTTGGGCATACCAATGTCTAAACTTTACCTTGATAAATTTATTCATTTTCTCTGATTCTTGTATGCTTTTGTTGACAGGCAGGCTGGAGCCAAGATTTTGAAGCGTAGTGTACAAATTCCAGACATTCATCAAGAGGATAATGTTAGTCTTGTAGAAAGATTTTTCATTTGTTTATTTCTGTTATTACTTAGCAGCTGCTTACTTGTTAGTTTCCTATTGCAGGTTGATATCCAAAGCTCAAGTTCTAGCTGTGAGTTCATTGTCCCCGGAATTGTTTTTTTTTCTTTTCAAATCTTTGTTATAGCTATGGTATACTTGTTTCTGCTTCATTTTGATGGTGAAATGTTTTCTAACATGCTTATCCTCAACTTTCATTCATGTGAAATAACAAACATCCAGTGGATAGCATGTCCGAACGAGTTAAACCCATAGAAGAAGATAAGATGATGCCGGAACCTTTTAGTAATGGTTTTCACGATGCTTCTGAAAGGCCCTCTTCAACTGACAATTCATCATCACAAAGTACAACTTTTGATGACACCTCGGAATTGTGTCGGGGTAGAATGGCATCTTCAACTGCATCAGTACCTATCCAGGCCGTCAAAAAGGCTAAGGTAATGCCTAAGTACAGTTTAGATTGATTATCGGGTCCTAAAGCTTTGTTATCCATTCGTTCTCTCACATTCAAACTAGTGTGTTCATTGGAGTCGTTGTTATGTTGTCAAATCAGTCTGAGTGTTCATTTTACTTTATCTGTTTCTCAATTACCAAGTTTCTATTTCTAAAACTTCTATCACATCCAGGAGTTCAAACTGAATCCAGAGGCAAAGGTTTTCTCTCCTTCTTATACAAAAAGGCTTTCACCGTCTCCTGTTGGTATGCCTGATGTTGCAAATATTGCTTATATACCAAGCAACACTCCCATGCTACCAGTTCCTGAAGCTATTTACCCAGGAGTTGGAAACAACCCTTATGTGCCGCAAGCACCTCCACCTTCTAAGTTTGTACCATATGGTAATTTGACTGCTGGACATGCTGTCAGTGGATTTCAATTTCCTCAACACGTAAGTATTATCTTTTCAATATCGTCCCTGTCTATCTTACTCTCTTCAGGAAAGTTATGACAAGGGGCTTTTTAATCAACTAGTAATTGAGAATAGACTGTTCCTCTCACCAGTAAGCGCCTGCATGGTTAACAACCATAAATGTTAGTATTGAAGACCAGATTCATTTTGAATTGATATGACTTAGTTTGTAGTGTTAAAATGCTTCCATTTACTTTCTACCACCAACTTTTGTTTCTGTTACCTTCGATGAATCATACATCCACTTGCAACCCATTTTCCTGCAGATGATTGGGCCTACTGTTAACAGGGCACAGCCTCAGAGATTCACCACTCAGTACCATTCTGTTCAAGCACCAATGCTTGTAAATCCAAGTCCTCAGGTTATATTTCATGGAGGTTCCCAAAACTCACTTTTGTTAAAAGCGCGGTTTTAAGACTCTTATTGAGCTAGATTGTTGTAATTGTTTCTAAAGACTCTTTTCACTGTCCTCCAGGTGATGGTTGCAAGATCAGGGCAGCTTGTATATGTACAATCAGTTTCTCAGGTAAGAACTTGATGCAGATAGCTTCTTGATTAATTGTTTCTATTTGGAATATAAGCAATTTGGTGAACCTTCTATGATGTTAGATTTAATCGAATGTATGTCCTGTATATGTTAGATTTAATCGAATGTATGTCCTGTATTGCTGAGTTGAAGAAGAAATATTATTACGCATTCATTGGTTTAAGTTTGGTCGAAAATCTCCTCTAATTCATATCAGTCATAAGTCATTTTTAGTAATCGTCTTTCTTATTTTTCCAGGATCTGATTCAAGGAACACCGCCTCTGCCTCTCTCACCTATCCTCTCCCGTCCTCTACCTACCGCACAACATGTCCAATACCTGAAGCATCACGGTAAATACTTGAGTCTACCTTGATTTGCCTTTTTGGACCAAACCAAACGGTTGGGTTGTAAGTAGAATGAACCATTGTGTGATGCAGGTGTAGTAGCAGCTGGCCAGCCGCTGCAGCTATGCGTCTCCCAACCGTTCACGACTGGTGGACCGCAACCTTATGGCATTCCCACCCAATTCCCGGTTATGCAGCAGCCTCCTTTTCCCACGAATCAGCCAATGACAGTTGCAGTTCCTAATGGTTTCTACACAAAGTTTCCATAAACAGAGTCTCATTGTTTTTTAGTTTCATACCTTTATTCTTTGCCTCTCCAACCTAATAAGGGTTAAAAAGGTCCTAGTTTGGTTCATAGTTTTTTTCCTATTTTTCGCTTTTGTTTTGGGTGTTGTGCTCTGTTTTGGCTTATTTATATTGGGGGATTTTTTCATTGGTTTATCGATTTGAATTGGGTAAAAACTGTTGTGGAATGTGAAAACATACTATGATTCTTTGGACAAAAGTATTGGTGATCTCAATTCATAGATTTTGGAAGAGAAATTACGTCTGAAACAGAGCGAGAATAATCATGTAACATACACATTACACAAAAGAGATTAGAGAGAAACAAATGATAGATCATAAACATTAAGAGAGGGTCCATAACCGTATAAATTTGATTAGCACATAAAGCGACGTTAAGTCGGTTTTCTTTAATTTTGTTTTTGTTTCGGTTTGAGCTGACCAAAGTTCTTATAATCCGCCGTCCGCTAATATTCCTCGATTCGAATCTCCGGCGATCAGAAACCTCGCAGTGAGTTTTGATGGAAGAAAAGCTGCCAAAATCGCTCAAGAATCTCGACTTGAATACGAATCGTGTACCAAAGAATAAGATCCTCGTTTCAGCTTATCTATCTTCCTCACGTAAGCCTCGCTGATTCTTTTCTCGAGCTCGGCAAAAATTGGGTTCTGAGAACGGATTTGCGTGTAGTGAATCTGGGGATAAGCATGGCTGGTGATGTTTAGGAGTTGGAATTGGGCAATGTTTTTACTTGTTTGCTTCAATCGCAGGAATGTCTCCATTGAAATCAAAACCTCCATCTCTTGTGAGCTTATGTCTTGGAGATATTGGGAAGCATTTGGAGGAAATGATTCCTTGTTTAGCTGAAATCTCTGTTATATTTCCTGCGGACATCAAGGTTAATTTGGTTTCAGTGTTTTCTTCTTTCAAGCTGTTTAGTACTATCTTTTTGCTAATCGAAAGCATAGTCTTGTGCAACAGATGTCGATTGCAGCAATTGCTAGAAGAAGAAAGCTACTGGATGATGATGTGATTATCTCTTTGGCTGACAGTTCCTGGGAAATTCTAGACGTTAGCGGTTCAGATGTTACGAATTCTGGCTTAGCTAAAGTGGCGGAAATGTGCAAATCTCTCCGAGCTGTGGACATTAGGTATTGTAGTTTCTTACTAAGAATTTGGTTGGCCTATGAGTCGGGGTCTTGACCTTTGTGCTCGTAGTAAGCATGAGTTTTAATTGGTAGTATTGACTTAGCTGGGGGGTAGCATGATGCTTTCTATATGTTTATTCTTAAGTACCCGTTGTTCGAATTTCTCTATAATCTGTTTCCCTTAGGATGGGAAGAAGATAAGCTACCAACACATGGGGTTCGTTCGATTTTTGCAGGCTGGAATAGTTAATTTATCTGTAGTTCTGGTCTTGCTGGTTCTTTTTTAGTTAGGTGCTTCTGTATGTTGGATAAGTGGTGCTCGTTAGCCCTTAATAATCATATAGTTTCCTTGTCTTGTTATGCAGCCGGTGCAACAAAATCTCATCCATGGGCGTCTTAGAGCTTGTACAACACTGCCGATCTTTGGAGACTCTTAGATGCGGGTAAATTTTTCTTCTCCAGCTAACTACAGTAAACTGGCCTTTTGTGTGTTGTTGTTGGGGTGGCTTGTCTGTTTATTTATGACTTAATAAGTGATCATCTGGGTAAAATAAGATAGAATTTAACCCATAGTGTGTGGGTTTGACTAGGGCTAACAAACTTTTTAAAACAGGCAATGAGAGAAAATTTAATATTGCAGAGGATGCCCAAGCAGTGAGTCCACCGCACGCAGATCTTTGAGTTTTTTTAAGCCAAACTTGAGTAATGGTGAAGGAGAAACATGGGAAGAAATAGACACTTCAGAGATTGGCCATGGTGGTCAATCATTGCGTTGGCTTGTTTGGGTATGTATCGTCCCTCTGATAGTCTGACTAATAAGCTACCAGTAAACAAAAAGAATCTACTTTCTCCACCTGTGTCTTTCGCCACTCAGTGTACTCATTTAATTTGCTCTTTCTGCAGCCACGAATTGATAAGGATTCATTGGAGATGTTATCCTTGGAGTGTCCAAGAATAGTGGTAAATCCAAAACCATCACTTGTCGCGTACAGAGCAGACGAGGTTCCTCGAGAAGCACTACCAGATGTTGCAGTGGACGAACCATTTGTCAAAGATATTGATCCTAAGACGTGGGTTGTTACTGGAGTTGTGCAGAAGCCCACATCTTTCCTGTTATGCAATGAACTGCCAATAGCAGAGAAGTTCAGACTAGCATTTGCAGAGAGAGATGCAAGATTGGCCCCTAAACGTGCAAAGAATGCAAGGCAACGACAGCGTCGTGCTGAGAGGGATTGGATGATGTCAAGCGACGAAGCCAGAGCAACGGTTTTGGCATCAAAGGCCACCAGATCTTTGCATAAGAGTTAGCAATATGAATTCTCTTCATCAAATGTATGTCAAAGAAAATATAGGAGTAAGATGAGTGGATTTTCTAAGAATGCATGCCCCTTATCTACTGTGGTCGAGTTGAATCAGTTCACACTTCACAGCAGTTTTTGGGAGGAAAAGTGAATATAAAAGAACATTGGCTGGGTACAGAAAAGTGTTTGTAACAACAGTTTAATCTTGTTTCTAGATCTTTCAATTGGTGCTACAGTTAAAGATACGTTAAACTGTTTATAGAATGAAGCGTGTATTTTTGCATTTTCTTATAGCAACTCTTGCCGAAAAAGGTTCAGTGTAACCTGAAATAAAAAAGATGCTCACAAAACTTGCTTTATTTGGATCTTAACATCAGAAGAAAACAAAAGGCGAGAAACACTTTGAGATCACTTGGCGCTCAAACTCCGGATGACGTATGGTAGAATACCGCCGTGATCATAGTATGCCAATTCGACCTGTGCAACATTCCCAACAAAACAAGTCTCAGATCAATTGAAGTTTTAATTTTAGAGAATTTGATTTCTATATAACCAGTTTACCTCTGTATCAAAACGCAGGGTACAGACAAAGGATTTGCCACTGTCAGTGGTTACAGTGACGTCTTGACCGGGTCTAATGTCACTGACTTTTGTAGGAAGGTGGACTGTGTAGCGTTCATGACCAGTGAGTCCAAGGGTTTCCGCGTCCTCCCCGGCCTTGAAACACAGAGGAATGATCCCCATACCAGCCAGGTTGCTGCGGTGGATTCTCTCAAAGCTCTTGGCAATTACAGCTTTTACTCCCTAATTTGTGCTTAACTGTTACGATCACAAGACATAACCAAATCTGACAACTGTTGTAAACAATGTAAAACTTACCAAAAGCAAGGGACCCTTTGCAGCCCAATCCCGAGAGCTACCACTTCCATACTCAGCACCAGCCAGGATGATCGTATCCTGTTCAGCGGTCTTGTATTTCTGAAAGCATATGTGAATTGATTTAGCGACTTAAAGAAAGATCTATATATATATGTTGAAGCTGTCTGACGATTCTACTTACACTTGCTGCATCGAAAACACTAAGCTTCTCTCCAGTCGGAATGTGAACAGTCTTGGGGCCAACTTCTCCTTTCAAGAGCTTGTTAACAATACGGATATTGGCAAATGTACCACGAGCCATAACCTCGTCGTTTCCCCTTCGACTTCCATATGAGTTGAAGTCTTCCGGAATCACACCACGGTCCATTAGAAACTTTGCAGCAGGACTAGTTTTTTGAATGTTTCCTGCTGGAGAGATGTGGTCTGTTGTTACACTGTCCCCAAAGTTTAACAAGCAGTAGGCATCCTTCACTTGACGAGGACCAGGTGGATTTGCGGTCATATTCTTGAAATACGGAGGTTCATGAATGTACGTGGAGTTTGGATCCCAAGAATATAACGTGGAACTCGGTGCAGAGAGTTCATTCCACAAGGGATTTCCCTCTGTTATTGTTTCGTACGAGCTCTTGAACATGCTTGGTAGCACGCTATATTGAACAACCTATGGAAGAGTATGAGGTATGTTAGCAAGGAACATTTAAAGGTGAATAACTTATCCTCTAAGCATGTCACCAATGTACCTGAGCAACTTCCTCATTGCTTGGCCATACGTCCCTCAGGTACACACTTTTGCCATCTCTTCCGGTTCCTATAGGCTCTTTCTCAAAATCAATGTCAACCTGTAATCATAGGAGATCAATATATAGAAACAAACTCGAGATTGATGACACTACTTAGCGAATAACTACTCAATCTTGTTGATGATGAACTATTCCAGACCAATTAAGGATATCCAAAGGAGACAAACACAAACATCTCAATTTCGAACTGAAAGTTGAAAAGTACAAACCGTTCCAGCAAGGGCATAAGCAACAACTAATGGTGGTGATGCAAGATAGTTAGCTCTTGTTTGTGGATGAACACGACCTTCAAAGTTTCGGTTTCCGGACAGCACAGCAGCCGGGATGATATCTGTGACACAGAGGAAGCACAATGGACCAACCAAAAAGTGAGCTTCAGTTTGACGATATAAGGGCACCAATTTATCGGTGCAGAAACACAACTGACGAGGATTCCAGGTGAAATGAAAATGAAAATGGCTCAAGGAGATGCTAAGAGAAACAAAAAAAGGAAACATGTTCTGACAATTTTATAGTATGTTCGTATTGATGAGGATGTTGTTACCAGTTCCTTCTATAGCAGATGCAACTTCTGGGTCAAGGTTGCCAGAATTCCCAATGCATGTTGTGCACCCGTAGCCGACAATTTCGAATCCTTGCTTGGTCAAGTACTCTCGGAGCCCACTGCAGAGAAGGAAAACGTTCAGTATGGATGTTCCGTGAAAAGATAAGTTATCCAGATGGAAATAGCGTTGACTCCAACACACCTTCGATCCAAATATTTCTCGACAACTCTAGACCCTGGAGCAAGACTTGTCTTAACCCATGGTTTTACCTGAATTAAAACGTCAACTACAGTCAAAACAGGATTCATAACCCAGTGATCTCAGGGCAAAGAGAAAAGGTGGAAACTCACCTCCAGGCCAAGATCCGAAGCTTTTTTTGCAACGAGTGCTGCCCCGATCATGACACTAGGGTTTGACGTGTTTGTACAACTAGTAATTGCCGCAATAACAACACTACCATGCTTGATCTCAGCAGGTTGTCCGTTGTATGAGAACTTCACAACTTCTTCTTGTTTTTCTTTTGGCACTGCAAAACCCTTGAACAAAAAGCAAAGTGTTACCAATTATCCAAAAAAAAAAAAGAAATCAACGTCATTGGTTGTTTTATGATTTTTGTTGTAACCACAACTTGCATCTCACCTTGAATCCAACAGGATTGTCAAGGCATGCATGCCAGTCAGCCTTCATGTCTTTCAGAGGCACTCGGTCATGAGGCCTGTTAAACAGAAAACATAGTAATTAATGAAACCTTAGGCAGGTACGGGCGATGGATCAAAACGTTCAAAAAATATCAAAACGAAGTGAAAGTGTACCTTTTAGGCCCAGAAATACATGGTTCAACATGTCCCAAATCCAACTGCAAATAAGATGTGTATGCTCTTTCTTGCTGGGGCTGCAATAAAGTCCCGATATTTGGAGTTAAGAATCTTGTCGACATAAATAAAATACAGTAAACTGATCAAGGATGTCCATACCTCGTTGTAGTCAACGAACATATTGTTTGCGCGTAAATATGATTCTATCATTGACACCTAAAATAAACCAAGTTGGCGATCATGTGAGTCACAGAAACCAGAGGAAATAGGATAGATGTTTAGGCATAGGATACAGAAAAAGTAAGCCACGTGATAAGGCACACTGAAGAACATAACAACCTACGTCTACAGATAGCTTGCTAAAATGTTTTGAAACAGATTATGCAGCAATAGTCAGCCGCAGCACACGTAAACCACAAGAACCAGAACTTGAAACTAAAAGCACATTTTATGCATGATGAATTGATGATTCTACTTTACCAAAAAAGAAAGAATGAAAAATTAGAGAAATTGAGAGAGAGAGAGAGAATTCACAGTTTCGTCGCTTCTTCCTGTCAACTTCAGGTACTCCAGTGTAACATGATCCACTGGGAAGAAACCCATAGTTGCTCCATACTCGGGAGACATATTTGCAATTGTGGCTCTATCAGCCAGTGAAAGTTCACTCATCCCCTCACCTTCATATCGAAATAAATAAGTTAAAACATGGATACTGACCAAATAATAGTCCATCAGAAATTCAAAGTTACGCAGCCATGGTTCTCACCATAAAATTCAACAAACTTGCCGACAACACCATGCTTCCTTAATATTTGGGTCACAGTGAGAACTAAATCAGTAGCAGTAACCCCTTCCTTCAACTTTCCATCCAACTTAAATCCGACCACGCCAGGTAACACCATGCTCATGGGCTGACATTGAAGTACCATATGACTATATGAGTGGCAAAACAAATTTGACACTTACAAATAAACAGTGAAGGTGTACAGACGAAATGAGCTCACCTGACCAAGCATTGCTGCCTCTGCCTCAATTCCTCCAACACCCCACCCAGCGACTCCTAATCCATCAATCATGGTTGTGTGGGAGTCGGTTCCAACAACGCTATCAGGGTAGAGAAATCCATTCGAGTTGAAAACAACACGTCCAAGGTATTCCAAGTTGACCTGCAGTATCAAATAATAACAAGCTATCATAACAGAACCCTTGGACAGCATTATGAGATTCATGCACCACTTGAAAATCTAGTAGTCTACCAAACAGATTAACAGGCTAATACTCAAATCACACTTATGTTTCAGATAACCTGTTCAAAATTTTCAACAAGGCAACCAGAATTTACTGTCATCACATATTATACCCTAATTATACATATCTAGATTAGAATGAAAGTGTCATCTTGTACCTGATGGACAATCCCAGACCCAGGAGGAACGACCAGCATGTTTTGGAAGGCCGTTGAACCCCACTTAAGGAACGTAAATCTTTCTTTGTTCCTTTTGAATTCAAGCTCCAAATTTTTCTGTGCGGCATCTTCTGACCTTGCAAAGTCAACTTGGATCGAGTGATCAACGACAAGATCCACAGGAACCTAGATATATACTGGAAAATATGAGAACTGCTGGATTAAACATATTACAGCCGCAAAGCAATAAGAAACTTCACTAACCAAGGGGTTGATCTTGCTAGGATCACTACCAAGATTCTTCACTGCATCCCTCATAGAAGCAAGATCAACTAGAACTGGTACTCCAGTGAAGTCCTGGGCAAAAAAATACAAGTTAGGATAGAGCTGAATTAATCTGTACCGGTCTTAGAGGCCTGGAGAGGGGTATTTGGTGTAGAACAGTAGAAATAGAGAAAAAAATATGCTACAAACCTGTAAAATAACACGGGCTGGCTTGAAGGCAATTTCAACCTGCTTCGTAGATGTATTCTCCCAGTCGAGGATTTTCTCAACGTCATCCTTTGTGACTTGATAGTTGTCACAGTTACGAATCGCTGATTCCAATAGTATCCTTACAGAAAATGGCAGCTTATCTGCATTATCACAAAAAGGTATTAACTTCACCAAAATTCCATTACAATACAAAACAGAGAGAGGATCGGGGAAACATACCAACTCTTGGATCGTTTAAAGCTGGTAACGAGTAGTAGTTTCCATACTCTCCACCACCAGGTTTAGGAAGACTTGTCAATATATCCTTGAAGGCATGCTCAGATGCTGCGTTTTTCACATCAAACATTATAATCATAATTCAATTGACACATACCACATGAATTTGCTTGTTCATCTAGTAGACTAAATCTACAAAGATAACATAAACAAAATGCAAGAGCAAATCAAATGTTCATCTAGCTAGTTTAACATGGATCAGAACATATCAGAATTCAGTAGATCCTCATTCTAAAGCGAAATCGATCAAAGCAGATATGCGGTAATCACGGATTCTTGTAATACAAGTTAAGAGCAATCATTCTTATAACGTCAGAGAAAGCAAACAGACATACCCATGGTTGCGTATTTCCGTTCAAATTTCTCCATAACCGGAGCGGAGTTCCTAGATTGAGCACGAAGGCTAGCAGGCGATCCCCAGCTCACACCATGGCTCCACCGCGTGGAAGCAGAGCAAACTCGAAACGAGCGGAGAGCCGAGGAGAAGCTCTTAGATCGGTTCGTCTGATTGAGAAGCAACGGCGCTGAGGGAGCCGAAACCGAAGCTGTCTCGGTAGAGGCGATCTTCGTGAGGGAAGAAGAAAGCCTCGTGGAGGCAGAACGCACGCCGGAAGTGGCGCGTCGATACATGGCGGCAAATCAAAACAGTTGAAGAGATTGGAGAAGTCTCCAGAAGAAGGAAGAAGGATCAAAATGAAAGCCCAGAAAATGGGATATTTGAGATTGGAAGAAGATCGTGGAAGGGACGAGGAAGAGAGAGATTTCGTCAAGCTTCTGAAAGAGGCGAATCAGAGATTTTACAGAACCTTCGAAGGACACACTCACTAATATACAATGCCCAAGGTCAAGTCAGGAGTGTCGCGTTTAACCGTTGGATGAACTCGAGACGAACAAATGGACGGCTTATGATTCACTTTGGACCGTTGACCATTTTATAATTGCATTTTTTATTATTTTGAAATAGTTAAAAAAGAAAATTTGTTCTTGCAAATTATGTAACATCTTATTATATACAAAGGTTACAGCTAAAGACCAACGTGAGAACATTCGAATAATTGGCTTTTCGTCGAAAGATGGGAATATTTTCCTTTTTCATAAAGTAATTTTTATATTCACAAAATAAAAATGAGTAATTTAGAACTATAGCCTAAACAAGAATAAAATTTAAAACTACCCTTATTTTGGTAATACTACATACTTTGATTGGGTTGTGTGTGCCTGGCACAAGCCAAGTAGGATTTCTCCTCTGAACATTAAAACAATTATTCTATTTTTTTTTTCTTATATCCACTACAATGACATGAAAATGATTACTATTATTCAATCAAAATGTTTAATAAAGTCAACGAAGAAAAACAAAGGGTAGCTAGGCTCTTCTTCAGCTATGAAGGACAAGGCAAGCTAAAAGTCTCAAGCATTATGCCAAGAGACAAACACCCTAAACAAAACAAATCATAGAAGATGGCTTCTCATTTTGACTCTTCTAAGTCCTCAATGACAGCGTGAAAGGCCACAATTTTAGGGTCTTGAAAAGCTCTATGGTCTAATGGTTCATCTGTAAGGCTCAAACCAACCGGTATGTGTAGAGTACAATAAACAAAATAATTGGACCGAAAATTCTGTTGGTTTGTTATCTGCGTGAAGAGTGTGTTTAGGATGGTGGCTGCCATGTCCCGGGCCTAAATGATGATCCGGATCCTGATGGCTCTGTTGTCCTGCATCATCATCAACATCACCATTAGTTTGGATTTAACGCATACCAAACACATTACATAAGTTATGTTCATAGAGAACAGATTGAGCATAGTAGCAGTCAGTCTGTAACAATCAGAAAGACGTGTCATGTTTCATATCCGTGAGCCAGAATGCGAACTTTAGGATTAAAAATGTGTAAGCCGGCTAGACTCACTTTGGTTCGGGTGGTTCTGCAGAAACTATCTCAGGTTCATGTTCCTTGGCCCTGTAAAGCAATGTAAGAGCATTTGGTAATGGTGGTCTTGTGAAAGATGATGTGTTTTGCATCCAGAAAAAAATGTAAGCAGATTTAACACAGATATGATTGGTGCGGATATATTATGAATCATGATGACTCACCTTGATTTATCTGTTTCTTCACTAGCTTCCTCTGGTTCACCACCTTAAAGCATTAACAAAAAAAGGAAATAAACTAAAACTGTCGGTCTCACTTCCACGAGTGTATGGTAGGAACAATACGAGTTTATGGTAGAACAATAATCTCTTTTACGGTGATAAGAAATCTAGCAACTGTAGTAACTTCAGTCCTTGAATTAACAAATGACATAAAGGATATATAATGGTAAATGTGAACAATTTAGTTGCCCTTCTAAGCTACCGCAATCATTATGGTTATGTGGGGAACATTTTACAATCAGAACTTACAAACTTCACAAGGCAAATTCAACAGATGTTTGTGATTCACTTTCAGAAAACTATTATAATCATCAGTCAGTAGTTACATCCGGAAAAGTTAAACAAGAATCAACAAATTCCCTCAAAACATTTCTTATGACACAAATTGTTTCATTCCAAAGACACTTCATCAAGTAGATTTAGCTCCCGAGCGAGAAGTATCAGTGGACACCATTTGATGGGTCAAACACCACAACAATATAAATGCCTATCCATAATAATTTCTATCAAATTTACACAAGGGGAATTCAGAAAACATGAGAATACAATTCCTAAGAAGTTAGTCATCACCTTCTATGGTGACTCCCTTAATCTATTGGCAAAGAAAATGTAATACCTTTTGAATCCGGTGGAAATTGGCGAACAAAGCTTGTCAAATCTGGACCGTCAACTTTACCTTTACACAAGGAGACCAAACATTAAGCTACCAATTCATAAATGAAAGTAAATTTTGTGGGCTCTAATGTTAATTACCAATGGAGATTTTGCGTCCGGTGCCTTCTCTGGCTTTCTTCTCCTCCTCTTCTTTCTTGAGAACTTGACAAGGAATTGAAGGCAAAAGAAAAAGGATAAATGTTTTGCATTGAACTTGAAGCGACATATTAAATGTAAAAATGTATACGAATTTCTTGACTTGCTAACACAGAAACGCAAAAATAACTTCTTGACTTTGTTCATTCAGAACTAGGAAGTTCGAAAAATCAAGTCCTCAAAGTCATAAACTGTTTGCAGTAAGGATCAATGACACGAGGAAATAATAATGTTGAGACGTTTTAAAAGATAGATAAGTTCTGGGAAATGTATTAAATAATCTGGAACACCTACGAGCAACATTAAGCTTCACACGCTCACGCCTTGCTTCAAGTTCAACCATTTCCTGGACCAATAACAAACACCAACATCAAAGGCCAGTTATTAAAGCCATATAGCCAATCTATATGCAACGAAAAACCTCCATGGATAGAACAATATGGTGGCCACAAATAATTCTGGTTAAAGAGGAGTTCATCTTACCTCAGGAGTAGGAGCCCTTTTCCGCTGCCCATTCAGCCAGCATATCCATTCAACTACAACATTGATCAAACAAAAATGTAACTAAATTTGTGTATGCATGCCACATGTGCTTATGTTTCAAATCTAACATCACCCAAGTAAATGAATATATGGTCATTTAATATGTTTTTAAGAAGAGTTACCAGGAATAGAGGTTGGGTCCTCCTCTCGTCTAAAGACAACCCATCTTTTCTCCTTCACTGGATAGTAGAAAGAAGCACATCAGAACATATTACTCTACAAATGGATTCTACAAGAGTCTTATTAATCGTTTTGAGCATCTAAATAACATTTGTTAGTTTTCATTTGGATATCAATTACATTATTCCCCGTACTCATGACACGATCACACTTAGCTGAATCATTTCATGTAAGAAAAGAAAAAAATGTTAAATTTCTAAATTCATTTGCTTCACTGCAACACGCGATAGGCAAAGACAGCTGATTCATCTAATCGAACGGAGAAAACCAAAGAAATTCAGCAACTTGACAAAACAAGGAATTTAAGGAAAGAAGAAGTTGGAAGAACAATACTCGCCCAATCCGTCAATCTGCTCCATTCTGGAAAAGTACTTGTTGCCAGTCTTGTCTACTCCGATGAAACTCTTGCTACTGAACAATCCCGCAAATCTCGCCCATAGCCTCGACATAGCTTCTCCCGCCGATTACTTCTCCGTATGATCCAAAAACTCAACACAACACGCCCAGAATTGTTCCCCGATCGAGTCTGCTCCGTCTGGATCAAAAATCCGACCCGGTTACGGATATTTAGTGGAGAAGAAGATCCGACCCGATTAATCAGAGGGTCTTGGTTTAGAGTCTGATTAAATGAACCAGGGATTGGAATACACCGGTTTAATTTTCCCACCTCTCGAATTCCCAATTCCAGTTTTCCCGCCTCTCCATCACACCCGCTCCTTCCTTTACAAAACCATCCTTTCATCAATCCTCCTTCTCAGGTCCCTCACAATACTCTTCTTCTTCACCATGAAAGGAATCTCCAGATCGCCGGTTAGAAGAAACGACGGTTTCCACCGTTACTTGAAACCTGGGGCTCTGGCTCAGATCCGTAACTCTAGAATCAACCACGCTAGATCCAACTCGCCCCTGACTCGTTCTCTCTCCGACCCAGTCGACCCGCTGTCATCTTCTTCCGAGAGTCTTGTAGCTGCGCCGCCGCAGACCATAACCATGGACCAGATGCCCCATCTCTTGAGCAAGATCTATGGTACGTATCGAATCGGTAGGAAGAAACTTGGCCCTGCGAGATCTGTCTTGCGGACGATGAACCCTAGTCCAGACTCTATACTTGAATCCACTAGTGGTAATAGCAACGCATTGAGTAATAATGATGTTTTAGTTGCTCATTGAATTAAGCTTAAGTTAATTTCCCTGCTTCTGTATATTATTACTTTGTAACTGATACACTTTGGGGAAATATCTTCAATACTCATCAGACTTTTATTAAAATACAAAATCTCAATAAATTTGTTTCTTTCACCATCTAGCAGAAGATTGATTTCACTTTATTAGTTGAATTCATATTCCCATTTGGGCTTAGATCATAGATTACTCCTACATGATTATACATGTTCTTCATTTAATTAACTTCTTCTACTGTGTGTGGATCATTTCACAGAATTTGTCTTTATCCCAATTATCTGGGTTTGGTTTTACAGTTAATCTCCTTGTTGCATCTCATTGTTGATGAAGTTAATAACCGAGCCATTGGTCCTGCTTTTTATAGCCTGAGCCTCAGTATCTCATTGTTGCATCTCCTTTATGATGAGTATGTTTTGTGTCTATAAATTTGGGCAAATTTATTGGTAGTAGGTAAACGTGAAATATGCTACTCAATTTCGTGTGAGATGTTGGATTTTTCTAGACAATGTGGTGTGGAATAGCTAGTAACAGAGTGGCCATCTAAACAATTCAGTAACTAATATATATGAAAGGATGAATGATTAGCCTTCAACTAAAATGTGGTTATCGTATAGTAATAATATGATCACTGCATTATGCTACTGAGCATCCAAATTGTCTTTCACTTAACGGATGTGACTTCTAGAAAGGTAACATGGATAATACTTGGGATATAATTGGCTTTCACTTGATATAACCACTTATGAATTGATAAAAATAAATTAGCTTTATATAAGAAAAACAGATTTGCTAGTCATAACTAATATATATGTAATCACTACCCTTTTTTTAGTTCAACTAAAATCACTACTTCAAACATAAATAAATGGCCTTCAAAAAATTAAAAAAGTTTGGTGGTACAAATATTTTGCTTATTCTCTTGTCGACATGTATCTGTTTTTGTACTTTGGTTGTTCTTACTTAACTCATCTTCTTTTTCATCGGTACCAATTCTTAGACGAATCACATGAGAGAGCTTGTTGATATTGATTTTGGACCACAAAATGTATTGTTGAGAATATACAAAACCTTCACTTTCACAAATCATGGCTCAAATTGATTAGGTCAGCAAAGATAAGTTAAAATCTTGAAGCGAGTGATATTGTTTTTTTATACTCTTATAAGAGAACAACAAAGTTCGATGAATGACGGCTACGCAAAGGGCCCAAAGCGCTCGTCAACCATTGAAGAATCTTCCTTTCAAGCTAAACGTTTTGTTTGTTCTTAACAAGCAAATCAATTACTAGTTTACTACTTTTCTTTTTTTAACTTTCTCAACTCTTTCACGCCTAGATTAGCCGCCATGGATAATATTTCCTCTAGTTCTTCATGTACTTTTTAATTTAAGAAGAAGAAAAAACCATGTAGCTCGATGTCCAATGAATATTTACGATTTATATAAATTGAGATCTCATATGATAATCTTTTTAGCTGTGCAGTTTTATAGGAACTCTACTGCAATTTAATTAATAAGGAAAAAGAAAAACTATACAGCACACGAGTAAAACAACCTTTTATTATGTTTACTAGTTTGTGAAATTGTTATAAAACAAAAAGAAATGTTTTTTGGTTGCTTTTTGAATTGGATAAACGAAATCCAGATTAATTTTGAGATCTATAAATGTATGGCTTCATTAAAATAAGCTATGAGCATGACCAACTATGTAACATGCGTGCATGGTCGCCTTTCCGTATCAATAAAAACGCTGATGTCTTGTAGCTTTGTCTTGTCAGGGAAAATAACACTATTACCAAGTCAGCCATCTGAATTGGACCTTTGTCAAGCCACAGGCTCCAAATTTTCAGTCTTTAAAGGGGATGAATCTGTGAAACTTTTTGGCTTATTCAAGTAACAAAAAGTGGGATATGATATCGACACTAATTATTATAACTTATTAGTAATAACATGTGGTACCCATTTTATAATATAAAAAACTTGTAGAGTAAATTCAATGCATGATTAAATTACTTTCCGTGATGAAAGAAACTAAAAGTAAAATTGGCTACATATGCTTTAGTGAAGTAATGTAGTGTACTTTGTTGACCGTTAAAACTCATCTTAACTATGACATAACGCACCAAATGTTGATGATCATAATAAATGTCCGGACGTATAATGAATATAGATTCCCACGTCTTTGGATGATATCTATAAAGACAAAATAAGAACCAATCTACGTATTCGTTCTTCAATCCCACACCTCTTGTGTCACTTTCTTCCTTTCTCTTCTCAAATTTTCAAGCTATTTTGCTTCTCTTGATAAAGATTCCACTCTATAAATCTTACTGTATTATTATATTCTCTAAGCTTCTATCAATCAAACAAAAGGTACGTAGATTCTTATATTCTAGTATCTTTTGCGATTTTGTTACTACTAGCTCAGAGTCTTTGTTTAATCGAAGATCGTTCTTGGTCGTCCGTTTTGTTTTCTAAAAGCAGGTGAGTGTCAATGGAGAAGAACTACATGAGGCATGAGCTATGGAGAGATGGAGATTTTCAAGAAGATGATGTGTGGGATGTTCTTGATGGATATCAATCACCGTTTATGATTAGTAGTAACCATACCACTAAACCCTCATTCTCAACACAAACTTTACTTCCAAGCGAACCAAGAATGATTCCTGAGAGGCAGAGGATAGAAGGAATGGCACCTATGAGACAACAGTCGGCTCCTGTCAATGTCCCTGATTGGTCAATGGTTCAAAGAAAGAAGACAAAGAAAGTTGATGATGATGAGAATGTGTCACCGGAGGAATATTTCCTTCGGCGCAGTCGATCATCATCGTCTTCAGTTATGGAAGGAGTTGGAAGGAAACTGAAAGGAAGAGATTTGAGCAAAGTAAGGAATGCAATATTGAAGCAAACTGGATTTCTTGAGTAGACAAAGGTTGTATAAATGTTTAGATATGTATGAACCAAATGTCTAGATATTTACCTAGTTATTAGAAGAAGAAAACAAACTCTTTCAGAAAAAGAATTGTTAGGTGATTTCATTTTCATTTTTTAAAAATCTAGTTTGCTAAGATGTATATAGGTGTGTTTTTTAATTTCTTCTTTTAGTTTTTATATATAGGTGATTTTATTTGGCATAGAAAAACAATATAGAAGAATCTCAAGCGGCTCTGCATCTGCAACCACTATCACAAATTCGGGGATCATTTAATTTACAAGAAGATTAGGATTTTAGAGGGAACGAGTTTCTCGGCTTGAAGATTCTGAAAGAACTCTATGTTCCTTCTATCTATGTTTGTGTGTATAATGGGCCTGCGTAATAGATTTCGGGCCTATTTCATTTAACGAGGGTTTGTGTATGATGGAATTCTCAAAAAACTTTGACCAACACTTTATTTTTTTGAAGGCCTTTTTATTAATTAGGAATTTTGACTGTTACCATACTTCTTGTCACCTATGATACCAAAAAAAATAATATCTTAGTCACCATGGGAGCTCTGAGTGATTGATTTCCTTTTGTCGAGAACATGAAAAATTCCTTTGCATGAATGTTGATGAATTTAAGAAATTAAGCAATAAAGTCTTATAGAAAATTATTTTTATATGAAAGCATATAAAGTTTTTAAGAATTTTGAACTTTTTTTTTCGTCTAAGATGTTAAGTAAGAAAGCATTAAAATTTTAGCAGGATCACCTAACTATAAAACATAAACCATTTTATTTATTTTTTGCAAAAAATTCTGGTATTAAAACACGACGGACCATACATAATATTATGTAAAAAGAAATAAAATAGTAGAAAAACTTGCATTTGCGTTAACGTTAACATAAATGGAACAAATTTCAGTGACATGCATTAAAATCATATAATTAATAATAGAATTTTCTCTTATCTTAAGGTGTTTAAGGAAGCAACACTACTTTTTGCATTGAAGTATATTTAAAATATTTGTTAATGGATGTGAGACAAATTAAGTCACTAAAAATAATAAAAATATATTTAGGCACAACTTAAGTACAGTAACAAATCATATATATAAATAGAGAGTTTTCTCTTATCTTAAAGTGTATGTCTAATCAACATTGTACTCAAATTGTCCCACAACATCGTTTTTTTTGTTATTTTTAGTGACTTTAAAATTTTTGTCTTTTCAACAAGTTTTCCTACTAAATTGTCCAATTGAATTGAATCACCGGTTAAGCGAAAGATATGGTTACCATCAACAAATAGAAAATAAATAAAAAAACATCGCATAAGCTTTTACCGTTAAGGTTGTTATATGGAGATCAGTGTCGTCCTCACAAAACTGAGCCGGACGGCCGCCATCGTGATAATGAAAATGATCGAGCCTTGGATGAGTTATGAACATCTATCTTTAGTCTTTTAACTCCGCCGTCAAGCTTTAATTGCAATTTTCTAGCTAAAAAATATTAGCATACATAATGGACCTTGGACTTGATGATTTCTTTTCTAAATTTCTTGGTTAGATATGTATAAACCGAATGTCTATATGTTTACATTGCTATTAAAAAAAAATATTAAAAAAAAACAAATTATTAGGTGATTTGATTTTTAAAAATAACTCTATTTTGCTAAGATGTATACATATATAGGTGATTTTTTTTTTTTTGGTTTTAATAAATAGGTTATTTGATTTGGCACAAATATAACAACTATTGTTGAAAACAGATGATATAAGGTTAAATTTTTTACCTAAAGTTAGGTTGTGAAAAAAGACTTCCAAGTAAAGATTGTATGAGCTTAAGATTCATTGAGTTACACGATTCGAACCGTCGATGACAAAGACTACTGATCTTAATTTAAAAAAATTCCGAAAAAAAATAGAGGTGAGTTGTTGTTGTTAGTTGGAAATCGTTGATTGTGGATCATGTGCAGCACACGTGGTCAATGTTGATTCCCTTTGTCGCCATTCTTCGACAGCTTGGGAACATGCATGTGATTGCTAATTGAGTTTAACTTTCGTACCCAAACATATTCATTCATTATCGTTCATGTTGAGATTTTTTTGTTACTATGACTTCTTTTGTTACAGGAAACACACAAAGATCCTAGTTACGTATCTGGTTACTCAATTTTTCTTTAAAAATCAGAAAGTAAAAGAAGAATTCACCTAAAAAAAAACTAAGTAAAACTAGTCGTGTAATTAATTTGATTTGTGTAGTGTTTAGAGTTTTGACTAGGTTCGGTGGTCAACTTTTGCGTAGAGTGGTCCTGTCGGTAGCTTCAATTTTAATTAGTTTTTTTTGCTTAATCCAATCTACTTGATATTATTACTGTAAAGTGAAAATTAACTAATAAAGCAAAAAATATTATTTTTTATTATCCCAACACAAAATAAGATTCCATTCATCTTCTTCCAGCTTCGAATTCCACGCACCAAAGGCAAGAACAAAGCCACGGCTTTTCTCTCGTGTCGTTTTCCTCATACATTCGTCTTTTCATAGGATCAATCTATATCACAATTTACACATTCTCTGTTAACATTTTCGTTTCCGAGGAGAAAAGTCTCGATCTTTTGGATCTGAGAGGTTTGGTTTGGGGTTGACTCGGTTTTGACTCGGGACGAGTCGTCTCGTGAGATGGGCGTCTCTCGTGGTTAGTAGCTCTTTGAGAGTCTTTCTGGGTTCGATAGAGTCTTATAGTTTTGCTTAGAAATACACACAAAGATGTCGTTGAAGCATCATCACAGAGGATTAGAGCTCTCTGCTTCCAAGAGTTTTGTCTCAAAGAAATGGACTTTATTTCTATGTATCGGTTTCTTCTGCGCAGGAATTCTCTTCTCCGACAGGTAACTAAACAATGCTCTGTAATTAACTCACTAATTCCTGTTTTTATTTCTTCTGTAAATAGTCTCTTTTTGGACTGTCGGTGGGTATAATTTTCTCACTTTCACTACACCCAGATTTGTAAATCTAACGATTATTTTTCGTGAAAATTTGTGCTGTGAAAGTTTTGGATATGTCGAGGAAGACAAAGATAATGGAATTTTTTTTATTTTTCTTTCCGGGAAAATGTCGTTAAGTTTTCTTGTTTCGATGAAAAATTACAATGATTTTAATTTCATTCGCTGTTGGCAAAGTTGTAATTCTTCTTCATTATAGTAATGAAAAGTACATCCTGAGATTCATTTGTAGACAAAAAGTATATTCTTTATGGACAAAATGCTTGAGATGTATTTGTAGTTCATGGAAGGACCAAAATCAATCACAAGCTGTTGATCGTCTAATTGTACCCTAATCAGACTGTGTTTGTTAATAGAATGTGGCCAGAGCCTGATGCCAATGTTGTATCAAGGGACACAGTAGCGTCAGATGAGCGGCTGAGGTTAGAGTCAGAGGACTGTGATTCATCAAAAGTAAGTTTTCTAATTTAGGTGCATTGATAGTCATGAGCCCTAGAGGACTTCTTGATTCCTGAGTTGTTCATACCATTCTTAATTGTTTATCAGAAGGGTTTGAAGCGTGAATCGAAAGACATCCTTGGAGAAGTTTACAAGAGTCCAGATGCAATTCAGTAAGTGGAAAATATATGATATGGAACTTCAGTTGTTCTTTTTTATTTCGATTGCGGTTTTTCGTTAAACCTTTTTGGATTTGCTTGAATGGTGTTACGCAGAACGCTTGATAAAACGATTTCAAATCTGGAAAACGAATTGGCGGCTGCAAGAGCTGCGCAAGAATCCATCATGAATGGTTCACCAGTTTCTGATGACTTTAAGCTTCCTGAAACTGTCACTAAAAGAAAGTATCTGATGGTTGTTGGGGTAAATACTGCGTTTAGCAGCAGAAAGCGTAGGGATTCAGTCCGTGCTACTTGGATGCCTCCCGGTATGTTGATCTAAGCAGCGGTTTCAGCCTTAAGTATATTGTTTCGGGACTAAACATAGGTCTTCTTTAGGTGAGGAGAGAAAGAAGCTCGAGGAAGAGAAAGGGATTGTGATGCGGTTTGTGATAGGCCATAGGTAAAACTTGTACCTTAAGAGTGGCACGTTATTTGCTAGGTTGATTTAGTTATATATTTCCTGATTGAATGTTTTCTGTGGGCAGTGCTACTCCTGGTGGAATTCTTGATAGAGCGATTCAGGCTGAAGAAAGTAAACATGGAGACTTCTTGAGGCTGGTAAGACTTTTGCGGGTCATGTTTCTCATCGAATTATACCTTTTGTGGACACTGGACAGGTTCACGGCAGTCACATTTTACCGAAATCCAGGCTTTCTGTTTTTTAATTGTTATGTTTGTTTGAGCAGGATCATGTTGAAGGTTATCTCGAGCTGTCAGCAAAGACTAAAACTTACTTTACCACGGCTTTTGCAATGTGGGATGCAGACTTCTACGTGAAAGTCGATGATGATGTGCATGTAAATATAGGTGAATATAAACCCTCTTAAAGTATCTGAATTGTTTTGTTTCTTGCCATCTCAATTTTGCGTCTTTGCTCACTTCTGTTACGGATATTTCTGCAGCCACGCTCGGAGCAGAATTAGCAAGATACCGGATGAAGCCTCGAGTCTACATTGGTTGCATGAAATCTGGACCCGTTCTTGCTCAGAAGTAAGTTGTTCACCTTCAAGAGACCACTTCTCATTTTAAATGTTTGTCTCACTTCCATTTCTCTCTGAAATTTCCATTTTTAGAGGAGTGAGATATCATGAACCCGAATACTGGAAATTTGGAGAAGAGGGTAACAAATACTTCCGCCATGCCACGGGTCAGCTCTATGCAATTTCCAGGGAGTTGGCGTCTTACATATCGATAAACCAGTGAGTTCTTTCCCACTGCCTTGACAATCCAAAAATTAATCTGCTTCATGCTTAAACGCTCATACGCTGATTGTGTATTAACCAAAGACAAATTATGTATACAGAAACGTACTTCACAAATACGTGAATGAGGATGTCTCTTTAGGATCATGGTTTCTTGGATTAGATGTGGAGCATGTAGATGACCGTAGGCTATGTTGTGGTACAACAGGTAAAAAAAATCAAGTTCCCTTATCTATTTCCAAGTATGGAAGTTCTCTCGATTCCAACTTTAATCAATGAGAAACTGCAGATTGTGAGTGGAAAGCGCAGGCGGGCAACATCTGTGTTGCCTCGTTCGACTGGAGCTGCAGTGGGATTTGTAGATCAGCGGATCGGATGAAGGATGTTCATCGGAGGTGTGGAGAAGGTGAAAAGGCTCTCCTGGCTGCATCTTTCTGAACACAATAACTAAAGAAACACATTGAGAAAGAAGAGTACAGAGACAAATCCGCTCGACACAGTAGTATAGGCACACATTCAAATTGCTCAACACTCTCTATATATGTATGTATGTATGTATCTTGTGAACTGAGATGAGAAGGGTGCTTTTTGCCCTCCTTTCTTGTTTCTTTATGCCTTTTTCAATTCTCTGAAGCTCTGGAGTTCTTTGCACACAGAAAATGCAGATTTTAGCTGCAGAAGGCAGACTCCTTGAGTGCACCATCAGAGTCACTGCATTGAGGCGATTTCTCTGCCCTTTGAGCTTTTCTTCTTCATTTCTTTTTGGATTTTGCCTCTTTTGTTCCATTTTTCTTTTGCCATGATTGTGGTGAAACAAGGGCTGTACTTATGTGTGTACTAGGAACACAAAACTATCCAATAAAGATTAGACCATTTGAGAAGAAAATCAGAAGCTTAATAGAAACTTTTCTTGGTTATGAGGAATGTGTACACAATGATTTCTGGCAGGTATATTCCACTTGCAGGAGATGCTTACTTCAGCAATTGAGTGTTGTGGAAAGAGGCAGGTGAATCGTTTGGGATGTCCATTAGCATGTAACCGATGAACAATGCCAAGATCTCTATACTTGTTATATCACAAACATGAGGATCATATAGCTTTAATAACATATTTTACAGGTATTATAATTCAGGATTTTAATTGTACAATCAGGAACATGTTTCATTTAGTTGTTTCGTCTTTCTCTAGCAGATCCCTGGCAAGTTGTTGGTGTCATCATCAACTGGAAACAGCAAGGCGAACTGGTTATCGTCAAGGACAAGGTTGTTCTCTGTTGTTATCACAGAGGATTGCCCGTTTGAGATTTCTTCGCTTTCACTTCCCCAGTCAAGAAGCTTTGTTATGTCCTCATCTTGCATTGTGTTCATCTGGAGAGACTCATCTTCCTTTGGTGTTAAACCTGTGTCAATCAAAATAAAAAATTCAAAAACACTTGTTTTTGCAGATTGAAGCATTTTGAGCTGTCTGATTATTACCTTGCAAGGAAAATAGATTGTTGGAAGAACCACAATGTCCAAAACTACCCGAGAAGAAGTTGTTGTTGTTGTCCTCGAGCGCAGCCATGAGTTGTCTCCGCTTAGGAGCACGAAAGCTATCAGCTAAAGCCTCGGCCTCCTCCATAAGATCCTCTAACAGCTGGCAGGTATTTGTATGCAAACCGGTGTTAAGGTTTTGGTTACAATCACCATTGTCTAAGAACTTGCTTACTTGATAGACTCCTAAAGGGGTGGAGAATGGAATTTGGTTTGAAGAGAGCTCATGTTTCATGGAGTAAACCGGATTTGTAGACTGATAGGAGGTTAGAGGGGAATGGGTGTGAAGAAAGGCCGGAGAAGAAACAAGGAAAGTGGTTGGAGAAGAAGTATAAGAGGCCTTGGGAGAGAAGGCAGTGTTGTAACAACGTTTGGGACACAGAGAAGGCGGTTGGAGGAGAGGAAAGGTAAAGGAAGAAGCCGGTGTTGGGGACGGGAGAGGTGAGGATGGTGTGTTCGGCTGTTGAGGATACATTTGTTGTTGATGATTGTTTGGGGAAATATCTGGAGGGTATAGAGGGAGGCCTTGGCGTTGGAAGCGTTTCAACCTCGTGTTCCAGTAGTTCTTGATCTCGTTATCTGTTCTTCCTGGTAACTAATAAAAACAAACAGTAGAAGAAGACAATGATTAAGTTTTTTGAGAGTTGGAAGAAGAAGAAGAAGCCTAGAAAACAGAGAGAAGCAATGCAGTTTTATGAGATTTATAAGTGAAGGATTGATAACCTGAGCAGCCATGCGAGCCCATTTGTTGCCGAGCTGAGAATGGAGTTGTATGATGAGACGTTCTTCCTCAGGGGTGAAGGAGCCTTTCCTGAGATTAGGTCGGAGGTGGTTAGCCCAGCGGAGGCGGCAGCTCTTACCGCACCGAGCCAGCCACGTCTTCTTCTGAACAGCATTCCAGTTCCCTTCACCGTATTCCCGTACATAAGCCGCCAAAGTCTCGTCCTCCGCCACCGTCCATGGCCCTTTCTTCAGAACCACCCCTCTACCTCCACCTTCCTCGGGTGCTCCCCCACCGTACACGATCATTGCCCCCTCTGCGTCCCCGGTGATTGGTTGAACGTCAGGGGGTTCTTAAAAAAAAGATTTGGAACCTACAAAATGATATTCACCCCCTGAGTTCTTCCATACTCGGTCTTTGTTACCTCTCCTCTCTGACAAATGACAAAGAGCAACAAGGTTAAAGGAACAAAGATTTAACTTTGGTAATTTACGCGGAACCTAAAAATAAAGAACAGAGGATATACGATATTAGATAAAGACAGTAAGAGAGAGATCTGCCAGAGTTTGTTTCTCTGGAGAGAACACAAAAAAAGTCCTCTTGAGTATATTTGGCTTACTTTCGTATAAAGCCAACTCATTAGATATAAATCATGTTTTCCATCTATTTTAAGCACATTTTTTACGTTCTTTGGTAAATGCATGTGAATTGTCATCTTTGGATTCATTAAAAAAGAATCGTCTTCTTTGGATATATAAAAAGTAATTATGTATCGTAATTAACTTGGTCATCAACACCCATGGTGATGTTATTTTGCCAAATCTTCCACGGTTCCACCGACTGTCTCCATAAGCAATAGAAAAAAAGACATAACCAATAGATAATGCCAATATATATTAAAATTAAGGTAGAATAAGTTTGCATGTGAATACATACAACTTGATATAATATGACTTATAAGTTTCAAACTTTTCCAAACAACACAACTAAAATGCCAAGTTCATGAAAGCTTTAATGGGGTTACCGATTTGCCGCTAAGACATTCTCGAAATTTGTAAAAGTATCAGATAAAGTCTTCTCCACATTACTAATCATTGTATTCGCTACAATCGCTTCAGTTACAATCGCCTGAAATCCAACCGACACAACACATCCAGCTTCTTCATCGCCTGAGTTTTGGCCTGGCATTATGGTGAATCCACACGGATAGGTAATGGAGAACGAACTATCATCACCGTTTATAATTTTCCGAAGAGATGACTCGTCAAGTATCGAGTGGATCACCATCGACGATGATGCCTCATTGTATGCTTCTTGAAGCAAAAACACCTCCGTAGAATTATTCAGCTGCATGCATTAACGTGTTAATAATGTTTATGTTAGTCAACAATAAATATAACTCGTTTTTGGTTTTTCATAAGAAATAAAATTATCTAGGTACCCGGAAACTGAATAGGGAGACGTCATTCCTCGGAGTAGTGTCGTCTCTTGTGATCCGAAGCACTTGTTTTAAACCATTTCCAAATAATCGTAAGTGGTTGAATATCTCTCGTTTCTTCACACCGTAGATGAAAGAAAATAGCATTTCCGGTTTAGCATGTATTTTAGCCAAACCGCTAGCGCTAATAATACGACAAGGGTGCCTTATCATGTCCGGACTCTCTCGAGTGAAAACTCTGACGCCAAACGTTCGACCCGCACCGAGCCGCCTCCATTGGTACCCGATTACCCCACACGTACCGGAGCAAAATAAGTGAACCATATGTCTTGATACTTCGAGCAAGTTGTCACGACCGGTCGAATTGACTACTGCGTGAGTACCATGCATGGTGGTTATGTCAGTAAGAAAATGGTTAATCTGAACTAATCAAAAATAAAACAGAAAAGCTTTTACTACTTGAGAGAAGTTGGTTCGTGATATCCATTAATGGAACATAAGTAGTTTTGGAGCAGTATCGTTGTAGAGCGACGAGCCATTTCTTTGCACCAAATCCTAAACCAGAAGAGAGGTAAGGCCTCAACCGGTTTAGAATTGCATCATCCTTGTAAACCCAGTGTTCCAAAATAGCTACCTACGTACGTTTAACCGATTAAATTTAGTCTTCTCACCAACATCAAATTAGATTATTTTTATATCAAATGTTTCAAACATTATGTGAAAACAAAAAAGTAGTAATAGGCTAAAACGGAAAAAAAAAAAAAAAAAAAAAAAAGGTTAATAGAAGAAAAAAAGTGTACCTTTGAATATCCATTTGGAAGATGTTGAATAATAAATCCAGAAGGAAATCTGAGAAACTCAGGTCGTAAATCGTCTGAATAGGAGCTTAAATACATGGAGATATCCGCTATAATCCATGTATCATATCCTATACGGTGACAATATCGGAGAACTTTTATTTTTCGGGTCGGAATTACCGGGGTGATTAATGTTAGAAACTCCATATCAATCTATATGTCCACAAACAAAAGCTATTATTAAAGATAAAATGAATATAATTGAAAAAAATAGGAAAAATACATTAATCGAAAAACATTTTATACCATCTTAACATCGTCGTTGCTTGATTCGATTGACACATTTCCAACGAGTGATGGGAAAATACTCACCCAACGCACCTAAAAAAAGCATTCATAGAAAAGAAGAATAAAATAAACCCTAATTCAACTAATATACTATATATGTAACAAGAAATTAATATGATTCATTCTAGTTAGCTGTTCTTGAAGTTATACACTTACAGGATTTTTAAGTTCTCTCACAAGCCATGAAGCATCAATGCGGATTACTGCAGAAGCTCTTGACGCCTCATGGACAAACCTTGGGACATTTTTTGCGTACCAAGGAAAGAATTGAGAGTAGTACTCGTTCAGATTCAGCATCTCTATGTTTTCACATTGTGATCTACTCCACAAAGGAGACTCGAGCGCTGCCAAAGAAATAATTTCGTTGACTATACAGGCCAAGACCACCATTAAGTTAAGCGAGTACGCGGATACGTTGGGTAATTGTTGTCCAAAAAATTCCGATAACATTGTGAAGTAAGTGAGTGTCTCTCTGTCAGACCGCGAAAGAGCATTCTCGAACTGCCATGGTTCGGTTTGGTTGATGCTTTCATCTTCAGATATCAAATTTTCTTGAGATGCCATGGTCTACCTTAAGGGTAATTCGTGTGACAAACATATAGTAAGGAATTAAATTTTGAATAACATAGATATAGCTATAGGGCCGGTCCTTGGATTTAGAGTGATTCGAACTCAGGACATGGCTCTAATTTAGAGAACACACAACCACCACACTAAGCAAATGTCTTAATAATGTGGTCTTAAAAACTTTGTTATATTTTGTGGCCTAAAGCAGATGCTTTGACTGCTTTATGGGTGGGCCGGACATGTATAGCTACCTTTTTTTATTTTACTTAAGAACATGTTTGAATATAACAAAGTAGATCTTATCCTGATAATTTCAAATACACGTATAATTTTCTTTCCCTTTGTATAGATATAAGATTTAAATATAATTGCAAAAATAATAATAATCTATATATTTATTACTGATGCTTATAAATTTAAATTGAAAAATAAAAATTATCAAAGATAAATGAGATGAATGAAAAGTTGTATATATTGTACTAACCTGTATCAAATATTTGCGATGCAAGAACTGATGTCTTTGGTGAAGCGAACTACAAGGGGTCTGATTCGCGAGGATGCAAGAAGGAATAATTTTTTTTCTAAATCTACTGCAAAGAGGAGAAGTTTCTTTGTTATCCAAAGATTTATTTTTCAATTAAAAATTTTTCATTACATAATAAAGAAAAAAACTTGTATATTCTACATCGTCAGAGCCAAAAATTAGTTGGTATTTATAGAAAATATAAACCGCGTGACAATTCTCATGTCAAAATTGCATATTTGTTTCTATGGTAGTACTCTTATGATCATTTTTACATTATTTTGGTAAATAAATTGTATCTAAAAAATAGTTAGAACTTAGTTAACTTCATAAATAATAAAATAAGTGCGACCAGAAGATAAGAATGAATCAAGTAATTGAATAAAAATTGTAAAATAGTTTTGATATTTTTTAGTCATATTCAACGCATGAAATATACAATAAAGAAAGTTATTAACTTAATTCATTTTTAGATCTTCTTTTTATATATTTAAAAGCTTCAAAGTAAATTATGACTCAAGTAATTATTTATCAAGTTAAAAAATTACTGTATTGGTAAAAAATTAATGATTCCAAAAACTCGTCCTTAGCTCAATCGCTAGATAATTGCCGGTCAGTTATACGACGGTGAATTCGTTTCTGGACCTTGTACACACCGTCCGTCACATTATGGGAGCTGGCCATGCCCGAAGTCGTTACCTTAACCGCAAAGAGGGGATGCCGAAGACAGGGCTAGTGACTAGAGTGAAGTCGTAACAAGTAGTACTGGAAGGATATATATCGACAATTTGACATGCATTGTGAATTGACATAATATCATTCTACAACGACCCTAACTAATCTTGTGACGTAATGATTAGTAATAAGATTTTTATCTCGTCAAATTTTGTTTTATTTTATTTTTAAATTACCGTATCACATTATAGTCTCGTAAAATTTAGTTGTGAAACCAAGTTAATTTCTAATTTTTTAATTTTTGAGAGAAGTTAATTTATAATCTTGCCATATGACCAAACATCGTTCCATAGATAATAAATCTAATTGATGCCTGCATTAGTCACAACTCACAAGTAGTAAAAAAACGTACATGTAATAAAAACGACATGGTCGTAGACCAATATTCTCACCGGTTAACAGTAACCGGAACCACAATATGGAATTGAAAATCATTCAACTCAAATTGCAGATCTTTTTTATTTCGTCAAAATTGTGCAACTTTCTGTTCATACATTCATCAAAGGGAAAAAACCCGAAAAAACCGCCATCTATTTTTTTTTTGGCCGTTTAATACGCGTGTTATTAAAGTTGGAATAAAAATGTCTGGTTTAATTTCGGTTGTCTTTTAAAACCTTCGTTTTTAAAAAATTGGTAAAATCGTACCTCCGAGTTAATGGATGTTAACGTTGGTAACGGAATCTCTAACTGCAGTTAAAACGTAACACATGGTGTTTAGATATATATATACAATCTGTTTTCTGATCTGTACGAATATGTTGTCTTAGTCAGGTGGTTAAATGTGGTTTGACTATTCTAATGAACCTGGGTTCGAAGCGCCCCGCCGTCACTTTTAGACGTTTTTTTCTTTAATTTTTTTGCTTCAAAACAAAAAATCTGTGTGTAGAGGAGAGAGAGCTCGTGCTCAAGATTTTGATCTTTGTCTCTTCGTTATCGATTTTGAACATCCACATTCTGCGTAGATCTGAAAAAACAAGAGAAACTCACGGGTTTGGTTATCCTTGGTTATCACGATTTGCTAGCTGATTTTGACATCACGATTTCGATTGTTTTTGTTGGAGCCTGGAGGTGATTCAATTTCGGATCCATACGGATCTAATCTCGGCGAGTCGATTCGTGGTCAACAGTTTTCAAAAACTATTCGCGTGGATCTGAAGACGATACATTGTTGTCTTTGTGTATCGCACTTAATTTTTCTGGGAATTTGTAGAAGAATGGATCCAATTCTGGAAAACTAGGAGAGAACAAAGAGGTTTGAAGAAGATGAAGCCAAAAAAAAAAAAAAGTTAAAAACGTCTAAAAGTGACAGTTAAGGGTTTCGAACCCGAGCTCATGAGGACTTCCTATACACGTTTAACCACTCGACTAAGCGACATATTCATACACTTGCGAAAGCAGATTATATATATATATATTTAAATACCATGGGTTAAGTTTTAACTACAGTTAGAGATTCCGTTACCAACGTTAACATCCGTTAACTCGGGGGTACGATTTTACCAATTTTTTAAAAACGAAGGTTTTAAAAGACAACCGAAATTAAACCAGACATTTTTATTCCAACTTTAATAACACGCGTATTAAACGGCCAAAAAAAAAATAGATGGCGGTTTTTTCGGGTTTTTTCCCATTCATCAAATCGTGCCAAAATAAAAATAAAAATTCAACGAATTATAGTTGGACACGTGGAAATCAGAGTACAAGTCTTATGAACTTTGCCATATTCCGGTGACTTGCTCAAAAGTCTCGTATGCGTTTGCCGATCTTCTCGATTCTCCAATTCCAAACCCTAACATTTTGATTCGTCCTTCCGGGTTTCCACAACGCTGCGGTTAGATTTTGTCAATTTCGCTCTTTCTTGAATCATTTTTGTTTTCGGTAGCGAGAAATATCTGTATCGGAAAAAAGATGAATCTGAGTTTGAAAGTTCTTCAAATACACAATTTAGCTGAGAAAGTATAGATGAGGATGAAAAAATCCTTCCTTTTTGTATTTTTTTCCATTTTGCTGATGAATTTTTTCGACCTGTGTTCTTAAAAAAAACAGAGATTCGGTACAAATGATGTTGCGTGCTGTTATAAGGAGAGCTGCCAGTAAAGGCTCTTCTCCTTCGGTTAGTGCTCGATTTTGATTTCATTTGGTATCTATTTGATCGGCTCTATCGAAATGTGACAACTTTATCTCTATATATTTTATCAGTTATTCGGAAAATCACTGCAATCTTCGCGTGTTGCTGCATCTTCCCCAAGCTTGCTAGCAGGTTCAGAAACAGGGGTACGTTTTGTTTTTATTCCCAAATCGAGTTGGTATTATATGGTTATGAATCTTATTTATCAGATTTCTATGTATCTGTCTTTTTTCAATGAACAATCTAATAAATGTTTCATTTGAGAATCTGAACAGACATTTCTGCATTGTGGAAATCATGCTCGTAGCTTTCATAACCTTGCTTTGCCAGGTAATTTTTTTATATGTGACTTTTGGGTTAGTTTTAGTTTCTTAAGATTTTTGTGCTCTTATATGTTTGTATCCCACTAGCAGGGAACTCCGGCATCTCGAGGTCAGCGAGTTCAGTTTCCTCTACCCTGCAAAGATGGGTCAGGCCTTTTTCATCTGAAAGTGGTATGAATGTTCTACCTGAGCTCTTTCTCTCTTTTAGTTGAGGTATTAGGTTTGCCATATCTGGGAACCTATGATTGTTTAGAAGTAGAAATTCAGGAGCTCACAACTTTGACTCCATTCTGATGCAGATTCTTGTGAAACTTGTTTCTTAATTTAGGTTTTGCAATCTGCTATTACTGTAGCTTTGATTGAATTTGTAGGATTTTCTCACACGCTTTCTTATTAATGTTACTGAAGGAGATACTGTGGAAGCTGTTGTGCCTCATATGGGGGAATCAATCACCGATGGCACCTTAGCCACCTTTCTGAAGAGTATGTGTCTTTTGCATTATCTTTTCCGGTTCTTTCTGATGCGTGAATATATATCTAAAAGTTCTTTTGTTGGCGCATCTGATGATTACCTTTCAGAACCTGGTGAGAGAGTCCAGGCTGATGAGGCTATTGCACAAATTGAAACTGATAAGGTATCAATATTTATTTTTCCTTGCTCTTTTATCTAAAGACATTTCGAAGATTTTGGGTTATAAAATTTCAAATACTATCATTTGACTCATCTTTCTGCATTAGGTGACAATAGATATTGCTAGCCCAGCAAGTGGTGTAATCCAAGAGGTAAATATGTTTGCTATTTCTGCTGTTTTATTTTCACTCGTTATTGTTGTTCTCTTGTTGGTGTCTCTATAGTTAGTCTTCACTGAGTAGACCTGTTTGGTTTGGTCTTCTAATGCAGTTTCTAGTCAAAGAAGGAGATACGGTAGAACCAGGAACCAAGGTCGCTATTATATCAAAGTCTGAGGATGCTGCATCTCATGTTACCCCCTCCGAGAAGATACCAGAGGCATCTGATGCCAAGCCTTCTCCTCCTGCTGAAGATAAGCAGAAGCCCAAAGTGGAAAGTGCTCCTGTAGCAGAGAAACCCAAAGCACCATCCTCACCACCTCCACCCAAACAATCTGCTAAAGAACCGCAGCTCCCTCCTAAGGAAAGAGAAAGACGGGTATGCAGAATCTATCATTTTTCCCTGCTTCCGTCTTTAAATTTCAAAATGACTGTTGTCAGAGGTCAAATAAAGTTAGGTTTGTCCCCTAATGAAAAGCTTTACAGTCACATGATTGGTGATATGACATCTGACAACACTGCAGGTTCCTATGACAAGACTTCGTAAACGGGTTGCAACAAGATTGAAAGACTCTCAAAATACTTTCGCATTGCTGACAACTTTCAATGAAGTTGATATGTGAGTAACAGCTTAAACCCGTCAAGTTGATATGTCTATATCAGTTATGCGAGTCCTTTTGGTGCACTGAATTATACTAGTCAGTTTGATTATGTTTGCTAATTATGGAGCTCTTTTCTTCGTGTAGGACAAATTTGATGAAGCTCCGATCCCAATACAAGGATGCATTTTATGAAAAACATGGAGTGAAGTTGGGGCTTATGTCTGGATTCATTAAAGTATGCAGTACCTACTTTTTTCTCGATGTTAATACAATTCCAGAGTTAAATGGTCAGAAATAAAACAATGTTCTTTGTTATCTACCTCAGGCTGCTGTTAGTGCCCTCCAGCATCAGCCAGTTGTAAATGCAGTTATCGATGGGGATGATATCATATACAGAGACTATGTGGATATCAGTATCGCTGTTGGTACCTCTAAGGTTAGTTCATATTCATGAGTTATCATTGGTTTGTGCTAAATTTCTTCCTTATTACGTTCATGTATGTGAGGCTGAAATTTTCTTGTTGTGGTCTCTTTTCCAGGGACTTGTAGTACCAGTCATAAGAGGTGCTGATAAAATGAACTTTGCCGAGATAGAGAAGACGATAAACACACTTGCGAAGAAGGCAAATGAAGGAACCATATCCATAGATGAGATGGCTGGAGGATCATTCACCGTTTCAAATGGCGGTGTCTATGGAAGTCTCATAAGCACTCCGATCATTAACCCTCCTCAGGTTTAAATTTATTTCCCATCTCACCGGGTCTCAATCAGAACCACGTTTTTTGTTAACAGCAACCTGTGGTTTTGCAGTCTGCTATACTCGGTATGCACTCGATTGTGTCACGTCCAATGGTTGTAGGAGGAAGCGTAGTGCCAAGACCAATGATGTACGTCGCACTTACGTATGATCACAGGCTGATTGATGGTAGAGAGGCTGTCTACTTCCTGCGCCGTGTCAAGGATGTTGTGGAGGATCCACAAAGGCTTCTTCTTGACATATAAAAAAAGTCGAGGAGTCAGAAAGTGTATGGCTCTTTGAGTGTCTTTAAAACGTTTGGGGGGTAACAACAATTTTTCTCTTTCAAGTTTCTTTACAGTTTCCTGAAGGCCTCAGTGTCTAAGGGGGTGTTATTCAATGGTGGAGTTAAAGTCAATTCTTTAAGGTTTAGGGGGTGTTATTCAATGGTGGAGTTAAAGTCAATTCTTTAAGGTTTAGATTTGTTTTCTGATATTGGTTTTAAGAATCTGTTTGTGTGGATTTCAAAATCTCTGCAGTATATCTTGGATTTTGATTCTAATAATTTACTCATGAAACTCCAAAGAGGTTTCATTTGAAATGACTTAATATACAAAGATTTTACAAGTCTTTTAGTTTTGAATAACACTGGATTTTACAAACCTTAAAGAATTGATTTTAACTCCACCATTGAATAACACCAAACTTTTAAAATCTAATGAACTATAAGATCTAATAACACCAGATTTTAACGTTAGATTTATAATCATTAGTTGAATAACACTGGATTAGTGTTGGATTTCAATTCTATTAAAATCCATCAGTGAATAACACCACCTTAGATTTGCTTTCTGATATTGGTTTTAAGAATCTGTTTGTGTGGATTTCAAAATCTCTGCAGTATATCTTGGATTTTGATTCTAATAATTTACTCATGAAACTCCAAAGAGGTTTCATTTGAAATGACTTAATATACAAAGATTTTACAAGTCTTTTAGTTTTGAATAACACTGGATTTTACAAACCTTAAAGAATTGACTTTAACTCCACCATTGAATAACACCAAACTTTTAAAATCTAATGAAGTATAAGATTTAATAACACCAGATTTTAACGTTAGATTTATAATCATTAGTTGAATAACACTGGATTAGTGTTGGATTTCAATTCTATTAAAATCCATCAATGAATAACACCACCTAAGATCTTATTTGTTACACCATATGTTCAATTTTGACTGAATAAACGGACCCTTTTGGGGTTCTTCGACTTGAATGATTTTTCATGACTCAGAACATACCTTCGGAATTCTTCTTTTTTTTTTTTTAGGCCTCATATGTTTTATAAATAACATCTAGACGAGACAATATGCTTTCTTTCTATTAAATAGAAATGAACATTTTATAAGAGAGAACTGAAACGTAAATAATTTTAGCATACTTTGCTTTCTTACTTTCATTTCAAGGGAACAATCCATAAATTGTATCATAGTCTTATGTCAACAAAAGGAAATCAACTATAAGAGGATTCACTCAGATCTGTTAGAGCTCCAATGGTTCCGACTTAAAATAATTTATTGAAGGTAAAGATTCTATCTTCTTGTTGAATGTGACATGAATCATGGTAACACGCAGACCAGGAAATTCTCAGATCCTGACTTCTATGCGCTCCTCTTGTAAGTGCTCTTTCACAGATTGGATTGGTACCTAATAGAATAATAGTGTTACCAGGTATAAGATTTTGCCAAAGGTTTTAACAAGAGTAAAAACGGTTACCTCTTTCCGGTGGAAAATGCCGGCAGCAAGTGCGGCAGATGCGTTTGTCTTCTCAAACACCTCGGAAAAGTGCCTGGGAGTACCTGCTCCACTGCTTGCGATCACCGGTATGCCTACTGAATCTGAGATGAGCTTTACTAAGTCTATGTCAAATCCTTTCCCTTGACCTGAAACTCGCAGAGAAGGCATCATAAGGAGATAAAATTTTAGAATACATTGATCTTTAACTCCAACAGCAGTGGCTCAAGGTGGTTGTGTGTGCTTTTGATTTTCGTGGACCATATTTACTTCTAATCGCGTGTAAAGGTGCTCCAGAATTTCAGATATGAAACTAATTCAAAGATTGAAGGACTTTTCGAGTGTACCATCACAGTCTATGCAGTTCAATAGTATTTCACCAGCACCTAATTCTTCAACCGCTTTCGCAAGCTCAAATGCTCCAATAGGTCGACCTTCTCGTCCTCCACTGACCTTTTAGTTGAGAAACCAATAGCTAAGGAATGATACAAACCGATTATAAACTGTTAAGGGTGGCTGAAATTTTACCGTGCACTGATACCAGGCATATTCTTCTCCATTTGGGCCTAACACCAGCAAGATTAAATCCCGGTTATTACATGTATGCAAATTTATGGAGAAACTCTAGTCAATGTGACTGCGTTGTTTGTATTGTTCAAGCAGCTCAAGGCTATTCAACGAAAGCTAAATAAGATTGACACAAGATGAACCATAGCATGTCCGTTAGGATAATAAAGTTCTGAGTTAACATAGCAATAATAAGTTAATAACATTTGCCTTGTAATTTTAATGCATAAGAACGCTCAAATTTTTCCATTTAACGCATGATATATAGCCACCCTACATAATATTCCCTTGAACCATGAGAAAGCAAATATAAGAGAGGTGAGAACACCAGCATACCTGGATTAGTTACTCTGATGACTTTGTATGGCACATCATCCGGATGGTTCACATAAACTCTACGAGGATCAATACTTACAACCACTGCCTGTGGAGAGAAAAACTCTATCAAATAAGTGCAATTTCTCACATAAACTACAGAACATGAGAAACAACTATCTAAACGTAGTCAATTCACTGTTTACTCCATCTGTAACTAAGATATTGATATCCTAGTGTAAAGCAACTAGTATCCCTTTATTTTCTGCAAGCTGAGTTCTAAGAAGAAAGAAAGCCAATTGTTCTGAACTGTTAAGCAATTACCTGATTTCCATAAACTCTGGATATCTGTTCTAAACTACTTTTTCCTGTCTTCACCTACAGGAACTCGAAAAAAGGTATAAATTGATCATTCCATCTTTAGATACTAGCATGAACAACAACTCGGAAAAATTAGATGGGCAATCACAAACTTACCCCTGATTTTATGAACTCCTCTGCAGCGTAAACAGCGTCACTTCCTATGGAGATCTTATCAGCACCGGATCTGAAATACTCAGCAGCAACTTCCAAGCTAGAATAGTACCTGAGCCAAAGTAACTTGATATTAAATTGTTGTAGAGAACAAAAATTGCTAAGTCCTTGCTGAAATATAAAAGAACATAATGCCTGCACAGACATGTTCACAGAAACATGCTGAAAAGATTAACATGTACCTGCCGCTAGCATCTGTAAAGTCTCTAATACCACCTCCAACAGTTAGTGGTACAAAGACATTCTTTGATGTGTGCCTCAACACCTATAAAGTATGAAAAGTGATCTAAATCGGAAATTACAGGAAAGGTGCGGACGTAATACATAAATTCTACTGAGAACGAAAAAATCTTGGTACCTGAATCATCGGCAAATCCCCTAAAGGAAAATCGCGGAATCCAGTTATGTTTAAAAAGCTAATCTGAAAACCCACAAGCAGCACGGTAAAACGCCAAACCAAATCTAGAAAAAGGAGTCTTAAATATTGCAAGGAGATCATATACTGTGAAAGTATACCTCATCTGCACCATCTTTGTAATACTGCCCAGCCAAATCAACGGGTTTGCCAAGGTTTCGAACCTGCGCAAGAAAAGGAATGAATCCAGAGCATTGTTACAGACGTTAATAATTAGCTAAACCCAACAGCTTTAAGGTAAGATAAGGACGTATCACAAAAACATCTAAATATCTACAATGTTTCATTTTTTCACAAAGAACACATCCCAGGATATGACATTTAAGCAACAATTTTCAACAAACCTCGTTTTCATTAGATTGCTCTCTCACATCATACTGATCCCCTTTAGTAACTACGAGATCTCCGTTATCATTCGTCCTCACATCAAGACAAGCAATCACCTAAAGAAAAACAAAATATTAATAGAAAAACTCTCTACCAGAATAGTTGAGAGAAAAGACAGCAATGTTGTAGAGGAGACAGACTTCCAATAATAACAGGACAAACTTATTACCCTCTTTGCAAGTTTTGAGGCCTTCCCTTCCATTGGCTTCTGTCTTCAAGTGAATTGTGGTTTCCATTAGACACCAAAAAATCAGGAATTACATTGTACATGTAAGGCTAGAGTGAAATCTACCTGTGTTGCAGGTAATTTTGGATGCAAGAACCTTCTCAAAACAGAAAGCCCCACCTCTGAATAGTTCCAGATTCAGAATTAGTATGATAGCAAATATGAAAACAGATTCTGAATAAGAGAAAAAAGATGTCAGCAAAAAAGTGACTAGACTATCATACCCCCACTCTTCTCAGGATGAAACTGGACTGCATGCACATTTCCCCTTCTTATGGAAGATATAAATGATTCACCATAATTGCAGGTAGACGAAATCCAGTCCTTATTTTCATCTGACTATAGAAATTTCGGAACTATAATTATCACATGCATGTAGAAGAGGAGAAAGACAATATGGTACATACACGAAAATGAAAGAAAAAAATAAGAGATTATTTAGATCCATACTGGAATGGCCCGGTACGAATGAACAAAATATACATGACGATTTCCAACATCATCCAAAATTTCAGAATCCTTCCGCACTTGCAACGCATTCCAGCCAATGTGGGGTACTCTTATACCAGCTGAAGAATCAAAGCGTCCAACTATTCCCGGTATCACGCCAAGACCTTTGACTGGCAAAAATATACAGATGCATAACCATGAAAACACATACTATCATAATGTAGATCATGTTGAAGGAGAGATTCCTGAAGAAATAATATGAAGAAGGGGCAATCGAGCTAAACCTGGTCCATTCTCCTCACTAGACTCGAAAAGTAGTTGTAGCCCAAGACATATGCCGAGAAAGGGACGGTCATTCTCAATATATGTGCACAAAGCTTCAGCCATCCTACAAACATCAAAGAACCAAAATCGTATATGAAGATTTAGAGAAGACATGTTCATTGTAAGTTTTATGAACAACTCAGTATGAAAAGCACTTAAAATTATGAGTTAAGCATGAGATGTGGTTCCGAATCTGCTACAATTAAAAGAGCTCTGTAACCTCGGACAGTAGCAAGAAAGCTACTTCGTGCAAATTGATATACATACAATTAATCACACAGAGAAATCCACAGAGCTTAGTAATAAGTACCCAGTTTTGTTAAGTACATCCATGGCGGGTGCAAAAGCTCCAACGCCGGGAAAGATGAGGCGATCAGCATTCAGAATGTCACCCGGCGTTTGAACCTAACATTTCAAGTTCCCAAATGTAATCAATTTCATATATCAGCCTTTGCCTATAAGAGATCAGTACATATCCCAGGAATAAACTAAGATTCAAAAACATACGTCTTTGATGCTGAACCCGAGGTGACGAAGAGCATTGCGGATGCTCCGAACATTCCCAGCTCCGTAGTCAAGTAAAGTCACAACTACTCACCAAAGACACAGAGGAGAATAAAAAGCTTCAGCAATAAAAAAGACTAAATCAAATTTAGTATAACAGGACAAAAGAAAATACCAGAATCGGAGGTAGAAGATGCGCGGACGGAGAGGCTTCTCGGAGATTTGAATTTGCGATTAACATTGCCGTTGTTATTCCGGGAGAGGAATAAAGAAGCCGGAGAAGAAGCGCGAATCGAGGAAGAAGAAGAAGAAAAGTTTTGTCTGGAAGAGACAATTGACGAGAATGGCGCCGCCGTAGCCTCCATTGATACTCTCACTTACTGCTTCGATTGTTAATTCAAAAGGTCGTCGTCACTCGTCACTTGGCAACACTCGTCGTTTTTCCTCGCGTAGCGAATTGTATATTAAATGGGCTTTTATGAACTTCTCTTAACAGACATAATGGGCTTGGGCTTCCTTTCACTCAAACAGCTCTTTTAAAAAAAAAAAAATTGAAGGTACAACAAAGTTACCAAGAATGAGTATTTTAGACTCCATGCTCTTAATAGTTAATATGATTACAACGGATAAAAAGTGATTACTACAGTACAAGTTATAGACAAGAAAAGAAAATATTACAAGTTCTATATAGTATACCATACATAGGAGATACATAAGTCTCTTAGAGAAACAACAACAAAAATAATATTATTAGAATACCAGTTTGAATTTGAGATGAAATTAAATATTGGAATGGATAAGGGCTTAGGGTCTATGTAATACACCAACTCCAGCCATCTAATGCAAGGCATGAAAGATGAGCAAAACAGAAAGGACAAAATAAATTGAGTGTGTTTGCCAACAATAACTCTTCCCATCCTTTTTCTCAAGTCAACTCCTTTTAATACATCTTCTATCTGAATCATTTCTATATAATGATTTTAGTAACATGTTCTAGTTCTTACAAGACATTATATTACATCGTTCATAAATTGAAAATTTGATGTAGGTTTTTGGATTTGTTGAATTAATATATTTTGGATTGGAGAACATCATAACATGTGCTTCTGTAGGTAAACTTAATAACCATTTTCACCATAGAATTTAATTGCAATAATTGTGGATATTTTTTCAGTCTTTTGAATAAATTTTTATTATGGGATGAGGTGGTCAAATTTGGGCACTCACCACTTGCTACTATCACCAATTCACAAACCAATACGAAAATTAAAAGATAGAAAAATATGAGATGACAAGTAAATTTGGTATGTTATGCGTTTAATTAATCATCATCAGGACGTCATCACTGAATCACAACGAACTTATTTCTACTTGTCATCAGTTTTCATTTTGTAGGTAAACTATATTATATGTTAATGAAATATTATATGTTATTTTGTAATATTATTAGCTTACAACAGTTCAGATCAATGTTTTAATGATTTAAAAGGAGACATATACTTAAATATAAAATAATCAATTCAAAGTATTTGTATTCTGCATAATACATTTATACTAAGTGGAAGTGATTTGGAGCTTTTGTCGACCAAAAGATTTTATTCTATTAAGTGGTATTCTTAAAATGTTGTATTTGGATAAGTACGGGAAGAAAAATATAATTTATGTTTCAACAAATTTCTACAAACGTACCTAATAAATGGTACGGTATTGATATAAACTAATTTGTTTCGTTAGGTATCGGTGTCAAAGTAGGAATGTTCTGCTCCAATGATCATGTCTATAGAGTAGAACTATCAACTATCAAGACCGACGAAATTGTCAGTGTCGGTGTATGTGTGCTTTTAGATTTCAGACGGTGAAAGTGATTAGTCCACTTTATTTACATCTTCAAAGATGTATATTAGTAAGTAAACGTGGACTTTGATTTTGTACTCCCCCAAAGAGTCGTCTGCGTTCACATAACGGGGTCTTATGCGGTTTAGGTAAACACACAAGAATTTGTATTGAAATGACTTCGCCTCTAGATAATTTTTGGACCAAATACAGATTGACTTCGTCTATTGTCAATCTCATTGATTTAAGCTCCAACAAGACAAGTTGAACAAAAAAAAAGCTCCAACAAGACACAAAGATTTATGTTTCCAACTTTAAAAGATATAATTTGAATTGTCTTACAGAGTCGTACGTATAATAGTAATCGTTAGCACATACCCTAACGGCTAACGCATATGTTGCATAGGAAAGATTGAGGGGAAAACGGCATTTTTCAACCTCAACTATTTGCTGGCGGGTTTTTCCAACCTAAACTATGACCCTCAGTCAATTTCAACCCAAACCCAAAAATAATTCAAAATCGAAACCTGAACTAATTCAAATGAGCCGATTTCAACACGACGCAAAACAATTTTAGTTCGAAAGTTAACGGTTCTGAAGGTTATTTGATTTTATTTTCAGGATTTGCTGAATGCTGTAAAGAGAGAATTACCCAAGGTTGAGTAACCGTTAACTTCCGAACTAACACCGTTTCGTGTCGTGTTGAAATCGGCTCATTTGCATTAGTTCAGGTTTCGATTTTGAATTATTTTTGAGTTTGGGTTGAAATCGACTGGGGGTCATAGTTTGGGTTGGAAAAACCCGCCAGCAAATAGTTGAGGTTGAAAAGGGCCGTTTTCCCAAAAGATTGAGTAATGTATTTACATATTCTTTAATTTTGAACACATGGGCATTGTTCATTGTTTCATCAGACTTGGTTAACTAGTGAATTAAAAATGAGCTTGCAATTTGGAAAACATTTTTTTTATTAGTATGAAACAAATTCTTTATGGATACATTTTTATCTTCATCACTAAAATAATAAAATGCAATTAAATTTCCTTGAATAGTAACATTAGAGTAGAAATTATTAATGATGTCGTCAGAGGAATATTCCGAGAACAAGCTGTCTTGATTCGAAATCCAATCTTCACCTTCTTCAATCGCTTGCGACGATGACGTTGCTTCAACGCTAAACGCGTCTTCGTCGCCGTCGCGTTTCTCGGTTTCTTCATATTCGTCGCCTCTCACTTGAATCCACCCGTCGTCTTCTTCAGTAACCCAATCGGGTAAGCTTAAAATTTCATCTCCGGCGAGTTCCTCGATCCGTTTAGCCGGTGAACCCCAAGATTCCGAGTAATCAGCAAAAGGGTCTTCGTGATCCATCGAAATTAAGTGAGTTTTCGAGATTTCGCATGAATCCCAGAATCGTTGATCCAACACAGTGCTTGGAGAAGAAGTCTTGTTCTTCAAACAATCGCTTGTCTCAGATTCTTCGCCGTCGTCGAGAAATGGATGTTTAAGCAATTCTTCCACAGTCCATCTCTGTTTTGGATCTTCCTTCAAACAATTCTTCAGAAAGTCTTTACCTTTTTCCGAAATCCACCCGGGAATCTCCGGCGATTCACCAGAGAAGCCAATCTTATACATTGCAGCAACGACATCGTTTAGCTCCGGCCAAGGACTTGATCCAGTCATCATCTCGATCACTGTACATCCCAAAGCCCACACATCAGCCGGAAACCTCTGTTCTTCACCACGAGCAACTTCTGGCGCCATAAACGCCGGTGTACCGGAAAATCCCGACTTGCCAACCGATTTAGCACAACCCATGTCGGCGATTTTCAAAACTCCGTTTTCCTCAACCAGAACGTTATGGCTCTTCAAGTCGCAGTGAACAATCCCTCTTTCGTGAAGATACATCAAACCGTTAAGAATTTGACGCGTGTATGATCTTATCTCCGGCTCCGGCAACTTCCCGCCGGAATTCTTGATCAATTCGTGAAGATTCCCGCCGGAAATGTACTCCATCAGTATATTGTAAACAAATCCATTGTTCTCGCACGTTAAACCAGAGCCTATGTACTTGACTATGTGAGGAGAGCTCAATGTAGACAAGAATGATTGCTCTTTCTGCAAGAACGTTGAAGAAGATAATTCGGCAGATTTGACGGCGAAGATCTCACCGGAGCTTGAGATTGCTATTGAGACAGTGGCGGTGGAGCCTCGACCGATGATTGGTCCTCTTGTCCAATTAATTTCCATTGGAACAGAGCAAAAAACAGAGAAGAATTTAGAGAGTGGGGGAAATTGTTGGGACTTGGGACTAAGGTTTTTTTTTTTTTTTGGACTTGAGATTTGTTTAAGCAAATGGCTTAGAAGAAGCTTATATATATAAAAAAAGAAATATGTATTTTTGTGTGTGTGTGTGTGTTTAGGGTATGTAGAAGTGTGTGTATGTGACTTTGGCATGGGGCTTTGGTTCAAAGTCGGAGACGACATTCTTTATTCTTAAGATCTTGATTTCTTCTCCTCCAATTATGAAGCGCCATTACTTTTAGCTTATCTTTCACTTAATCTATTTTTAGATATATTATTTTACTATTTCTTTACTGTTTACATCAGTTTAATCTATATTAATTATTGTGACAAGCGTCACTTAGTTTGAGTTTTGGAATATATTTATGTAGCATGATTCATACCAAGGACAACCATACATAATAGAAAAATAGTACAAATGAAAACTTAAGTATATGGTTTTACTAATTATTTTGAAGTATATAGTAGAGTATACTATCCCAAAATGAGGATGGTGATAATGCGTTCACTGCAATATCATCATGTGAGTGCAAAGTCCTCAATGTTGCAAACAGCTGCATGTTAAGTGATCTGCATTAACTTATTGTGTAATACTTAATTGAGAAGTTTGTTTTGAATTTAATTGCATTGAACACACTAACCACACATATACGTTTTTGGCAACGCACTGAACAGCATTTTTGTGTGGCAACAATATAAAAGTAAGTGCGTGAAACAAGCATGAAGCCAGAGTGGACGATCTCACGTGACGGAGGCGCGTGGTTCAAATCAAGTTTCGGACCATTTTAACGTGGGAACGGGATTAATTCACTCCACTTAAAAAAGGATTTAAGTAACTGATCAAAGTTTAAATTTTAATTATTTGTTTATGAGGCTGTAAAGTTAAAAAAAATGTGTGGTCGAATCACAAATGTGAATGCAAGTGATAATGTCTTTAATTAGAATGCAAGCTGGGAATATTTATTCGTCTTTTGCTTTTTGCTCCGAGGATACAGTTGGATTTCAGAGAGTTTACTTTTTCTTTTATTTTTTTCGGTTATTGAATGAGTTTAATAATAGACTTTAATATATAGTTTGTGAAATAATATGGGAGTTTTTGGAGTTGGATGGAAAACGCGGATTCATGCATGTGATTTGGGCAAAATGCGTGTCTAAGATTGAGTGTATGTGTATTTTTATTTAACGGCAAGATTAAGTGTAGAAATGGAAAACTAGCTCAGAAGAACATTTAAAATAATTATCATGAAAAGAACGCGTATAGCCTACTTACTAATTATGTTGGTATTTATGTTAGGGTCAGTTCTTCATGTGACTTCAGACTTCTTTTTAAAATGAAAGGCATTATGAGTAATGAAGCAAAATTTGATTGGTTTACTTTTTACTACTTTTTCTGTTAAAATACTTTACTGCTTTGGCGACGGGTTAGTAAAAGACTAATTAAGTTATGAAGATGATTCCTATTACTGAATTTCAGGCGTAGAATATTCAAATTAATTGAACTAAATTGAATTGTCTCTTAGATCATCTGTCGAAGTAATGACAATGTGATTTCGAACAAAATTGATAAAAGGTGTGTAAAAACTAAAAACCAAAATATATAAACGGTGAACTGATGAGATAATTGTCTAATATCACTGAGCGAAGGTAAGGACATATAAATTGAGATAACTCACGGCTTGCAGATTCCTTAGCAGCCATAAGAACTAACCACTAATCTTTGCGGCGTAATTTAAAATAAAGCGAAATAAAGAAAGATAAGCATATTAAAGAGAACTTTAGCTGCAATACATTTTAATAAATTATTTTTAACTTATTAAGCTATGATTATAAACTATAACTAGATCATCACCCGTACTATAGTACGGGTTGAATTTCATTTATTACAAAATTTATATATTATATAGTTATTGAATAAAATCGTGATATATTATAATAGTAAGTAAAAAAATATATTAATTTTTTTATGTCAGTCCATATATATATCATATTAGAATGAATATATTTTTATTTTTCTGTAATCCTCAATTATGGATATATTTTTTAAAGATATGAAAACGGAAAATAATATTATTTTCAAAAAAAAAAATATATTGTTTGAACAATGAGTTAATTTATGTTAACAACCACAAAATGAGAGTGCATATAATTTAGTTAGATCAAAAATCAAAATATCATAAATGAATCGCATCTAAACGTAGATTATTTTGAATTAGTTAAAAAAGTTAGCTATTATTTTGAATTAATTTAGGAAATTAATTTTTCAAATTATAATTCATTGGTTGTTGAAATAGAGATTTGTTTGAGCTAATTACGGAATTTACCAATTATTCACATAATCGAATATGTTATGAACATATATTTGGTATATAATAATACCAAACTCGATCCGTGTGTAGAGTCTATATTTTCATTTTACAATCCCTATGAAAATATTGTGGCACAATCTATTATTCATTATTTCCAAAATTGCTTGCAGAATTAAATTTTCAAATATTTAGAAGTGTCAAACCTTATTTAACTCATCTCATCATAAAATCTTGAAATGTCGTCTATTATAAGGATCATAACTTTCTATCATATAATACATTACTTTTAACCCGCCGCCTACTATAAATATATTAAACATATCTTTTTAGAAAATCAATTAGTATTTATAAATTTTTTTTATCTTTTTAATCTATTAAATATTTATGATATTCTTTAATATATTAAATTAAACTTTTTTTAAATGTTCCAAATTAAAATCTTTAAAATTTTTATTGTAGTATGTAAAATTATGAATTTAAAAAATATATATATGAAATTAAATATAAATATTAAAATAGTTATAAGGATCATAACTCATTTCATCATATAATACATTATATTTAACCCGCCGCATATTATAAATATTTGTTTCAAAAAATCAAATTAGAGTATTTATATTTCTTAACTTTTTGATCTATTAAGTATTGATGATATTAAAAAAAATGATTATATTACTCAAATATAAATTTTTGACCCGTTAAATTTGTTTTTTCATACATTGAACAATTTATATTCGTTTTTAAAAATTCAAATCTTTGTATATGCGGAAAAAAATTTATTTTTTTTTTTATTATGTAGATGATATAATAATTTATTTATTTTATAGAAATAGAATAATATAAAGATGAGAGGTGAAGTATAGTGATTAATAACAAATTAATATGATAAGTTAGATATCAAATCTTATATGTTCATTTTGATTGGTCATTCTTTTTTTAAAAATTAATAATAGATTTTCGTTTTTATAATTAAATTAAATTAATTAAATTGCATAAAATAGTATTTGACTTGTTTATCCTTAATGAGTTGAATTAATTTACTCTATAAAATTTTATTTCTAATGGCATTCTTAAGTAAATTTTTACAAAAGGAAAGGTTAGTTAAGGGTATCTTATAAAGTGTACTCTCCAAATAATAGTATAGGATAATTAAGCTCTTGAAATTACATTTCTTGTTCGATAGGAAATTTAATCATTATATCAAGCTTAATACTAAATTAGATCAAATGGGCTATTGTATATACAGTTATTGTAATATTGAGGCTTGAGTTTAGAAGTCAGTTTTTCTATATATAAATTGGTTGGGGGAAACACAATTTCAATGTTGGGTATCAATATGGGCCTTCAAAACCAGTCTTTAAATTTTAGTAGGGTTCACTTCACATGATAGAGACTTTTATTTGAATAATCGAAGCTTCAGAGTTCAGAATGTTTACACATGCTTTGTATCCGACGATGAAAGACTTTACGCGTGGTTTGTGTATTAACATGCACAAAATAAAATCAGTAGACGTAGGGTATAATTTATACTGTAGAGGTCAAAATACAGCCAATAGAAGAAGTTGAAGTGCGTAACAAGAGAGAAGAGTTGACCATTTGACTTCTCGGCCCTCTGCATCACTCTTATATCTTCGTAACTCGTAAGTTGATTTCCGAAATTGAAATCTTAAACAAATTGTCATAACATGTGAGAAAATAAATTAATTTTTAAAAATTAATAACATATTTAAGTTGTTATTAATGAATCATATCATTTTTCATTAGTCCTAGTGTTTTTGTTCTTTTGATAAATTCGATTACCCATATAAAAGTAATAATCCAGTTATGTTATAAACTATACCATAATTCTTTTCTAACCAACTAAACGGCGGGATACTTAACGCACACACGACGACCTATTGGAAATGAGTGGCAATACAAAAAGTGATGATTAAATTGAGTCAAAAGCTAACAACCATTTCGTGTCAAGAAGAGCGTATGTTAACTTCATCTCTTTGAATCTTCTACATTAATAGTCAACGTAATAATGCATGTAGGTTACTGGCTGATTAAGTTTATAAGGACGAACGAGTTTTTTTAAAGCTGGCTTGTCGAATAATTTTGCCTATATTAGAAACAGAAATCAATGTTTCTTGGTTCTCGCAACAAATAAAATCAAATTTAAGAACAAATAAAGAGAACAATTAAAAAAATGGACGCCTTTGCTTCTCCGTTCAACTCGCCTGAATTGCCTCAGGTCGTCCCATGGGGCTGTGGATTCATTCATTCATGTCTATGTAAATCATCTCTTGCGGTAAGAAATCCATTTCGTTTGCGTTTATATTTGTTAGTGTATGTATCTTTATTTTTAAAGGCGTAATGCACGCAACATAGCAATGTGCATGCATATAGCTCTATTCGTATTGTTTCCTTTCTACTTCAAATTTCTTTGGTTAAGAAAACTTATAATTATAGTCAGAAATATTTATAAAAAGCCAAACGGAAAAGATATTCTAATCACTTTTTTCACCGCATTTCCTGCGTCAACTCTACTCGACGACAACTATAAACCCTAAGTCGACCCTCCCCTACTTCCTCACCAATCACAATCCTTTCTATCTCCACTCTTTCTAAGAATAAAGAAGAACAATCTCTCTCTCGAACCTAAAAGCTCAAAAGAAAATGGCTCTGGTTAAGCTACTCTTGTCCATCGCAATAACAACCGCAATCACAATCGCAGTCATCACAACCAGAACCAACACTACAACCACCATCATTAGAGAGTACACAAGCTTTGATGCACTGAGGACGCCGACTATAAGGCCTAGCCGGTTCTTGGCTCAAAAGGAAGTAGGCGAGCGAAACCCTAACGCTGCGGACCACTGCAATAAGGACCCTAAGATATGTGGCCTCAATGGAGGCGGAGGAAGCAACTCGACGATGACATGCTGCAACAACAAGTGCATAGACGTGGCCAGTGACGACGATAACTGTGGCGCGTGTAAGAATAAATGCAAGTTCTCACAGACGTGTTGTCGCGGCCTATGTGTTTACGTGGCTTACGACAAACGCCATTGTGGACAGTGTAATCATCCGTGTGAGCTCGGCGAGTTATGCGTCTACGGTCTTTGTAACTACGCGTGAATGATCGATCCATCACACGAGAGGGGTGTCTATATATTACACAACAAACTAAATTAAGCTAATTAAAAGTCTATTACTCTTTTACAAAAGGAAAAAAAAAAAGAGAAGAAAAAAGACTCTAATACATACATATATACAGATTGAACAATTATTTACATTGGATGATGGCATGTCCAATTAATAAGTGGTGGGTGTAATTTTGAATCCCATGACGTTTTGAAAGGGTATATATAAAAAAAACAATTTTGATTTTGTTTATACAATAAAGATTCGAATAATCTCGTGAAATTATGACTATATGTCTCTCTGCCTTTATTTAAGTTATTGGGAAAAAAAAAACAAAAAAAAAAAGTTAATGGGAAATTTGATAAAACGAAAATAATACTAATCGACGAAATTACAAATTAGTATTGAACGTGTGGACCGTGAGTTATCCAATGAAAGGCCACGAACTAAATTACGTGAAAAAATTGTGGCCCGACAAAATATTATTCCCGAAAAAGCCCAAATTGCAAGGCGTCTCTAGCGAGTGGCGATGGCAGCTCCTGCGGTGGAGGCAACCGTCGCAACTGCTCTCCGCTCTGTGATTCTGAGGGCTCGGAAGGCGGCGGAGCAAGTTGGAAGAGATCCCGAGCGGGTCAGAGTCCTTCCAGTCTCCAAGACTAAACCCGTCTCACTTATCCGCCAAATCTACGACGCAGGTCACCGTTGCTTCGGCGAGAATTACGTTCAAGAAATCATTGAGAAAGCTCCACAGGTTCCTCTCTCCCAATCCTTGTTATTGAATCTAGTTTTCATATGCTGATTTTCACTAGGGAATCTATTTAAGCTCGAATCTATGTTTCTCCTTGAGTTACTACTATGTGTCTCTCCATTTTGTGGGAATTCGTCAAACTGATATTTGTTTGTTGGTTTTGTGCTTTGATACTAATGGAGCTTCTTCTTCACTTTGTTTGATATACAGCTTCCTGACGATATAGAGTGGCACTTCGTGGGGCATTTACAGAGCAACAAAGCCAAAACGCTATTGAGTCTGACTTTTATTACCATCTTTAATAAAATGACTCTCCAAGATTCTATTGATTTATGGGTTAAGTGAAAGTGAAAGTTTTTAATCCAATGTTTGCAGCTGGAGTCCCAAACTTGGCAATGGTTCATGGTGTGGATGGAGAAAAGGTAATGTAACTTCACTCGAAACACACTTGTATGATACGATTCTTCAAGGATTTACTAGAAAACTCGGATATGTAAATGTTCTGTGAGATAGTCTTGCTATTCTTTTGCATAACTTATTGTATAGATTAGAGGTTGTTGTGGCGTTTAACTTGCACAATTCACTTTACTAAGAGGTTTTGGTTGGATGTTATTTTTGGTATACAATCACTTCACAGGTAGCTAATCATCTAGATCGAGCTGTTTCAAATCTTGGGAGACATCCACTAAAGGTTTTGGTCCAAGTTAACACAAGCGGAGAAGTTTGTGAGTATATTACCACTCTAAGCTTCCGTCCTGTAAATTGATTTCGTTCTCCAGCTTCATCCATTTGCTAACCGTTTGTTCATGAAATTGATGCAGCTAAATCTGGAATTGAACCTTCCAGCGTTGTAGAGCTAGCAAGGCATGTGAAACAGCACTGTCCAAATCTGGTATTCTCCGGGTTAATGACTATTGGGATGCCTGATTATACGTCTACTCCAGAGAACTTCAGGGTATGCTACTGAATCTACTCGATTGGATACTTGTTTTCCATGTTCTCAGGTTATTTCTACAAATTTTACTCACCAAGGTTTATTCTCTCCCCATAAACCGGGACAGACACTATCAAACTGTAGAGCTGATGTATGCAAGGCACTTGGAATGGCTGAGGATCAATTTGAACTGTCTATGGGCATGTCTGGTGACTTCGAGCTAGCGGTAATGTCTTTGTCTCTCTTGTAATACCGGAGATGCAAACAACTTAATATAGAATCATTTGAATGTGTTCTTACTTTCATCCGCGGAACCAAAAATGTGGAAGATGATCTTTGACTGTGTTTCTTTGAACATGGAACTGCAGATTGAGATGGGAAGCACCAATGTGAGGGTTGGTTCCACCATTTTTGGACCAAGAGAGTACCCCAAAAAAGCAACTTAGCTACTATTTCCTCAAACAGTTATAGTAAAATTCATGTATAATTTTGTCGACTATTAGAAATATAACTATTCGTTTGTGATAAACTAACGTGTATTCACAAGTTACTTTATACTAGAAATCAATACATTGCTAAGGGCTCTGTATAGGGTTTTCACTAAGTTGGTTTTTTTCTCTGGCTGATTGGCAAATGACTTTGCACAAGATCTATAGAATTTGCAACACGATATAGGAGTTGTTCTCTCGAAATTGATGTTTACAGACGCATGACTTATTGGGAATTTGGGACTTAGTGGTGTACCAATAGCATCTCAGCTTTCATGGTTATAAAGAGGCTTGGTCAACCGCCGCAATTATGATCCATTACTTGCACTGACTACCACCGGTCCACGGCCGTAACTATTCAAATCTTAATGCAAAACTAATTCGAATTACATATGGAGGTCTTAAAATATGATAAATAGTTGTTTAAAGAAAAAAACGATAAATAAAACAAACGGTGATGGAAGGAGGGACGTACAATCATAGTCGTAGAGACTCCCAAATAAATAATGGACCACTATTATGTGGTTCAAGGACTATATCCTTTTCTTAGATTCCGAATCTTAACTTCTGTTTCTTACCTTCTTTGTTTTTTTTGTTCATTTTGTAATTTTGTCTCATAAAAAAAACGAAACCTTCCAAAAAGCCATGGTCTAAAACTATTCTCATTATTTGTATTTAAATTTTATATCATAGTTTCGCAAAAAAAAAACGACCGAACGAACGATGGTCGTCATTTGCCCAAATTAAGCCTCGTGGTAATTGCTACGACCACACACCCGTCCCATGAGTAAACACGACCATGTAAAAATTATCTACAAAGACAACATAAAATCACAAAATAATGCTGAACAAATAAACAAAATTTCACAAAATAATAATAATGCTCTAGCCTCTATGGCTTGTTGATAAACATTTAAGAAAGAAAACAAAATGTGGCATAACACACGAGGCACGAGTTATGACAAGAGACGACACATGCTCTTTATCGTCTCCATATTTTAGTCTCTTATTTACATGCAGAAAACTACGATCTGCGATTATATAAAGAATTCAAATTCATAACCAATTGGGCCTTACATAAAACTATTTTTTAGTTCGTTCCGATCTATTTTCTCTCAAAAAGAATGTAGTACTCCAACTTTTCTTGCAAGACTAATAAAGTTTCTTAATTGCATGCAAAAATATTGTTTCTATTAATCTTTCAAATAAGAATCTTTTTGGTGCTTTGCCTAATCAAAATAACTAATTAAAACTAGAAGAAAAATCATCTATCAAAGAAAAATACAATTAGAAAAATCATCCACAAGAAAGACCAACGAAATTTCACGTCCGAATCACAACCACAGAAAAAGAGAAAAATATTAGTATATAATTTAATTTTTGTCGTGTGTCTTCTCTGGTTCACTCATCTTCTATCTATTTAAAGCCCATTCGATATCCTAAAACACTGTATCATCAAAAAAAAAAAAACCTCAGAATTATTTAGGCATCTCTCAATTTTTGTGAAACCCACATCAAAAGATCTCTCCTTTTCGTTTTGTGTCTGCTGTTTTGAGTGTCGGGTTCGTTTATCTGTAATCATTCTCCGGCGTTCGATTTGGGAAAATCCGGGAAACAGGTGATCGGAATCACGGCTATACACGGGATATCACGGGGTGTTAGCTCTCATGTCCATATTGTTCGACAGAAGGGTTGTTTAATCGAAACTAATCCTTTGCCGCACGGAGGACGTGGAGCTCTGCCGTCTGAAGGCGGCAGCCCTTCCGATCTCCTCTTTCTCGCCGGAGGCGGTTCCATCTTCAACCTCTTTTCCTTTAGGTTTTAGGAGTTAGGGTTGATATTAGAGTTTTTCCTTTTTTTTTCTGCTGTTGAATCGCTCTTTCTTGGGGGGGAAACTTTTTTCTTTTGCTCTACGAAAGTTTTTGTTTTTGGAGAATGTTGAAAATCAAGAGAGTTCCGACCGTCGTATCGAACTACCAGAAGGACGATGGAGCGGATGATTCCGTCGGCTGTGGACGGAATTGCCTCGGTGCTTGTTGCATTAACGGTACGTTTCGAAAGCTGAATCGTCTTTTTTTATTGTTAAATTTTATCTCTTTGATTTACCTTTGTTGCGTTTGTTCAGGGGCTAGGCTTCCATTGTATGCATGTAAGAATATGGAGAAATCCGGCGCCGTAGAGAAGCTTGTAATCAGTAATGAAGCTAAAGAGCCTCCTGTGGCTTTTCTCGAGTCCCTCGTTCTCGGAGAGGTACATCATGGAGCACTGATTTGATATTCTGATTTTGGATTCTGTTGCTTAAAAGATTCTAATCAATATTATTTATGTTTTAGTGGGAGGATAGGTTCCAAAGAGGTCTTTTTCGCTATGATGTCACTGCCTGCGAAACCAAAGTAATTGTCTTTCTGACCTTGTTTGTCAATCTAGTGATGTTTGTTTTTTTGCTGAGATCTGTTTTACATTGTTCTTAAGATTGTTTCTTTTGATGTTAATATAGGTTATCCCGGGGAAGTATGGTTTTGTTGCTCAGCTTAACGAGGGTCGTCACCTGAAGAAGAGGCCAACTGAGTTCCGTGTAGATAAGGTGTTGCAGTCTTTTGATGGCAGCAAATTCAACTTCACTAAAGTTGGCCAAGAAGAGTTGCTCTTCCAGTTTGAAGCTGGTGAAGATGCCCAAGTTCAGTTCTTCCCTTGCATGCCTCTTGACCCTGAGAATTCTCCCAGTGTTGTTGCCATCAATGTAAGAATCTTGTGCAGAGAGCTTGGCTTTATTTTTCTTTTATTGGTTTTGATGCAAAAGATTAATTCTTTATTGTTGTTTTAACAGGTTAGTCCGATAGAGTATGGGCATGTGCTGCTGATTCCTCGTGTTCTTGACTGCTTGCCTCAGAGGATCGATCACAAAAGCCTTTTGCTTGCAGTTCACATGGCTGCTGAGGCCGCTAATCCATACTTCAGACTCGGTTACAACAGCTTAGGTGCTTTTGCCACGATCAATCATCTTCACTTTCAGGTATACCCAAAAGTGACCCAAGCACAACTTTTTTTCCTTTGCTCATCTAAGATGACTTTTCTCATTGTTTTGGTGGTGATTGTTTTTGGAAACAGGCTTATTACTTGGCCATGCCTTTCCCTCTGGAGAAAGCTCCTTCCAAGAAGATAACTACCACTGTTAGAAGTGTCAAAATCTCAGAGCTTCTAAGTTACCCTGTGAGAAGTCTTCTTTTTGAAGGTGGAAGCTCTATGCAAGAGCTATCAGATACTGTATCTGACGCCTGTGTTTGCCTTCAGAACAACAACATTCCTTTCAACATTCTCATCTCTGATTGTGGAAGGCAGATCTTCTTGATGCCACAGGTAAAACTTTGGCTGGAACACCGTTGGATCAATACGTGTTTTGAATCCACTTAATAAAAGTGAATAAGAGTTTGAATGTATAAATTGCAGTGTTACGCAGAGAAACAGGCTCTAGGTGAAGTAAGCCCGGAGGTGTTGGAAACACAAGTGAATCCAGCCGTGTGGGAGATAAGTGGTCACATGGTACTGAAGAGGAAAGAGGATTACGAAGGAGCTTCAGAGGATAACGCGTGGAGGCTCCTTGCAGAAGCTTCTCTGTCGGAGGAAAGGTTTAAGGAGGTTACTGCTCTCGCCTTTGAAGCCATAGGTTGTAGTAACCAAGAGGAGGATCTTGAAGGAACCATAGTTCATCAGAAAAACCCTAGTGGCAATGTTAACCAGAAAAGCAACCGAACCCATGGAGGTCCGATCACAAACGGGACGACCGCGGAGTGCATTGTCCTTCAGTGAACAATATCGTGACTTGGTGGTTTGTATGTATAATTAAAATCCTAAATAAGCAAACTCTCTTTGTAGTTGCATTCGAAGCTTCTTGGTTATTGTATGATGGTTGTGGGCATTTTGTGCCTAGACTCGCTGGTTCTTTGTTTTTGTTATAAGTTGGTGTTTATGAATATATATGTTCTTCACGAGGATGATTATTATTTGTATAGATTTGATTGTTCGAACTCGTGGTTGATATATCTTAACAAGAGTTCAGTGTCAGCCAGTAACTTGTAACGAAGAAGTCTTTCTACAATCAACAAACATGTTAACGATTCGGAAAATGTAATTTATACAACACGAGACATAGTACTAATACTGATTATTGATCACGGTGGTCTTGTCTATAATCACCACAAGTTTTGTTTATTAAGCACATCGTCTATATAGACTACAATCACAAACTTGATGCTTGTTCATGGTTTGGAACTATATGGTTGACAAAAAGAGAGTCACACTTTGCTAATTCATTATCTCAGTTAAGCTAGTTCTTGTTCTAATAATGTGTAATCGACTCGTTGGATTTTGTCTTAGTTCGCCCATTAGCTCAGAAACTTATACGTTAAGGGTCAACTTTTAATAATTAATAGCTTTTTCATCGTTACCATACCAACAAACTTTAGATAATCGGGTTAATAACACCTTTAAGACGAAATAGTAGTATCATAGGATCCAATACCAAACGAACAAGGCAAAAAATCAACCAAAGGGTTTTTAACCTTGGTGACCATAATAACTTGTAGTTTCTAGAGAGAATGGTCACGATAAAAACAAGTCTGCAATTCCTAATGCCGAATACTCCTTAACGATTCATATCACACAAGCCCTAAACCCGGAGGAAGTGTCAGGCCATAGCACCACCACCTCCGCCACCAGTCTGATGGAGCATCGCATCGATCTCATCACCGTCCTCCATTTCAAGCTATAGAATTCAAGAATTATTTGCATCAGAAACGATAAACTTCAAAGGTCAAAAAAAGCATGTAGATTGAATGTTAAACCTCATCAGGAGTTTGCTCAGCACGCAGACGACGGCCATCAAACAAGAAAGCAATGGAGTTCATGTCCACAGATTGGCGGTCACAGTAAGCATTCATTAGCTTCTTCAGCTGGGTGCTTCTCTTGATCCTAAAGAACACCTCGTTTCCATCCTATACACAAAGATATACAAGGAACAATATGATTCTGATCTTGGTGAAAAAGACATTGTCAATAAAGGTTAGAGACATCATATGAAACAATAACTAAATACATGAAACAGTCTTAAGTACATATCACCAGTTCATTCAATGTAAGGCTTTGTCTATGAGAATTCCAAGCACACACATCAGCCAAAGCATTTGAAAACTTCATCAGAAGATATATACATTCAACAAGTTGCTATATACTCAAAAGGATTTAGCTTGATTAATAATTATTTGACAGCAACCTTAAATAATAACAGAACCACAAGTTTTATAAGCAACTTATACCTAAAACCAAACAAAAAAAGAAAGACCCACTAAGACTGAGCTAGTAGTGCGAAACCCTAGATTTACGAAACCAGAAAGCAGCCAAATTGGAAAGAAAAACCCTAATCGCAGCAACACGAGACCTTGAAATCAGAAACCCAAATCGTGACAAGGATGAGAACAGAAAGAGAGATACCTGTCCCTTGACTTTGAGGTTGATGTGAGCTCCTCCGTCTCCTGGCTTCTTGTCTTCTTCCTGGTTTGCAGACATCGTGAAAGATTCTCCGTCCGGTGACAAAAATACGAAATTTGAGAGAACGATGAGAGATTCACACAATCAAAGAATGATGCTGAGAGACGAATATATAAAAAAAAAGACTGATGGAAAGAAGAAACTCTGAAAATCTCTAATTGGCCGTGGCTTTTGTACTTGGACGCATCGGATTCCTCATTATCATAAACTCGTAGGGCATCTATCCAACGGTTCATATTCTCTCTAGGTTGTCTTTTAATCCAACGGCTGATAGTTTGTTAAAATCTAGCCTTTCATTATAATGGGCTTCTATTTTATTGGGCCAAAACTACCTTATTCGAACCCATTATACAATTTGATTTTTCCACTCTCCATGATTCCATTATCTGTTAAATACTTAAAATCTATTAATCATGTCACTTAGTGTAGAAAAAAAAGATTAATTGAAGAAGATAAAGTTAGTAGTCACACACTCTTTACAAAATAAATGATGATGAATTTAACGAAATATGTGCAATGCACATAAAAAGAACCAATGTCTTGTTGAAGAAACAAGAAAACTCCCTTTTTTTTTGTTTCTTAATAACCAAAATTAACTATGAACACAAACAGTTTAAACACATTAAAATTTTAGAAAGTTCCTTTACCTGAATATCATGTTAAGTATATCTTTTTGCTATAAATAGAGCTTTAAAATTATACAGTTTCAGTTAAATCTTTTTATTTTAGCTATTCTTCCGTGACCCACATCCCCCACTTACCACTTCTTCGCACCTAAATCGTATAAATACGGTAGACCAGCTCCGTCACAAAGGCAACAAAAACTTTCCTTCGTCTCCACAACTATCAAACGACACTGCTTTTATGCGTTTCATGCTCTGTTTCTGAAGAAAAAAACCATGGCCGTTTCTTTCATACCTTGTTTTCTCATTCTTTCCCTCTTCTCAGCCATTGACGCACGTTAGTTTTTCATCCCTCCACACTAGTTTTCATATAAGTATATGTGTCTCTGTATTTGCCGTGTCTACTACGTTCTTCTTATTTTGTTTTGTTTCCACAGATTCTGGAATGATCGGAGTCAACTATGGCCGGATAGCTAACAACCTCCCGTCGCCGGAGAAAGTAGTGAACCTCCTGAAATCACAAGGAATCAACCGTATCAAAATCTTCGACACCGATAAGAATGTACTAACCGCACTTGCAAATTCCAGAATCAAAGTAATCGTAGCTCTCCCCAACGAGCTTCTCTCCTCCGCCGCCTCCCACCAATCATTCGCCGACAACTGGATTAAAACCCACATTATGTCATACTTCCCAGCCACGGAGATCGAAGCTATCGCCGTCGGTAACGAAGTATTCGTCGATCCGAAGAACACGCCGTATCTTGTCTCTGCGATGAAGAACATTCACACCTCTCTCGTTAAGTATAAACTCGACAAAGCCATCAAGATCTCTTCTCCGATTGCTCTTAGCGCACTGGCTAATTCGTACCCGCCATCTTCTGGTTCTTTTAAACCGGATTTAATCGAACCGGTTATTAAACCAATGCTTGCTCTGCTGCAACAAACCTCGTCGTTTCTCATGGTAAATGCTTACCCGTTTTTCGCTTACGCAGCAAACGCCGATAAAATCTCTTTAGACTACGCTCTGTTTAAACAAAACGCCGGGAATATAGATTCCGGTACCGGATTGAAGTACAACAGTCTTTTTGACGCACAAATCGACGCCGTTCACGCGGCATTGTCTGCCGTCGGATTTAACGGCGTTAAGGTGATGGTGACGGAGACAGGGTGGCCTTCCGTTGGAGACGAGAACGAAATTGGTGCAAGCGAATCAAACGCGGCGGCGTATAACGGTGGACTCGTGAAGAGAGTGTTAACCGGTAAAGGAACGCCGTTAAGACCGACGGAGCCACTTAACGTCTATTTATTCGCTTTATTCAACGAAAACCAGAAACCGGGGCCAACGTCTGAGAGAAACTACGGACTGTTTTACCCAAACGAAAGGAAAGTGTACAACGTTCCGTTCTCCAGAGTGAGGTCAACGCCGGTCAACGGTAACAGAGGTCAGGTTCCGGTGGCGCATGAGGGACATACGTGGTGCGTTTCGAACGGAGAGGTTGCGAGGGAGAAGCTTCAGGAGGCTCTTGATTACGCTTGCGGAGAAGGAGGAGCTGATTGCCGTCCGATTCAGCCAGGTGCCACGTGTTATCATCCTGAGTCGTTAGAAGCTCACGCTTCGTACGCTTTTAACAGTTACTACCAGAAGAACTCACGTCGTGTTGGTACGTGCTACTTTGGTGGAGCTGCTCACGTTGTCACGCAACCTCCTCGTACGTTAATCTAATCCCTCCTCTGTTTTTACCTTACGAATACAGGATTACATTTATTTTGCTTTAATTGAATTCGCAAGTATAGACTTAGCTTATGGTAAACAAATTTTGATGCGTATAATTTTATTTGGTAGAAGTTTATTGAAAAAAGAAGAAAGATATATAGTGGCAAATGGTTTAGTAGTTGGCGGTTGTGAAAGTTGAGCTATATTGGGTCCTTTTGGCATTTTAAGATGTTCACGTATCTGTAAGATATGGTGACGTTTAATATTTTATATAATTTTAACTTTTTTTATATATTTATTTATTGCAGGATTTGGAAAATGCGAGTTTCCCACCGGACATTAAGGCGGAATAGTTATCGGCATTTTTCTTCTTGCCTGATTTATTTAATACTTTGTTTGCTAATCAGGAATATATTTTATATTGTGTATAAAATATATTAACTTTGTTGAACTATTTCATATATTTTAATTTAAAATTTATATCATCACTAAATTATCCTCAAAATGTTGCTTGAAAGTTGGAGTTTCACATTATAAACAGAGAGATAAAATGAGTTTCACATTTTACTATTTAGTCTTTTATCATTAGCATTTCAGAGTATATTCTACAAGGAATGAAATCTTGTATAATGGATAAACTCTTTAATTTCTATAATCTCAACTAGATAAATATTTATCCTTTTTTATATCTAATTATTTCGGGGAGAGATAACATCATATAAACAAGGTAAACATCATCACCACTTGCATATAGCCAACATGGGTGATGAAATAAGCTTCGTTGAAGAGATGAATCAACGACTTCTAATAACCGTCGCCGATACCGAACAAGTCCCGGATCTCCGATCAATATCATCACGAAACGACCAAGAATCCGAACCAGCTAACATCTCACAATGGCCACTATTCTTCAAACTCTTTCTAGCCATCACCATCATGGGTGCTTGCGTAGCATGTGTCTCGTTTATCATATTGATTACGCCAACTCCACCCACCGTTCACGTACAATCCATGCATATATCCTTCGCCAACCACAAAATACTGTTCTGGTCCGCAGTGTTCTCTATCAATAACCCTAACGAGAAACTCCACGTCACGTACGAGAATCCTTCGGTGTGGTTGTTTCACCAGGGAAGGCTTGTGTCGACGGTAAGAACCGATTCGTTCGGACAGAAAGGCAGAGAGGAGAATAAGGTGATTGTGAATGGAGACGAAACCGAAGTTACCGATGAAGAGGCGGCTTGGGAAATGGAGGATGAAGTGGCGGTGACAGGAGGTGTGGTAGATTTTTATATGGTGTTTTCAGGGAGAGTAGGGTTTTATCCAGGAGCTTCTGCTTTATGGGGAGAACAGTACATGTCAGCTGTTTGTGAAAATGTAAGAACGAAGTTGTATAATGTTGATGACCAGATTTATGGGACAAATAGATCGGTTTTGTCGTTTGATGGTCGACTAGATTGTCGTGTACGTCTCCCGAGATATCCTTAGGTTAATAATGTCGACTAGATTTTGTTTTTGCATTTGTTAGGATTATATGTTGTTCGATGAATTATGTCTGATTAACGATGTTATGTTACATTTTTTTTGACGACTATTATTGAAGCTTAATGATGGTGATGACAATCGATGACCTTATAAAATTAGGTTTTAAACGTGTGGTGTAAATGTTTTTTTCTACAAGAGCAGAGATTCAACAGTTGTGTGAATCTTAATGGCAAAACATAAAGCCAGCGGAAATTGAGCATACAATCTCTCCTATGAATTTGGTTTTAAAACCAATTTGGCTATTTAGTATTTTATCTAACGAAAGCAAAGGAATATATTAGTTTTAATGTTTTTAGCTACCTGGAAAATAATTATCACGCAGATTTGTTTTGGATTTTTCAATGGATTTTGACAAACCAAACGGAAGAATTGAGATTTTGAAGATTTGGACTCAAGAAGAAGATATGGTTAACAACCTAAATTATTGCATTACACGTTGTTATCCACTGCAATCAATCTAAGTCACAAGGATAAAACTCGGCCCAATATCAATCACAAGTAATCCAAAACACACGTGGCAGATGAAACTCTCTTCCTTGGCTAGAAGGTATGCTTCTGTTTTATGAGTCAAGACCTTTGGCCATTTTTTCGACTCTATCGAGTCAGAGCCTAGTTTGCCACTAAACCGAAAAAATGAATCTGGCCCGCCATTTTATAATCTGTATGCCACTATATAGGGGTGTCAAAATGGGTCAAGATTCATGGGTCAACCAAAACTCAACTCAACCCATGAACCCTAATGAGTTAAAATTTTTGACTCAAATGAGTTGATGGATGAAATGAGTTATTGAGTCAAATAGGTTGATGGATCAAATGAGTTGGGTTGTAATGGGTCAGTGGTTTCAATGGTTTACCCATTTAACCCATCAATTTTTGTTAAATTGAATCAAACCAATTCAAATCTCTAAACCGATTTCAATTTAAGTCTAACCAAAACTTCTAAACCGATTGAATATAGTCCTTAATTTTCCCGCCAAAAATGTGAATACACAATTTTTTCATCAAAATATAAATTCGTGATTTTCCCGCCAAAAACGTAAATCCGCAATTTTCCCGCCAAAAACGTAAATCCGTGATTTTCCCGCCAAAATTTTTTAAAATTTTTAACCAAAAACAAAAATATGTAATTTTCCCGCCAAAAACGTAAATCCGTGATTTTCCCGCCAAAAACGTAAATCCGTGATTTTCCCGCCATATTTTTTATAGTTTTTAGCCAAAAATGAGAATGTAAAATTTTCCCGCCAAAAACGTAAATCCGTGATTTTCCCGCCAAAAACGTAAATCCGTGATTTTCCCGCCAAAAACATAAATCCGTGATTTTCCCGCCAAATTTTTTTATAATTTTTAACCAAAAATGAGAAAGTAAAATTTTCCCGCCAAAAACGTAAATCCGTAATTTTCTCGCCAAAAACGTAAATCCGTGATTTTTCCGCCAAATAATAGTGACGTTGATTATTATTATTATTATTATTATTATATTTTAATTATTAATTTATTTATTACATTAATAGGTTAATGGGTCAACCCATTTAACCTTCTAACCCATCAAATTAAATGAGTTGATGGGTTGACTCAACTCATTTTACTAAATGAGTTGAGTCAACCCATCAACTCATTTAACTCTAAACTCATTGGGTAATGAGTTGAGTTGAGTTGGGTTAACCATTTTGACACCCCTACCACTATATATGTGTTATCACCATTTTACCCTTAATGAATTAATTTTAAAAAAGTAAAATAAAAATTAAAAAATAAAAAACTCTTGTGGGTCCCAACGAAACCTAAAGAAACGCTCAGGCAGCATGTGGCTTTTATTTAATGCTGTACTTACCCAATATGTGGACCCCACTAAAAAGTTTTTTTTTTGTTTTTTTCGGCAGAATATACTCATAGTTGTCCAGTTGTACTATCGTAATCATAGTTGGACTTTCCACAGTTTTCAGCAGTTGGACTAGACTGTAAATAAATAATTACAAGTTGGACACATGATTTCTCTAAATTATTTTGCATTTCCAAAGTTTTCATAATGGAACATTGGTGAAAACCAAGTTTTCACCTTTTTTACTTCATATGAGAGGATCATATACTTAGAGCATCTCCATCCATCAGACACTGTGTGGGTGTCTCAAAAATACTATTTTAATCAATTTATAATAAATAAATTATTTATTTAAATTATAAATTATAAAAAAAGAATTTGGCCAATAATAAAAGGACAAGTGGAGACACAGTTTCTCAAAGTTTCTCAAACCAGACACTGTGTCTACATTCTCTCCTACTTTTATATTATTTTCTATTTTTTTAATCTTGAGACATTTCTCCAGACATTACTGTTGGAGATGCTCTAAGTATTCCTTATAGGGAAAAATGTCGTTTAATAGCCGAACTTTCAAAAAATGGCCGTTTAATACGTGAACTTCTTATATGGCCATTTAAACATGAAGTAAATGTTGACCGGCCAATTTAAACATGAAGTATTCGTTGACAAGGCCAAAAACTACACGCCGTTATCTGTCGTTAACAGATCCGATAACAACCGTTTAACTCTCGTTAACGATTCCGTTATTGCCTAAACGACGTCGTTTTGGGCTTAATCTAAACCCCGAAAATCCCCAAATTGATTTTCAAATCCCTAATTCTGAAAAATCCCCAAAATTAGAACTTTAAGGTCGATTTTCGAGGCGAAGCAGAGAGTGTTGTGGATGCTGGAGTTGAAGCTCGAGGCGAATCTGAGATTGTTGTCGGAGACGGAGTTCAAGCTCCACCGGCGGAAGCGTTTCAGAGCCAGGTGGCAGAGATGGAATTCTAGTTCAACCGAATATCGGAGACAAAGCTCGTGGCCGGCGTCAAAAACGAAGAAAACGACGTCGATTTGGGGATTTAGGGATTTCGATTAAGCCTACAACGACGTCGTTTTAGGTAATAACAGAATCGTTAACGGTTATTATCGGATCTGTTAACGACAGATAACGGCGTGTGGTTTTTGGCCTGGTCAACGAATACTTCATGTTTAAATTGGCCGGTCAACGTTTACTTCATGTTTAAATTGGCCATATAAGAAGTTCACGTATTAAACGGCCATTTTTTGAAAGTTCGGCTATTAAACGACATTTTTCCCATTCCTTATACTAGAAGGGGTGTTTATGTGAAAACAACATCTTTCTTAGAAATTATTAAATTTTTATTGTATTGATCCAAAATAGTTTGTTTATATTTTAGGGTATTTAGTATATAATTTTACGTTTATAATAAATTATCAGTTATGAAAAATCAACAAATTTAAACATTTTAGCGTTACTTAGTGAACTGGTTGAACTAATTATATTAAATATTACCACGAAAACCAAAAATAGACATTTGAACTAGTTTAACAATGCCCAAATTATGTGTCCAACTACTATTTAATAATTTATATTATAGTCCAACTGTAAATACGAAAAAATTGTCAAAGTCCAACTATGAATATGAGAGTACAACTGGACAACTATAAGTATATCCAGCCGCCAAATCTAAAAATGTATTTTATCCAATCCCATAACTGTGCACTTTACCACACATTGGATGATTTTAAAACATTTTAAATTGTCTACATTAAATAATTTTAATTTATATTTTATTTTCTTCTTTCTCAATTTACCCAGTTGGACCGAATAATTAAACCTCAGTTGTACCTAATAATTACATTTATACCAAAATACATAAACAAAAGACTCACTTTACCATAAATAAACAAAGTTGAACCAAGTTGAACTAGTTGAATGGATAAAATCTCCTAAATGATAATTAATAGAGAAAAATTATGTGGCCAACTACAACATAATAATTTATATCAAGGTCCAACTACAAATACGCAAAAATCGCCAAAATACAACTATGAGGATTAATGTACAACTGTTCACTTGAGAACAACTATGTTTATAACATACAAATTTTTAGACGTAGTTGTACCTAAATGTATTAGTTGTACCTACGAAACCAATTGCATACATGAAAGTTATCGGCAACAAAATCTCAAAATTTATGTTCTATCTCCGTTACTTTATAATATACATCGAATTGCCTTGTTGGCTTTGAAAACTAAAGCTTACTTTAATCTAAACCAGAACCATTGAACTAGATTTATTAAATGAACTAGACAAAACGGGTGGTAGATGTTCTAATGATTGGACATTTTCCTCATAGATGCCAAATCTCTCCGCCGAGTTAGGCATTGTCTCCTCTTAAAATTGGTCTGCAATTATCAAAATAGAACAAACCACTAACTCCGACAACTTTGGGAAGACTTATTCTTCTTGCTTTGACCAAACCCAACATCTCTTCACTTAATTCCAAAGTCATCATTTCAATCTGTCCCCAAACTTTAAACCGATCCGGCAACACCGTCGTTATTAAATGGTCTAGAGTGACATCACGATGTGGTCGATGACTTGGTGTTTCTTCTCGATTATGATCGTTGGATTCGCGAAGAATTTGAGTATATGTGCATATGTGCATATGAGAAGACTTGGGTTCTCAACTGAAGTTTGGGTTCTCGGAAGAATCGAATAGGAATTTATAGCCGATGAAGTGATCGTGAAGTGAGTTCGGTGGCGAGTAGATTCCTAACCAATCGTCGCTCCAATCACATACCTCCAACTACCTCAACGTCCTCGTTGACGCGAACCAGATTCGTATCGTGACGGAGATCGTCAAGAAGTTCGAGCTGGTTTTCAACAAGGTTATGGATACACAATTGGTGGAAGATAGGTTGGTGGTGAAACTGGAACCGCCGCAGTAAGCTTAGATCGTAAAACAGGTTCATACGACGATTTCAAAATTTAAAATCTTTTCATGAATCTAAGAAGCAGATTTCAAGAGAAATCTTGCCAAAATTGAAGAATTTTAATCGAGATTAACTATTTCTCAAACTCTGATTTCGATTTTTAATGCAAATGGTTTTTGGATTGAATTTCATAGAATTAGATTTGGGGATTTTTGGAACTCAGTTAAAGAAGAAGAAAAAAAGACAGAAAAAAAAAAAAAAAAAGAAGAAAAAAAGACAGAAAAAAAAAAAAACTACGATGAAGAAGAGAACACAAATATAATTGTATGGATTTGGGTCCCTCATGGTTGGATATGTAATTTTTAGTAGATATTAAGGGTTTTTGGACTTTTTCTACAGATTTTGATTTAAAAGAAATTGTTAAATAAAATTAAAAATAGAGAGTGGCATTCTAGCCTAACTTTTCTTAGAAAGTGGCTTTCTAGCCATTGTTTCTTTCACAGCTCCAGCGTTTATAAACGCAAGAATACCTCCAAGGTCGAAGCGCAAATAAGCGCAGTTTAAAAGCTTCAGTTGGTTTTTACACTGACTTGTTGCTTTCAGTTTCCTTTACCATTTCCACGGGTAAGCTTTTTAATGTAGGTTCGTTTGTTTTTCATTTGCACGCCACATGCTCGATGAAATTCCCCAAAGGGACAGTGGTAAATAACGTTTTTTTCCTTTGCTTTCCCAACGGCAGTCGAATTTCGAGTGTTTGTGGGGTTCATAATCAAGATGCTGCCGCAGAGGTTGAAGAAGGCTATAACGGATAATCCAAAGAAGCTTGGGAATTTGATTGACCTCGTGAATCTTCCATCTACTCTACGGGAGTTCGTTGGTCAATCTCAGATTTCCCGTCTGGGTTGTTTCATGCGTGTCTGGTCCTATATCAAGACCAACAATCTTCAGGTTTGATCATTAAGTTATTAAGCTAATGATGTTTTTAATGTTTTGTATCAATAGACTGATTGGTTTTGTTTCTTATAGGATCCTAAGAACAAGAATGTGGTAATTTGTGATGAGAAGCTCAAGAGCATTTTGCTTGGAAAGCAGCGAGTGGAGCTTGTCGAGCTTCCTTCTCTTATCAAGTTGCATTTTCCCAAAGAACCAAAGTAGAATTGTCATAATATGTAACAGAGTTCAACATTGGCTTCTTTTGGGTCGTTTGTTCTGTGATGCTTAAAGATATATGATTGATGATACTTATAAGTTATGAATTCTGGATTCATCTCCATTTCTGCTTTCTTATGTAAAACATCAAGAGAACATCTTTTGGTACTTACACTTCCACGATATAGTGGGAAAAATTGGTTCTTTTACAACAATATGGAAGCTTGATTCAAATAATATCAAGCAACCTGAGAGTGATCATTGGTAAAGATTTGTAACAAATACAACACAGAAACAGAGTTAAGTTAGTAGAAGAAAGAATGTAGCATGTTACGGAACATGTTTGTGGTATGGGCTGCATATGACGAGTCCCAAAATCCATATTTTCTTGCATCCAAACTTGTGAAAAGGTCCAATCTATCATCCAAGTAGTTCATCTCCTAGTATCCAGTTGCAGTTTGGAAACCTGAAAAGGTCCACAGTGAGAAGAATTCTTGATAAAAAAAGAGTAGTTGATACTCATTCAAACTTTGCCTATGTCTTTGGAGGGATACAATGTTTATTACTAACCATATACTTCAGGATTTTTCGTGATTCCAAGACCATGTCATGTGGATTGTTCCCGCTCATTGTTCAACGTTGCGAATTTTCTGGCCACACTGTTGTATTCTTCGATGCACTGGCTTCCATCAAAGATTTGTGTTCTTGCATCCAATAAGACGGAGCCTGAAGAGAGATATCTTGCAAGCTCCGAGTCTGTAAATATCCCTCAAAATAAATCCCCTACGATACTTCAGCTGATGCGCTTTCGTTTCAGTGCGCGTGCCTTTTGGTAAAATCTATTCAGCGCATTTGCTTCAGTCCGCATGCCGCCCCTATTCAATCCTGATATCATTGTCGTGTATGCTGCACAATCAGGCTCAACTCCTTTGAACTTGATCTTACAGAACAAGTCATATGCTTTTTCCACCATACAAGCCTTGCACATCCCATGAATCATGATAGTAAATGTAATAATATCAAGATCATTTCTAGTCTTTTGCATATGTTCGAAGCATTTCAATGCTTTCCCTACCTCCCCATTAGCAAATAGACCAGCTAACACAATGTTGTAGCTCCTAATATTGGGAGGCAGACCATTAGAAGTCATATTTCCAAAAACGCCTAGAGCGAGATCTATATCGCCTGCTTGAAAATAGCCCTGGATAAGCGTGTTGCAAGAGACTGTGTTTTCAGCCACGCCTCTTTGAGACATCTCGTATAAAAGATTAATCCCATCATGCACCCTCGCCGACTTGAAATATCCATTTGCAAGAGTACTGTAAGTGACTACATTTGGGGCGCACCCTTTGCTTATCATCAAGTCAAGCATTTTTCTGGCCTCATCTACACAATTGTGCACGCAAAGCCCGTTGATAAGTGAACTGTAAGTGAAAACATTAGGATCTATAGACAATTGGATCATCTTCTCGTACACAGCATCAGCCTTTAAAAGCTTCCCACATTTCACATATGCATGGATTAATGCACTGAAAGTGATAACATTAGGGTTGACTTTCCTGGAGATCATTTCGCGCAGTAGTCTGTTGGCATCAGTCAATCTACCGGAATTACAAAGGCCAGTTATGAGAGAGCTGTAGGTAACAACATTCGGTGAAATTCCTCTGTTTTTCATACGTTTGAAAAGCTCCAGCGCGCTATCCACAAGTCTCTTTTTGCAAAGACTATCAATGAGTATGGTGTCGACAACAACATCACGTTTAATTCCCATTTCCTCCATTTGGCCAGCCACATAAACAGCATCGTTAATACTATCCCTGAGACAGAATCCATTGACCAGAGAGCTAGCAGTTACAATGTCAGGCTCAATACCAAGTTTCATCATCTTCCCAAAATAAGATAAAGCCAAAGAAGGTTGAAAGCAGCGGCAGAAACAATTGACCAAAATGTTACAAGTATAAAGATCAGGTGAAATTTCAATACCTTCTGTATTTTCCATACATTTCCAGAGAGTAATCACGACATCGTACCTCTCCATCTTAGCAATAGCAGTCAATACTTTATTGAATTCAACAATTGAAGGGAGGGGATAAGAATCAGCCATGAGTACGAACAAATCAAATGCATCTTTGAACTCAATACTGTGAAGCCCACTTCTCAATACCTCTCGATAATCAGTAGTAGCACCAGAAAAAGCTCGTGCCCAGAAACGGAAACCGCAAAATCTCAACGACGGAGCAAGAGCAATCCCAGGATTAGTGTTCTTCAGAAAATGACGATGAAGATGAAGAAACCCCTTAGCCGTTGAAGCAATCGCAGTCGCAATCGACCACCGCATCCAATCGTTTCGACTTCAGCTTGATTTGGGTTCGTTCCCATATACTGTCTCAGGAATTTTGACCATAAACCCTAAACCCTACAGTGTTGAAGTGTTTGAGAGAACTGAGAGAATTGAACAGAGAAGAAATAAAACTTTTAACCGGTTTAAGAAAAATCGAGCTTTTTAGGTTTTTGGTTTATTGTAATCGGAAACCTTACAAATTAATAACCAGTCGCTTAAACGGTTTGCAAAACCGAACCGGAATAGCTCTTGGCCATTCCTCAGGTGATTTTGGTGAGGAAAATGGTTAATTTAGTTGCTACGTTGAGTCACAAATGTCAGCGTTTTTGGTTTCTGGCTTCATGATTCAATTCCATTTCTGTATTATTTTTTTAAAAATGTTTGATCTTATCCATCTTTATAATAGCATCTTTATGTAGTTACAAGAACATAGAGTAAGAAGAATGGTTCTTTTACAACAACTCTGAAAGCTTGATTTGAGTGATATCTAGACAAGAAACTTGGAGAAAAAATATATATCTTGTGGAGGAAAGAATGTAGAAGGTTAACTAATAACTATAGTGCTTGTGGTGTAGCAGTAGCACTTTCTTATTTATCAATGAAACCGAGATAAGTCGTATTTCAGAACATGGCTTGCTACGATGGCGTTTGTCTTCTCTGTTGGGTGAAATGAGTCCCAAAACACATATTTGCTTGCATCAGAACATGTGAATGGGTTCATTTTATCACACAAGTAGCTCATCTCATAGTATCCCGTTCCGCAACATGCACTCCTTACATTTTGGAAACCTGCAATGCACATAGGAATATTATCAGAAGAGTTCTTCATTTAAGAGCACTTGGTACATAATGAAACTTAGCCCTATGTCTTTGCAGGATTACAATGGCTGGATAAAGCATTTTGTTAGAACTTTGTACTAACCGAATGCTTCAGGATGGTATATGATTTCTGAAACAAGGTCATATGGATTTGAAAACACAAGCTGGATTCCGTCCAGTTCTCTGTTCAACTGGTAGACTTTCATTTCCATTTTGGTGTTGAAATCTCTAGCCACAATGTTGTATTCTTCGATACATTTGCTTCCATAAAAGAGCTGAGTTGTTCTTTCCAGGGGCAAGCATCCAAAAGGAGAGAGTCCCGACCAAGACATCTTCCGAGCTCCGAGTTTGTAAATATCTGTCACGAAATCTGCTGCGATTCCTATCAGGAAATTTTGGTACTCGTTCACAGAGTACTTCCGTAACTTTCGGGGAAGAAGATAGTAATTCTCCAGGAAATCGTTGGTTCCGATACTAATCAGGTAAAGTGCTTCACTAATAATCTCATTAGCTTTCTCTTCACCCAAGTAGCTTCTTAGCCTAGTCTGATATTCTTTGTAGTACTCCACTTCCTTCCAAAGCGGCATCACAGACTTTAGAAGTCGATGTCATTTTAAAGAAACCAAGTCAGTTTTAGCTGAACTAGGAGTATGAAATCTAAATCCACTACAATAGAATATATATGTTGTAAGATATATAACTATGCTTGACTTACTAACACAGCAGAGGTTGCATTGTCTAAGCCAGTTCCAGCTGAAGCGAAACAGACACCAGTGGCAAAGTCTGCAATGTTGTATGCTGGATCTAGATAGGCAGGGACTGCGTTCTTGAGTCCCAAACCTTCAGAAATGAAGTCTGGTGCAATCCGACCATTTGAGAATCTCCCAGTGGCTTTGCCGTCAAAGTAATCCCGGCCATAAGGCTGAAAATTACTCTTCAGAACAGTAGAAATCTGGTTGTTGTTGCCTGAATCCACAGTTGAGTCCCCAAATACGATAAGTGCAGGAACTTTTGCACACATTCCAGGTATCTGCACCAAAAGCTGAGCTGCTAGCAAAAAGAACGCAAGAACTCTGTTTCGCTGCATGCTTTTTTACACAAGTTTTCAATTCTTTTGCTTCTGCAAAACAAGAACCTCAGATTAATTGGGAAGAACAATTGGAGTAAGTATTTAAGTTGGAGAAAGAGAGGTACCTTCTATCAAACCTGACTAAAACAGATTTCGCTCGTGTAGTTAATAGCTTGGCCCTTTGTTAGATGAAGCTTATTAAATACTCCTTAGTCTGATGTGTCTCTGTTTATTTTTGGCCACAGAGAGTTAGTTGAGGTGAGTAATGAGCTGAATATGATTGAGAGTTTCAATAATAGTTTTGCAGCAGAGAGCCGTATTTATAGCTACTAAAAAGGAGAGACAAGACAGAATAATTTACTAAATTAGAAGGATTCGTACTATTGCAACCTTCAGATATATGTAACGCATCTTCCTTTTTACCGGATTCACGCTAAAACTCTACTCTCTGTTCTTTTCTCTTTTACTGTTTTTTTTTTGCTTATGAGTCTGCAATGTAAAGATTGTTTGCACTTGTCAAGCAAAGCTTTAAGTCTCGGAAGCTACAATGGAGTTTCATTTGATTAAATTTGGGTGAACTGTGTCGCACGTTTTGGGGCTTTTTAGTTCAACCATAGTTTTGGTTGTTGCAACGGCAAGAAAGTGTCTCTCATGCGTCAAATGTGACATTTCCGATAAAGTAACTTTGTTATTTGAGTCTCAACTAAAGATTACATTTATTGACAAGTGGTTCCTAACACAGGTTTGCGTTTTGAATTAACTAGAATTCAAGTAAAAGTGTATTAGGCTATTATAGCAATTAAGGGGTCATTTATAGTTTGTTGAATTATAGATTAAGTAGTTGAACATTAATTTCCACATTCTCCCATCCAAATGACGTCAAATCTACACAACCTCTATAATTAATCCAGCAATTTTTTTACGTAAGTGTATAGGGAAAACGGCCTATTCCTCCCCAAACTAAGTTGCTTTGGCTAATTCATCCCTGAAACTTTGTCTCGTGCTTAAACCCACATGAACTAACATAGAGTTTGAATTTCCTCCCTGAACAAAACAAATCCGGACTAAACCCACAAATCGTTAAACGCCGTTATTGTTCCGTTAACGAACATCTGACTAGGATGCCACATCATCGATCTAAGCGACTGTGTTTTGAGGAGAAAACGGCCTATTCCCCCATAAACTAAGTTGTTTTGGCTAATTCATCCCTGTAATTTTATCTCATGCCTAAACCCACATGAACTAACATAAAGTTTGAATTTCCTACATGCACAAAACAAATGTGGACTAAATTGATGGATGAAGATCCTAATTGAATAGACAGTGTACTTGGATTATGATGTAAATTTTGATTAATTATCAGAATATGATGTAAATTTTGGATTAATTCTCGGATTATAATGTCATTTTGGAATAATATAATGTTCTATTTCAGATTATATTGTTTGCTTGAACAGGTTTAGTTGGAGCTGGATTCAGCACCTCCGAATCCACCAACAAAAATAACAAGTGGGAGATACGTTAGGCTCATAAGCCCATAGTGAAAAGAAGCGGAGCTGGCTCCGAATCAGGACTAAGTCAGGCGAGGATCTCGGCAGGGACCTGTGATGTAGGAGAGGTTAATGCGGACCTCAGACCGAATAACGTAGGAAGAGTATCTATATAAAGACGAGAGAAGACCTAGAAAAGGCATCGCCTACTTACTGAAAAAAAACTCACTACTACATTATAATCCAAGAATTAATCCAAAAGTTACATCATATTCTGATAATTAATCAAAAATTAAATCATAATCCAAGTACACTGTCTATTCAATTAGGATCTTCATCCATCAATTTAGTCCACATTTGTTTTGTGCATGTAGGAAATTCAAACTTTATGTTAGTTCATGTGGGTTTAGGCATGAGATAAAATTACAGGGATGAATTAGCCAAAACAACTTAGTTTATGGGGGAATAGGCCGTTTTCCCCTCAAAACACAGTCACTTGGATCGATGATGTGGCATCTTAGTCAGATGTTCGTTAACGGAATAATAACGGCGTTTAACGATTTGTGGGTTTAGTCCGGATTTGTTTTGTTCAGGGAGGAAATTCAAACTCTATGTTAGTTCATGTGGGTTTAGGCACGAGACAAAATTTCAGGGATGAATTAGCCAAAGCAACTTAGTTTGGGGAGGAATAGGCCGTTTTCCCTAAGTGTATATGAGAAGCAAAAAAGTAAAACTAATAAAACTAAAAAAAGCCGAACAACTTGGCAACAGTAACATACTAATCAGGCCCATGAGATGGATGGACTATGTCTGTCCCAAAACATACTAGTGCCTTTGGTTCTTTCTAGAGGCTTCTCAAATTAGCTTTCAAAATCTCCCATTTGCTATAATGACAATTATACCCTCACAGACTCGCCGAACAAAGCGATCAGCCTCAGCTCACCCGCTCGTGCATCGGTAAGGGTATTTACGTAAATCGCTAAAAACCCGAAAGAGAGAATTGAGAATCCTCTTCTCCACCAAGCACGTCTGTGTGCCTCTCTGCAAATAAGCAATTTCCTCAGAACAATTACATTTCGATTCGTTTCTCTTCTCCTCTTGATCTCTTCTTGTTTCTCTGTGGATCTCCCGATGTTGGTTTCGAGAATTTTGTCGCGAGTTTCTCGCAGCGCGGGCTTACGCTCCTCTCTCTCCGCCGTCACTCTCCCGGCGAGGAATCAGACTCCTGTCTTCTCGAGCCGGTTTCACTCACTCGCTCACGAGTTCTCGCTTAAGGTTCGATTTTGACTCAATTCTATAAGTATCCGTACCGAATTTCAATTCAGGGTTTTGTTAGGGTTTAATGGTTTCCCCCATTTGAGTTTTTAGAAATGATTGCTATCTTCTGATACTGTTTCCTTGATCTCATAGGTTTGAATCTTCAGATGTATGTATAAATGACTGGATGCTCTCTTCTCTATAGGGTTTTTGCTCTGTGTCATTTCACTGAGATTCACCCATTTTGCTTTTTTTTGGGGGCAGCTTGTTCCAGCTCGGGTGTCTATGGATTCTTTTGCACTGCAAAGGTTCTCTTTTTCTTCCTCTACCTCGCCTGAATCAGATGAGAAGAAGACCTACACTGAGGCCTCAAAGACAAGTGAAGAGAAACCTACAGCTGAGGCCAACCAACCAGGTCTGGACACTGAATCTAAAGATTCTGTGACCGATTCTGCAAAAAGAAAACGGAAAGGTGCTAAAGGAGCTGCATCTTCTGAATCAGATTCTGAGAGTGATGATGATGAGTTGTCAAAGGATGATTTGGTGAAGCTCGTAGCTGAAAAGGAAGAGCTACTGTCTGAGAAGGAAGAAGAGATTAAGAAAATGAAAGATAAAGTTCTTCGCACTTATGCTGAGATGGAGAATGTCATGGACAGAACAAGACGTGATGCTGAAAACACCAAAAAGTATGCCGTACAGGTTAGTCTACTACAAGAACATTTTTTCCAGCTTTTGCTTCATATAATAGTTTTCTGAAAATATATATGTACACTATATGGTATGCAGAATTTTGCAAAGAGCCTTCTGGATGTGGCGGATAATCTTGGAAGAGCTTCTTCGGTTGTCAAAGAAAGCTTCTCAAAGCTTGACACCTCAGAAGATTCTGCTGGAGCAGCTCCACTATTAAAGACCCTTTTAGAAGGAGTGGAGATGACTGAGAAACAGCTAGCTGAGGTAAATATCGAGAAATGTAGTTATAAGACCTTAAGTAGTAAGCAATGTAGATGAGACCGGTTAAAACATGTGTGCCGCTGCAGGTATTTAAGAAATTTGGTATGGAGAAGTATGATCCTACAAACGAGCCGTTTGATCCAAACAGACATAACGCAGTATTCCAAGTCCCTGACGCTTCTAAGCCAGAAGGCACAGTTGCTCATGTCTTGAAGGTAAATATACAAAGCCTGCTCAATTCTTTGTCTCTTCTTATTCCATATTGATAGTCTTAAATACCAGTTAGTAATGATGGGTGTCAATATGTGCAGTATGGATACACGCTGTATGACCGAGTTATAAGACCAGCTGAGGTTGGTGTTACCCAGGGAGGAGAGAACCAAGAAGAAAAGAAAGAGTCTGATGCTTAAGAAGAAGTCAGCTGGTTTCCATAAATTTTGTTACGGTTCTATGTTTGAGTTACTCATTAACATCTTCTCGAGTCTTTGAGTCATAGTTTTCTCTTGTGGTTTGGTTATTCATTAGATGAACAAGATCTCCCATAAGTTCCTGGACACGGCATTTGCAGGGGAAATCCTGCTTCTGTGTCTGTTTTCTCTATCTCCATGCGTTAATTGCACGAGGAAAATATCATTTTACAGTTCTTCTACTCACACTATACCAAGTCTCTGTTTGATTAATTAATCAGATACAAATTAAAGTTTTACATGGTCTGATGCAACCAGAAACTAACCATAGGGAAAGAAGCTGAAAACAGAGTCGCACAACTTGCACTCACTTTTTAAAACCTGCCCTGCAACTTATGTTGAAGAATGTCTCCGAGCTTTACATAAAGCATTTTCTGCTCCTCGTGTCCCAGGCTCCTCGATATCTGCAGGTATGATACAATCAAATATTTACAATGCCTCTGTAATCTTGGGTGAATGATGAATCTTACCTGGTCTAGGATCATCTCGACACTGTAGTCCTGATTAACAATGAATGATTGGATGTAGATGTATGCGAAAACCGCCATAACCATCTGAATTTAGGCAACGCGATTCGGTTAAAACGATGTCAAATATCATATTGCACTTTTCGACATTAGTGGCTCTTACTTGGCAATCCATTCTATCGGTAAATCCTCCATGTCCTGGTATGCTGTCTCCGAAATCCTGTCAAAGCGACAGAAAACTAGTAAATATTTGTTCTTGGATCTGTGGATACAAAACCTTTTAATGTTCGAAAAATGTCTAACCTTGATCTTGAAAGCTCTTTTGAAACCACTTGCGAAGAAACCACCAAAAGGTGCCATAATTGATGCGAATAGACCGAGAGAGAAAGCATGCCATTGGACAGGCAGGGTCGAGATCCCTTTCCATGGAGACTGTTAAGCAAAGTTCACAACGGAGCTCAGTTTTAAAACGAAAGACTTGTACAAGACAACATCATTGGCTGGTTTCCATGAGAGGACACAATTAATTGCTTACAAATGGAGCGATCCAAGAGGGCAATGGGTAATACTCTGGCCTAAAGAGAGGGCCTGGATCACAATGAAGCCATCCAGTTGATAAATCCTGCAAAAGATGCAATATAACGATGAAGTAAAGGCCAAGACAAAATATTATGATGGAGATTTCACTATTTGTTACCTTCCTTGGACATGTAAGCCATTGGAACTGGCCTAAGACATTTGCAAACTGTTGTAAGAAGCAGATAATCTATCAGTCTTGAGACCAAAAGAAAGGGTGATAAACGAATGGTTAAATGATTGAAGATGGCTATTACAATAAATGCAGAGATTATAGTTGCAACTGATGCTCCGATGAAACCTTCCCATGTTTTCTTTGGAGACAACTTAATGAGCGGAGTTTTCCCGAAATAGAAACCGAAGAAATAAGCCGCTACATCGTTCATAGCTATAAGTGCTGCTGGCAGTAGAAACCTGCATATTTATCCATTATTTAAAACAAGTTAGCACTCGGGAAAACAATGATGCTTCAGTGGATATATATAAACCCAATGTACCAGAAGATCCCTTCGAAAATATTGGCGACGGTGAAGGAAGATTGAGTAAAGACAACGATAAGGATCATATGTGTCCAAGCGTATTGACCAAACTGATACTTATACATCTTGTTCTTCAATGTAAGGATAAACCATATGAGACCTGAATCCAACTTAAGCTGTTAATAACTCAAGAAAAAGAGTAATGTTTGTGAAGAAGAAGAAAGAAACACACAAACCTGCGATGTACAGGAAGTAGCAAATAACCATCTGGTACTTGATAAGGCCACTCACAAGCTTGTAGATGAATCTGTCTGAAGAAACCGTGTTGACTAGCTGCTGTTGAATGATGCGTCCATATACAAACAACATAGCGGTGAAGAAGAAGTGCCAATTCAAGAGCCAGAAACCGGGTAAGCGACGTTCTTCATGAGCTCTTCTACGAAGAAAGAAGAGCTCTTTAGCCATGAATATCTGTATAACCACAACCATAGCCCAAATGTAGAGATGACCCATGTAGATTATAAAGACAACTCCACCAAGCATCCACAGAGATGAGCATGTCCTTATCCACATTGATCTGTACTTGTTCTTATCACCAAGCAACAAATTGCTTACTCTACTTACATTGCTTCTGTTCACCTCAGCTAAATTCTGAATATTGAAAAAGACAATTAAATCAATGATTAAACCGAAAAAGAGAGTATAACATTGTATAGATACCTCGCTTGATCGCCTGCGGTGTCGAATGCGGGCTGTTGGAGAGCTAGGAGTATAATTGTAATCCCTTGGTGAATTAGGATTGTTGGGATAATGGTTGTCTCTTTGGTTATTACTACTCATTCGAGACGTTGGTGTGTTAGGATAACTATTATCCCTTAGCTTTCTAATCCGTGGAGAATTCGGATTGAGATCTTTCTCCATTGCCATCGAGATCTCTAGGAAATGCTCTCAGTTCCTAGATTAAGTTCTTCAAAATTCAGTTAATCATAATGATCTGTGTTTCTTTATATATCTGAGGAAATGAATGAAAAAAGATTCTCTCTTTTCTCCTGGGTTTGATCTATAATTTCAAAATGTCAAAGCTTATAATGAACACAAACATATTCATTAGAGATTACTTGTGTAACAAGCATTAACAGAGGATTTAGATTTGAATGCGTAAGCCTAGAAATCTACATGAGGTATCAAAGCACAAACGAGATGATCGTATTCAAAGGATTAAAATTTTATAAATGAACAAAACCAAAAATTTGGATCAAGAGAAGTAGATTAAAGAGAATGAACTTACATTAACGAAAATGTGGTGGAATGATGGTGATTGAAAATGCGAAACCCTAATTAGAGAAAAACAAAATGTGAAGAAACTCAAAAGGTGAGGGAAGGAGGAGGAGGAGGAGGCGGAAGGTGGTGGATGAGCACTTAGCGGTGAGGTTTCATCAAATCATCAGAAGACAGAACCAATAAACTATTCATGTCGCTGCTTCATGTTTAAACCCGGAATGAATGACACGTGTTGTCTTCTTTTGGGCTGGGTTAGATATTTAAGCCCATTAAGGCCTTTTAACAATTTTGTTCAGACATGAACATGGATGAGTCAACGATGTCTGTGATCAGTGGTGGTCAAATCAGTAAATAACGCGAAAAGAGAGGGTCTCTCACCTTTTTGTTGTTGTTTTCTTTCTCATTAATTATTGAGTTCCGTAAAATGGGTCCCAACTTTTCCCATTTCCCAACCTCCATAACCATAGTTGGAGATTTCTCTGTTTCCTATGCTCTCTCTCTCTTACTCTCACAGTGACTATTCGTCGGAGAGCTTCAGATCTAGATAAACCCTTTGGATTCAATATCGATTTCGGTAAGTAAGCCATCTTCTACTTGTTGGATTCGATTAGCTTCAGGGCTTTGACTCTTTACTTCTTCAATGTTGAGTTCTTGCTTTGGCTTTGGTTTTATCACCAATGCTGTTTGATTTCTTTGAAGTTCCTTTCGAGCTTTTCTTGAGCTTAGTTTCACATTCCTAGCTTCACCATGCTAAAAGATGTGTTTTTGTTGCGAAGTTCAAAATGTTGTTTCTGATTCAATTTGGTTTTCCGAAAAAGATTGCAACTTTGGTTTCTTTTAGCGTATAATTAGTTTGGATCTTCACCAGAAATGTTCGTTGTTTCTATATTTGTAGGAAACCTTTTGACTTCACAAGAATGGCAGTGACAGAAGCTGAAAATCCTCTTCTTGGAGAAATCACTTGTGGCACCTTACTACAGAAGCTGCAGGTAGATTTCGCAACATACATACTTATCCTTTAAAGTATGATTCAGAACTCAATGGACAAACATTTTACAGGAAATCTGGGATGAAGTTGGTGAGAGTGATGAGGAACGAGACAAACTGCTTCTTCAGATTGAGGAAGAGTGTCTTAATGTTTACAAAAAGAAAGTTGAGCTGGCAGCAAAATCTCGTGCAGAGCTTCTTCAGACCTTGTCCGATGCAACTGTTGAACTTTCCAACCTCACAACTGCTCTCGGGGAAAAAAGCTATATTGACATTGTAAGTAATCTCACGTCTTAGTAGTGGGAATGAGATGAGATGGTTATACAGTAGTGTGATTCAATGTCTTTGTTTCCATTGCAGCCTGATAAGACTTCAGGAACGATCAAAGAACAACTTTCTGCAATAGCACCTGCGCTTGAACAACTTTGGCAACAGAAAGAGGAAAGGGTCCGAGCGTTTTCTGATGTACAATCACAGATTCAGAAGATATGTGAAGAGATCGCTGGCGGTTTGAACAATGGGCCTCATGTGGTCGATGAGTCTGACTTGTCTCTGAAGAGATTAGATGACTTCCAGAGAAAACTCCAAGAGCTCCAGAAAGAGAAGGTAAAATATTAGTTGTGTGGCCTATGTTTGCCTTCAGACCAGAGCTAAAACTTTTTTTGTGTTTGGGCAGAGTGATAGGTTACAGAAGGTGCTCGAGTTTGTGAGCACGGTGCATGATCTATGTGCCGTTCTTGGTTTAGATTTCTTAAGCACTGTCACTGAAGTTCATCCGAGCTTAGATGAGGCAAATGGTGTTCAAACCAAGAGCATTAGCAATGAAACACTTGCGAGGTTGGCTAAGACTGTCTTGACTCTTAAAGAAGATAAGATGCAAAGACTGAAAAAGGTTAGTCAATATCATGGTCTTTGAGATCTCTGACATGAGCTTGGTCAGTTTAGGCTGCACATATGTTGAAATACTTTCTGATTAATTGCAACTTTTGAATTTCAAATAGATGGAGAAATTTGAAGTTTGATCATTTGCTCTGAAATCTTGTTTGTGGATTTCATTAATGAGTCTTGGTTTTATGCAGCTTCAAGAGCTAGCTACTCAGCTAACTGATCTATGGAATCTGATGGATACTCCTGATGAGGAAAGGGAGCTTTTTGACCATGTTACCTGTAACATTTCAGCTTCAGTTCATGAAGTGACTGCCTCTGGTGCTCTTGCACTTGATCTGATCGAACAGGTATTGTAAATTTATAATGTATCAATCAATGCATATAATAAGTAACTGCTTTTAAAATCTCCTGTGAACTCTTGAAGGCTGAGGTGGAAGTGGATAGGCTTGACCAACTGAAATCTAGCAGAATGAAGGAAATTGCATTCAAAAAGCAATCTGAGCTTGAGGAGATATATGCTCGTGCTCACATAGAAATAAAACCAGAGGTTGTTCGCGAGAGGATCATGTCGTTGATTGATGCTGGAAATACTGAACCTACTGAGCTACTGGCTGACATGGATAGCCAAATCGCAAAGGCCAAGGAAGAAGCCTTTAGTAGAAAAGAAATTTTGGACCGAGTCGAGAAATGGATGTCAGCTTGTGAGGAAGAGAGCTGGCTCGAAGACTACAATCGAGTATGCTAAAATTTGGCAATGTTAATAAACACATTACTTGTTAAGCATCATTTCAGTTTGATGATTTTTTTGGGTTTTGTTCTGGAAAAACAGGATCAGAACAGGTATAGTGCAAGCCGAGGTGCGCATTTGAATCTCAAGAGAGCTGAGAAAGCTCGGATTCTGGTCAGCAAGATTACTGGTAACTTCCAAAATTCTCTCTTAGTTATCTATACTCATAGAATTAAACTGAGACTGAAGGATGTATGATATTTTGTTTGTGCAAGCAATGGTTGACACATTGGTTGCTAAAACCCGGGCATGGGAAGAGGATAACAGTATGTCTTTTGAGTATGATGGCGTTCCTCTGCTCGCCATGCTAGACGAATACACTATGCTTAGGCAAGAACGAGAAGATGAGAAGCGGAGGCTGAAAGTAAGTTTTTTCATGCTGTGATAATCTGATTGTTGAACGTAACTTCTTTTAAACCAATCTTGCCTTTTTATTAACAGGAACAGAAGAAGCAGCAAGAACAGCCACATACAGATCAAGACTCCGCCTTTGGGTCTAAACCAAGCCCAGCAAGACCCGTTAGTGCCAAGAAACCGGTGGGAACACGAGCCAACGGAGGAGGGCTCAACGAAACTCCTATTAGGCGTTTATCAATGAACTCAAGCCAGAACGGAAGCAAGTCCAAGAGAGACAGTCTGAACAAGATAGCTTCACCTTCGAACCTTGTAGCCAACACAAAAGAGGATGGTGCATCTCCAGTCTCTCTTGCTGACCCAGTCATGGCTTCACCGTGAGAATATCAAAGAAAGAGAGTTGAAATGCTTACTTACACTTCTGGTAGTTGCTAATAGTGCTGTCTAAGAAACAAACACTTAGAAACAAAGACATTGAGAGTAGAATGTTACTTAGATGTTTATGTCTCTGTATTCAGTGACTCAATTGTTTTTTCATAAATGTCGTAGTCAAGCTTTGGTAGCATGACTAGTGTTGAACTTGAAGTGAAGTGACCGGTTTAGTTAAGGAAAGTCAGGGTTCTAATTGGAGTTACATAATTATATTTGGGCGAAATTGTAAATATTAGAGAACTTGGAGGGGTTTTCGAAGAAGGTTTGGGATTTTAATGGTACTCTCTGCGACGTCGTTTCCAGTTGGCAATCAGAAGCGCGTCAAATAAAGGAAAATTTCTTTAGCTTTTGTCTTAACAAATCAATCGGAGAAAAAGCTACGAAGCTCGAGAAGAGAGAATCTATGTCGAACCCAAACGAACCAGCCAAGGCTCTTCTGCCTTACCTACAACGTGCCGATGAGCTGCAGAAGCATGAACCACTTGTTGCTTATTACTGTGAGTTTCGTTTTCTTATCCATTGTGTAACCTAGATGATGGATTGAGTATACATGATCTCTCTGTGCTAGTTTTTGTTCAATTTGACTTCGTTTGGTGGGTATTTTTTGTAATCGCAATTTTTGTGATTGATGATTAGGTCGGCTATATGCCATGGAACGAGGATTGAAGATTCCGCAGAGCGAGAGAACTAAGACCACCAATTCAATTCTCATGTCTCTCATTAATCAACTTGAAAAGGTATTAACTTTAAGTTTTTAATTGTCTTCTTATCTATATGTAACATCTATGACTATATTGTGATAGATTTCATGAGGCAATTTCTTGACTAGCTCCAGTTTCTTATGGCGATTTTTTTTTTTTTTTTTTTGTAACTCCAGGATAAGAAATCATTGAATCTGTCCCCAGATGACAATATGCATGTGGAGGGGTTTGCACTAAGTGTCTTTGCAAAGGCAGACAAGCAGGATCGCGCAGGAAGAGCTGACTTGTAAGAATTTTTTTTATGTCTTATGTTTTGATTTCATATTGAATGGCATATGACAATGGTAAGTTTCTAATAATGTTAGGGTCACCGTCAACACTAAGCTCAATGAGTTGAATTATCATGTTTCTGTAGATTCATTCTCTGTCTAGTATTATTTTGTTTGCAATACTGGAAATCGCATATAAGAACATACATTTACGATAAGTATGCAGATCTGGCAGACATGTTTTTAGGTGATACCTTCCTCTGACATTGTTTGATGATGACTTTCAAGTTCTACTAATATATGTATTTATCTAAATAGTATATAGATATAGAATGTAAGATAGCGGGTTAAGTAATTAGTTGGATGCATCCAAGGCATATCTCGACCTGTTGGCTTCTAGCGGTTCTGCTTTTGCAAAATACTTGTATCTTCAGCCTTGATGTGTTGCTATGCATGGTTTGATACTGATATTAGTTCAATTACTGTCTATACCTGCATACATGTGACTCCATTACAGAGGCTTGCCATGGATAATCCATATTAAGTTTGTTGTGCTTGTGACAGGGGCACTGCCAAAACTTTTTATGCTGCGACAATCTTCTTTGAAATTCTGAGCCAGTTTGGCCCTGTACCTCCTGATGTGAGTTCCTACTTTTTTCATTCACTTAACATCTCAAACCGAAAACTAGCACCTTACGAGGCAGCTGTGTTAAGAGATTGATATATGTATATGTAATGGCTCCCATTGACAGATAGAGCAGAAGCAGAAGTATGCTGCTTGGAAGGCTGCTGACATAAGGAAAGCCATTAAAGAAGGAAGGAAGCCCACTCCAGGTGATCCTGTTGATGATGATAATGATTTATCCATCCCATCAAGCGGTCCTAGTGGCTCCTATGTAAGTTTCTCTTCTTGGAAATATCTTGATATTGGCTTAGCGTGTATTCTGTCCAATAATATCGAAGAGTGTTTAGGTGCGTAAATGTTTATAGAATTTGCATTACGCTGACTTTCTAGCTAGAGACACACAAATTCACACCCACCTGTGTACTTCTAGGTTTTTGCTTTCTCAACTGTCGAAACACTATGATAGAACATCTGCATCAACTTAATCAATTCATCGTTTGTGTATGTTAATTATCTTCAGGATCACGGTGCAAGTGATTCCAACACATCAAGTCATCATAGAACAGAGCCTGATCTATCTCATGACTCGAATGATGACTCCAGCCACCATCACTTCCCTGAAGTGCCACAACACCCTCTACCTCCCAGGTTTCATGACAATCCTACCAACGATTACCCCACGGATGTCCCGCCTCCACCACCGTCTTCTTACCCTTCCAACGATCTCCTTCCCCCTCCAACAGGACCATCAGAATCGCCTTACCAGCATCCTTACAGTCATCAACCATACCACCAAGACCCGCCACAACACATGCCGCCACCACAAAACTACTCAGCTCATGAGCCTTCTCCAAATTCTCTCCCTAATTTCCAATCTTATCCTAGCTTTAGTGAGAGCAGCCTCCCATCCACTCCTCCCCACTACCCTTCTCAATACCAAAACCCAGAACCTTACTATTCTTCTCCGCATTCCGCACCTGCTCCTTCTTCCACAAGCTTCTCCTCTGCTCCTCCTCCTCCACCTTACTCATCAAACGGGCGTATCAATATTGCTCCTGTGCTAGATCCTGTACCGAGTCCAGCTCAGAAGTACCATTACGACAGCAGCTACCAGCCAGGGCCTGAGAAGGTTGCAGAGGCACACAAGGCTGCTAGATTCGCTGTGGGAGCTTTGGCTTTTGATGAAGTCTCGACTGCTGTAGAACATCTCAAGAAGTCACTTGAGTTGCTAACAAATCCATCGGCCCGTACCGGTCACTGATTTTTATATTTAATCTATTGTATGAATCTTGGGGTTGATGTTAGTGCGTGTGTGTGTGCTCACAATCACATCGTGGGTTTGTTTATTAACTTTTCAGGCTCAGACTTCGTGTACAAAGAAAAATTGTGTGAATTATTCTTATTATCATAAACTTTTCTTTGCAACTTAGTGTGCATACATATACATAGGCACAAACAGTAATAATGAATGGAGTTCCAAAGAAAAAAAACATCAGGGCATGAAATTAAGTTTTCTTCCTTTTGTGTTACTCTTCAGTCTTCACGTAGAGAGCGAGTGTGGGACACGCACTCATGTAGCGGGTGGTGTTTGTACTCGAGGTTGGGCCTATATAAAAAGCCCATAGAGGCCCGAATTACTGAATTTAGCAGACGAAAAAAGAAAGAGTGATGAAACATGGAAGTAAACGTGTCTCTAGAGTCATGTCAAGTGTAAGACAGAGGAAGAGAGAAGAGAGGTGCGTCAAAGACAAGGAACGAGAGATGTCAATCGCTGCTTTCTTCGGCGCGTGCATGTCCGCCACGCACATCAATGAAATCGATTCTTATTATTATTACCTCATTGTACTCTTTTCTCTAAAACAAACACATACATTGCATTCAGTCTAGAGAGAGAGATGGGCTCGAAGACGGAGATGATGGAGAGAGACGCAATGGCTACGGTGGCTCCTTATGCGCCGGTCACTTACCATCGCCGTGCTCGCGTTGACTTGGATGATAGACTTCCTAAACCTTGTAACACCTTTCTCTCCACTTCCATTTTTATCCCTAATTGTTGTCAATACACGCCTATACATATGCATGCGTATAGATATTTGATATATGGTTGAATAAAAGGAATTGTCAACCCTCAAACTTTTTAATGCATATAGAAGTCTATATGCATGTTATGATGTTCGTGATCTTACACATATTTATCCACGTATATGATGGTAACTACGTGCATGTATAATTAATTCCGACACACATTACACACTTGGAAACTATACAGATTTGGTCTTTATAGATAAATATGTTATGCATAGATATGCCAAGGGCATTGCAAGCACCAGACAGAGAACATCCATACGGAACGCCAGGCCATAGGAACTACGGACTTAGTGTTCTTCAACAGCATGTCTCCTTCTTCGACATCGATGATAATGGCATCATCTACCCCTGGGAGACCTACTCTGGTATAGACTATACATATAGTATTTCAACTTCATCTGTTTCGTTGGTATATGTATAACAATGTGATTCCAAACCTGTGATTAGGACTGCGAATGCTTGGCTTCAATATCATTGGGTCGCTTATAATAGCCGCTGTTATCAACCTGACCCTTAGCTATGCTACTCTTCCGGTAACACCTCTAGTCCTCTGCCGACATATAACGCAAAACTTTGATTGATTCTACTCTAGACTCGGAAATTATTGTGCAGGGGTGGTTACCTTCACCTTTCTTCCCTATATACATACACAACATACACAAGTCAAAGCATGGAAGCGACTCGAAAACATATGACAATGAAGGGAGGTGAGTGACCATTATCTTGAAAAATCGGTTGATTTATAGAAAGTATGATGTAATGTCCGTTTGCTTTTCAGGTTTATGCCGGTGAATCTTGAGTTGATATTTAGCAAATATGCGAAAACCTTGCCAGATAAGTTGAGTCTTGGAGAACTATGGGAGATGACAGAAGGAAACCGTGACGCTTGGGACATTTTCGGATGGTACAATTACCATAAGCCTTCCTTTTCTTACCCTTAAATTAGTATATTGAATGCATGTGTTAAACTAAAGTAATTAATGTTGTTGTCATTATAATGTTTGGGTCTACATGTTTGTATTAGGATCGCAGGCAAAATAGAGTGGGGACTGTTGTACTTGCTAGCAAGGGATGAAGAAGGGTTTTTGTCAAAAGAAGCGATTAGGCGGTGTTTCGATGGAAGCTTGTTCGAGTACTGCGCCAAGATCTACGCCGGTATCAGTGAAGACAAGACAGCCTACTACTAAAGGTATCCTTTATGTTAAGTAATTGATCGAGCCATTTTAGGCTAATAATCGATCAATGTGAAACTTGTGCCTATACGGTAAATGAAGGTTCAGGTAGTAGTATGGACTTTTGGTCCAAGAGATCTATGTTTGTTTTGTTTTGTCCAATTCTGTATCGTATATTATAAGTTGCAGCTCTATAGAAAAGCTTCTGTATCTTTTGTTGCCTTAGTCTCTGTTTGTACCAACCTTTTTCCAGTTATTTCCATTTTTACACTGTTAGTTATTATTGCCAAATCTATAGCTGAGTTTCTCTATAGACTATAGTAGTGTAATGAATATGTTCACATAAACTTTAGTAAGAGCCTTAAACAGAAAGAAATCTGCTTGTACATTTTTTTCTTCACCAATCAGAATTATTTTTCTTCTCCAGAACACAAAATGACCAAAAGACATGATATTTTACTTGACTCACAAATAGTACAGTGGAGCATTAACAGATTGAAGCTTAAACCTCACCTGAAAAGAAAGTAATTTCTTTAAAGCTGTTGAAAGTTCTATACTTGTTTCAAAAGCTGTTGAAAGTTCTATACTTGTTTCAAAAGCGACCAATGTTCTAAAAGAAGATATTCACCTGTAGATAGCTTTTGTTGTGGATCTGAACTCGCCAAAAACATTGCAGCTTCCCTCAACAAACATTGCTTTAGCATCCAAAACAAATATGGTCATGGTCTTTGAACAATGTTACCACATAATCTGTTGAATCTCCTGTTTTTCTAACATGGAAGTGAAATTCAACAGATACAAATCTCATTAACTCAAATTTAGCTCCACTCTATGAACATTGAAGCAGTTTTCTGAGAATCCAGAAAGGACCAATGAACCAACGCAATCAAAAGAGAAGAATACAAACTAAAACACCTCATGTCGGAGAGTCTTGAACTTTGAATAGTATACTAGTCCTTTTAGATCCTTCTAAGGTTACATTAGCAACATCAACGACCTTGGAATTATGAAAAAGCCTAGCAATATCTCTAACATCGTCTCCACCACATTCATCAACCGCAACCACACAAAACCCACCGCGTCGCACAGTCCTCTCCATTTCCTCCACGAACCGCCACGGAAACAGAGCTTCAGCTAGATGTGCAGTGAAGGCAAAATCGAAAACACCGTCGAAAAACGGAAGGTTATGAGGATCAGCTCTTTTCACTAGAGGAATCGAATCAACCAATTCGACAGCGGTAACGTCAGATAATCCGATATTAGAAAGCGCCATCGGAGCGTGGCCTGCTCCGGCGGAGAGACAGAGAGCTTTGGTGTGATTTTGAAGCAATCCGAGATCGCGAAATCGGAGGAAGTAATTTGAGAAGGAAGAGAGACGCGATTTCCAAGCTTTAGAAGACCAGAGTCTAGCGTTCTTCTTTGGGAGAGGAAGATGCTGACGAGGCGATGAATCGCAGGTGGATCTCGGGAAATGCGTATGAGGTTTCGATGGAGCTTCTGGTGAAATACAAGTTTTCGGCGTCTGGAGAATCATAATCACCATTAATACTGTTCCGATGCTTATGAACACGACTGATACTCTGTTCAGCATCTTCTCGACGTTTCTCTCCATCGTCTCCGATCAAAAACTCCGATCGAATTGGACATTGCCGTTATCTTCTCAGCACTGATGCGGTGCGCGTGGGACGTGCTCGCCGTGGAGGGATCCCGAAAAGTGGCCGTTTCATTATACGTGGGCCGGGCCTTATTTTGTAGGCCCATTATGTGAAGTTATAACATTTGGGCGAATGTACAATTTCAGAAAAGAAGTGGGGCGATTTTGAAAATAATCGAAAACATAAGGAGGGAAAGAGAAACCTTGGGGGGAAAAAACATTCCTGCGGAGAGGAGCTAACCTCTCTCCTGGGGAAGAAGACGACGAACTTAATGCATTCGAGAGTAGAGAATTTTCAGATTTTTTTTGGCGAGGGTTTGGTTGATTTCTTCTGATTCATCAGATTAAGGATCGTTTCCGGTGGCTGAAGAGGAATAGAAGGAGGAAGAAGAGGAGAAGAGAGGTAAAAATGTCAGACCTAGATCGGCAGATAGAGCAGCTGAAGCGGTGCGAGCCATTGAGCGAATCGGAGGTGAAATCTCTTTGCCTCAAAGCCATGGAAATTCTTGTTGAAGAGAGTAATGTTCAAAGGGTTGATGCCCCTGTCACTGTAAGTTCTTGCTTTACCTTACTTCTCTCGATCTGGGATTCGGAATTCATCACCATTTAGCTAGAAAGAATTGGTTTTCTTCTATCTTGAAAGTAGAATTATGAGCTTATTGATAAGAAACCTGAAGAAATTAGGCGCGGGGAAAATCCAGTGAACGACTTGTTTTTGTTTCTTCCCATTGTTACAAGTCTAAAGATTTCATGGGCAGTGAAGTTATAGCGTTAGAAGTGAGAGTAGATACTAGTATTGATGTTCTTATGATTTGCAAGAATTGCTAATCCTTGGAATTTTGTCTTTCTTTTCCATTGGGATAGTTATGTGGTGACATCCATGGGCAGTTCTATGATATGATGGAGCTTTTCAAAGTTGGGGGTGATTGTCCTAAGACCAACTATTTGTTTATGGGAGACTTTGTTGATCGTGGATATTATTCAGTTGAGACATTTCTACTTCTACTCGCACTCAAGGTAACTCTCAGGACTGTGTTTTAATTTGTTGTGGTTTATGTTACTTTTCATAATCGTTTCTGCTAAATGAGTTCTTAGAATCACTTAAGTAGATTGCTTTGATATTCTTAGGTTAGATATCCAGACCGCATTACTCTCATCAGAGGAAACCATGAAAGCAGGCAGATCACACAGGTGAAGGCAGTCTCATTTGAAAATTTGCTTTTGTGTATATATATTCAGACTATTCATACAGTCTGCTTTTAGTAGGTTTATGGATTTTATGATGAGTGTTTGCGTAAATATGGCTCTTCAAATGTCTGGAGATACTGCACCGACATTTTTGACTACATGAGGTACTCCAAGCAGCATTTCACTTTCTCTATGTTCAGTTTTTGGCTTGTCTTTGGAATGATCCGACTCTTTAATCTGTCTTTGTTATATGCGCAAAAGTCTTTCAGCTGTTGTGGAGAACAAGATATTCTGTGTTCATGGTGGTCTCTCTCCAGCTATTATGACTCTTGATCAGGTTGATATAAGAGCTCTCTCTACTGATTATTAGAAGTTTCCAACTAGAATGAGCTAACTGACGGAACCATACCTTTATGGCAGATTAGGACAATTGACCGGAAGCAAGAAGTACCACATGATGGTGCCATGTGTGACCTCCTATGGTCTGATCCTGAAGATATTGTTGATGGCTGGGGATTGAGCCCTCGTGGTGCCGGATTCCTTTTTGGTGGCAGTGTTGTCACGTCTTTTAACCACTCAAACAACATAGACTACATAGCCCGAGCCCATCAACTAGTTATGGAGGGTTACAAATGGATGTTTGATAGCCAGATTGTGACAGTGTGGTCAGCCCCGAATTACTGTTACAGGTAAATAAGATTCTCCGAGCCGTCTGTTTCAGTCTATGTATCTTCTTTTCTTTTAGCTTGATTTTTGCATTTACTACCATTTCACTTATGCTCCAGATGCGGTAATGTGGCTTCGATTCTAGAGCTCGACGAGAATCTAAATAAAGAATTCCGTGTGTTCGATGCAGCCCAGCAGGTATGACCCTTTTAGTTATATGTTACTTCCCGTTCTGATTCCCGAGGAGCAGATCAGTAGACTGACATATTCTAAATGCAGGACACGAGAGGGCCTCCTGCCAAAAAACCTGCCCCTGATTACTTCCTTTGATGGACAAAACTTCGAAAACCCTATTCCCAAAGTAGAGCCAGCGTCAATTCAACTCTGTTGAAGAGGAAGAGAATTACAGTTCTTTCAGTGTTTAGGTCGCAGTGCAGAAGAATATATACTACAATTGTTTCAGGCGAGTTCTACTTAGGCCATAGGGACTGATCGAACTGAGGTTGTCTAAAAAAGATATTGTTGTTTCCGGTTTTGGTGTAATTGTAGTCAAAAGAGTGTTTGTGTATTGTTAGTTAAAGAGTGATTTTGACCTGATTCAAGTTTGTACTTTCTTAGGAGATAAGACCTCAAAACAGTTTTGGAGCTCACAGTTATTTCAATAGAATTACACAGGGAACCATTAGGACAATTTCACAGCCATGTCAGATCAAATTGGTTCATGCTTGATCTATTGCCGTTTGATAGAAAGTTGCCAAGAACAATAAGAAAACCCAAAAATCCTGGGTAGAAGATGACGAATATTCTGCCAAATGTTTATTTCATCAACAATACACTCACTCTTTGGTAGTCTTAAGAGTATATGAAGACTGTTCAAGAATTGAATGAGAGACAAAAGATTCAACAGTAAAGAGGGGAAGAGTTTCGTTGTTCCACACGGAGATAAGAATTACAAAGGGGAAAACAAATATGTTTGGAAGATACAGAAAGAGCAGCGGGGCTCTTACTCAAATTTGTGCATTGGTTTCCTAGTTTAAGAACATGGGTTCTTGTTCGAGTAGATTGGTTTCTACTCTACCTCGCTTAGGATAGGGACAATGAGAGGATTCATCTGCGCAATGTATACAATTGCCCACCTGCCAATGCGAAGAAACAAAAACAATGATGTAAGACAATGAGTCAATCGCATATAAGGACATGTGCACAGCGGTTAGTAGAAGACCAATAATGTTCATGTTGTAGAAACTTTCTCTTAACATGAATGCTAATTCATTGACTTGGCATTCATGTTAAGAGAAAGTTTAACACATAAATGACTGATCTCCACCTAGAACTGTCGAGAGATTACAGTGTTCTATCCACAAGAAAATTGGAAGTAGTAAAGCCTAGAAGGATCACTTTTGATGGTTTAATCAAGGTGAGGAAACAATCAAACAAGAGAGGTTTGGATATAGGTGAGAAAAGGCTAAACAAATAGTTCGTTGTATACAAAACAAAGGATGAACGATGGCTGTAAATGTAAACCAGTGGCTAGCAAACAAAGGAAAAATAATGCATCAAAACATAAACTTACATCATCCAGCAGCAGACAGTCGCCGTAATGACCAAAGTCAGATGTAGCCTGTTTCATTAAAACAAAAACAAAGACTTGATATTTACTCTTAACGAAGACTGGTTATCAAATGTATGTCCAAGCAAAGAAGTAGGCACGAACTAGACGAATGAATTCACAATAAGGCAGGCAATGATAATAAGAGAAAACATCAACCACTTTTTCCAGTGCAAGAGGTAATTAGAATTGTGACACTACTTGTTCACATTGAAGAAACTATCGCAGGA